TGAGTGATGGGAGGAAGAAATAAGTATTCTTGATCATAAAATTGTAACTATCAGACCATGATGCACTTGTGATTTGTGGCCAGTAAACCCCATAAATATTTTACCAATAGTTTGCAATCAAAGAAATTAAGGTTGGATTTATTGGTGTTCTCCAGTCAAATATCCAATTCAAGCTTGCCCATCATGTGCAAGCACCAATGTGCATCAGCAAAAGTCCGTTATGCTCCGGAGCATCAAGAGTGGCTGGAGCATGTGGGAGACAAAACAGCAGATTGGGTACTCCTGGAGCCAATAGTGTTCTCCTGGGAGGGGGTTCAGGAGCAGCTGGGAGTGGTGAGGAGTATGTAATGTGCCAGGAGCAGTGGGAGGAAAATTTTGGTCTCTAAAAAGTTGAAAAAAAAAATTTAGGGAAAAATCAAAAAGAAATTCAGGAACTATAGTGCCTTTAAAGTGCTTTCAGGACATATAATTATTTGCAAAATTGAGGAAGAAATGATGGAGAAAAATGGAAAATACTTTTGGAGACCCAAGAAATAATGAGAACTGAATTGGTGGGAAAGTCTGAAAATTGAATAGGAAAGTGAGGGGAAGCCTTGTAAGCATTGTTATTTTCTGCTGTTCTGATTTTTCCTGATTGTTCTTGGTCTCACTCCCAGCTGCTCCTGGACCCTCCCAGGAGCTTTCAGGAGCTTCCAGGAGTATTGAGGAGCAGCTGGGAATGAGACCAAGAAGAATCAGGAAAAATCAGAACAGCAGAAAATAACAATGCTACAAGGCTTCCCCTCACTTTCCTATTCAATTTTCAGACTTTCCCATCAATTCAGTTCTTGGGTCTCCAAAAGTATTTTCCATTAGCTGCTCCTGGACCCTCCCAGGAGCTTCCAGGAGTATCCAGGAGTATCCAGTAGCAGCTGGGAGTGAGACCAAGAACAATCAGGAAAAATTAGAACAGCAGAAAATAACAATGCTACAAGGCTTCCCCTCACTTCCCTATTCAATTTTCAGACTTTCCCATCAATTCAGTTCTCATTATTTCTCGGGTCTTCGAAAGTATTTTCCATTTTTCTCCATCATTTCTTCCTCGATTTTGCAAATAATTATATATCCTGAAAGCACTTCAAAGGCACTACAGTTCCTGAATTTTTTGATTTTTTCCCTAATTATTTTTTTCAACTTTTTAGAAGTCCCTATTTTTCAAAATTTCCTCATTTCCCTCTATATCCCCCTGTCAGAGACCAGATTCAAGACAAGGGAATGTCTCCATAGTGGAGGGCTTTGGCCTCAGCGACTTCTGCCAAGAGCGCTGTGCCTAGTGACACGTCCGTGCCCTAACTTACTGTGTTTGTCATATCCCGGAATCCCGACCCCGCGCACTCCCACCACATCACACCTTCCTAACAACTTCACCATCCCCTACACCTTGCCTCCCCACTCTCCAAGTCACCTTCCCTCCTGACTGTCTCAGCTCCGGTCTGGTTGCGGCACACCGAACCTTGGCCACTCCCATCCCGGAACCTCGGTCCCGAGTCGGAACATTCGGAGATCCCGGATTTGCTCCGATATCCCGACGGACCTCCGACATCCCTTGACATGCCCTTAAACCCTTCCTCCACCCATTTCATTTATTTGAGTCACCCAACATCCTTCGGATACGCAACTCCGTTTTCGGAGCTACCCGCATCCTTCGGTGATCTCCCTCACGTAATCACTTATTAGTCATCTCCCATTCTTAGCACGACTACCTTCTTACTACCATTCAGTCGGCTAACCCCCTTTATCCATTTGTCTTCCCCATTCATTTTCCGGCCTCCAACTCCGCCCTCCTTGGCCCGACACCTCGGTTCCCCGTTTTAGATATCGTTCGGAACCTTTCAGTACCTCTCGGTATCATTCGGTACCTTTCGGTGTTTTCCCCATTTTGTCATTTCGGGCTTTGACTAAAGTCCTCCCCATCCTCCTTTAATAAATACACGTAGATTAGAACCTGTAGTTCCTCAGTTCTAATCTCGACTAAAATGCCACCCAAAGTCCCTCTGAGTGAATCCTGTCCCTGTTCTACAAGACACCTCAGACATAAGAAATACAAGGACTAACAGAGACGTTGTAGGCGGGATAATCGCCCACGCACAGACTCGGCTCGGATACCCACTTCCACGATCAGAAAACAACTTTCATTCACGCGACGACTCGGTACAAATTTGGTATCCAAAAACAGTCCTAATTCGTACGATTCTGACGATACCAAGAACGTCCCAATCGGTGGAGATTTGACGGAGTTCCGTGTTGGAGAAGTTAGGCACAGCAGGTCACGGGCATGTGCGGGCGTGGGAATCTCAGGCAGCAACCCAGAATTCCAGCCTCACTCGTTCCCACGGCGTCTAATAAATTGGTAAAAATGCTTATTGGCTGCGTGAGAGTTATCTCCGGCTACATTTCCAATTTAGGCTCTTAATTCCGTAAATCCATTGAGATATCGCTTATTTTCTCTTATTTTCATATTTTGCCATCATTTCAGATATTGATTGATATTCTTTTATTGTTACTGTTACCCTTTTTTTATTACTTTGCCTAATAAGGTATGCAGGTGCCATATGGTACCAATATTTCTCATCAATTATTCTAAAAATAATTGTTCCTTATATCCTGTACATACCGGATTTTGGAATAGAAGTTCTCCCCTCCCCCAATTTTCTCTAAGGTGCTAGGACGCGCTAGAGAGGGTGTGAGTGTGTGGAATTCCAACAGTAGGAATAAGGGCAGTGATCTAGCTCACAACGAGTGAGTAGTGGACACTGAGCCCGGACCTTGCGGAATCCCGGAGAACCCACATGGAGTTTAAGGATCGAGAGCTGTCAGGGCACAGCCCCTGACCCCACACACCCTCAGGTACCCTTCCCCCATTTTCTCCTATTTTTCCCTTCACTGTTCCACAATCCCGCATGCATGCAGACCGTGGGAACGTTCTGGGCGAGTTACTCGCCCAGAAACCATCACAGCCACAACCGTGGGAACTTTCTGGGCGAGCTGCTCGCCCAGAATCTTCCCACGGGGGGGTGCCAATTATGGAAAGTCGGCAAAGAGCCGAAAACTGTATAGTTCCCGGCTCCCATTTGTAGCGGCTTCACAGGAGGTTGAGAAGGTTACCCTTCTTCTCAACTCATTTCCTGTGAAGGCAAGTGTAACTAAGCTACTTCCTAAATGCGCAGCAACTCATTTCCTGTGAAGGCTGGGGCTAGCCCCCTCAGTGAGTTTGAAGACCTCGGACTGGGACTAGATACCCCAGCGACTCGGAGGATCCCCTTGGGCCTGTCACGGAACGAGGGCCGGGCCCTGACAAGAGCGTAGCGAAGTTTAGTCAAGAAGTAGGAGTTTTGGAGAGTTTGGCCCCACGAGCTTAGTCGGCATAGAGAGCCGCTAGCCCTCTTGCAACGTAACGGAGGCACAGCGCTCCCTCCGAGTCGCTGAGGCCGCGTCCTTCTTAGAGCCTCTTGTACCATCCAGCAGAACCGGGCTCCCTGAGAAGCTTCGGTTCACTACCGGAGCCCTCGGACCCCCCTCTAGTTGAGCCCCGCCTGCATTCGGACTCACGCATTTACCCCCTCTTCCATAATCAAACGGGTTTTTGACAGTGTTATGGAAATGGGAATTTCCCATTTTAGACTCTTATGGGTTCTGTATCACATGATTTGTATAGTAATAGAGTTTATCGAATCAATGATCAACGAAAAACCCGCTGCCACACTACCTGTTAAACTACATGTTAAACTATCTGTGAAACCATCTGTAGACCCTAATGAACCACCTCCCTTCCCCTTTCCTTTTCCCTACACCTCGAACGGACAAAAATGGGTGCCTCCGGCCCCATTTTTGTAACATACTGACTGGCAATTAGAACCTAAGGGGGGTAACTCTAGTTGATTTTATTACTGGAGTGTAATCTATGTACAAGTGGGATATATATATGGTTACAGCGAAGACAGGTCCGCAATTGGCGGAGCCGAACGGAGTGGAGCTAATGGGGTTAAACATTAGCCGACTGAATATTACCAACGAGTCGGGTCGCGGGGTTAGCGGAAAGGCAGGCGATAACCCAGAAACGGAAAGGAGGGATAGGCCCAAAGGTGGGCTCTGCAGGGCAGGCGATTGTATTGCCCAGCAGAGGCGGGGGTGCGCTAGCGGACGTCGGAGCTGTCCGGAAGTCTTCAGGGCTCCGTACTTAGGGAGGCATAGGTAATAAGTTGAAATGAGGGGGTGGTGACCATCGAGGGGTGCCGAGAGGATTGCGGAATATGGGGGCTCCGAGGTTAGTGAAGGAGGAGCAGAGTTAGACCGGAGGGAACGGAGGGACTGGAAGTCGATGGCCGGGAATGGATATGACACCCCCCCTCATTCCCCCCTCATTCCCCCCTCATTCCCCCCTCATTCCCCCCCTCATTTCCCCCCCTCATTTCCCCCCTCATTCCCCCCTCATTCCCCCCTCATTCCCCCCTCATTTCCCCCTCATTTCCCCCTCATTTCCCCCTCCCCCATATTCTGCCAGCCTGAAAGTGATTAAGTTGCCAGATTAATCATATATCAGGCCATAAATTTTGATTGTGTATTGGTGAGTCTCAGTGTCCTTGATATATAGTATAGTGTTTGATCTAAATGTTAAGCAGTGTCTTGTTGTGTTAGTCTTGTGGTAGGAGGTATTCATGGGGGATCTTCCCTCCTTTTTTTTCCTTTTCATTTTCAAATGCTCCAGGAGCTCCCAGAAGCTTCTCACCCCTATACACTTTGAAGCATTTAAATTGTATTTACTGGATATGTTTGTGCACAAAGCAATGCTCCAGGCCCTCCTGGGAGTGCCCTGGAGTACCTAGCCAACTCCAGAGGAAATGGGCTGTTCCTGGACCAGCCAATCTCCTCCTGATTCTCCCAGTGCTCTCAATACTCCGGAGCACTCAGGAGCATAACAATTTTTTGCTGATGTGGAGAATATAATGATGAGGAGAACATCCTTAAATGTGAACCATTTGTGCCTCGGAATGATGTCCAAGATTGGTAAGAGTATGATGTAGATTGCTGAGTGAGTTGGCCAATTTGGGGGTGTATGCTCCTGGGTTAACAACAACTAGCTGGTGCCGGATTTTGACACATTCTTCGATGAATGGTAGTGCCTCTGAGTGCTGTCCGAGATAGGAAAGAGCATTATGTAGATTGTTGAGTGACATGGCCAAATCCGGGGTGTATGATCCTGGGTTAACAGCAACTAGCTGGCGACAGAGTTTGACACTTTCTTCAATGAATGGGAGTGCCTCCGAGTGCCATCTGAGATTGGAAAGAGCATTATGTAGATTGTTGAGTGAGATGGCCAAATCCGGGGTGTATGATCCTGGGTTAATGGCAACTAGCTGGCGATAGAGTTTGACGCTTTCTTCAATGAATGGGAGTGCCTCTGAGTGCCGTCCGAGATAGGAAAGAGCGGCATATAGATTGTTGAGTGAGCTGGCCAAATCCGGGGTGTATGATCCTGGGTTAACAACAACTAGCTGGTGACGGAGTTTGACACTTTCTTCGATGAATGGGAGTGCCTCCAAGTGCTGTCCGAGATTGGAAAGAGCATTATAAAGATTGTTGAGTGACATGGCCAAATCCGGGGTGTATGATCCTGGGTTAACAGCAACTAGCTGGCGGTAGAGTTTGACACTTTCTTCGATGAATGGGAGTGCCTCCGAGTGCTGTCCGAGATCAGAAAGAGCATTATGTAGATTGTTGAATGACATGGCCAAATCCAGGGTGTATGATCCTGGGTTAACGGCAACTAGCTGGCGATAGAGTTTGACGCTTTCTTCGATGAATGGGAGTGCCTCCAAGTGCCGTCCGAGATTGGAAAGAGCATTATAAAGATTGTTGAGTGACATGGCCAAACCCGGGGTGTATGGTCCTGGGTTAATGGCAACTAGCTGGCGATAGAGTTTGACACTTTCTTCAATCGATGAGAGTGCCTCCGAGTGCCGTCCGAGTCCAGAAAGAGCAACATACAGACTGTTGAGTGACTCAGCCAAAGGAGGGGTGTAGGAACTTGAGTCCACAGAAAAAAGGTAACGGCAGAGTACAACAGAATCGTTTGCTGCCTCATATGCCTCCTGGAATCTTGAAAAAAATCCCAGGTTCCATGGAAGCTGGGTAAGCACTTCAGCCAGTGTGCTAACAGCCCTGTGGTCAACAGCCAACTGGAAGACCATGAGCTAGTTTCTTTAACACAATCCATAACCCATACCTTAGCCCACTCAGGGAGTAACGAGATACTGATGTAGTTTTCCATTCGCACACAAATTTCCACCCACCGAGTTGCTTCTTGACTCAGAAACACACTAACTGGTCCAGCAAGCTCTTCAGGCTGTTCTTGGACTCCACTGAGGTGATGGACGATGTGGTGACATGCATAACGAAAATGCTCAGATAATTCCTTTGGAGGAATGCGCAGCATTTCATCTTTTTCGGACAAGTTTTCAATCAGTCCTAAGCCCTTCACAGAGCAGAGATCCTTGTTCAAAATCTCAGTACATCACAGGGCAACCCTGGCATTCTCCACCCCCACAGCTACAGGAGTGCAACGAGAGCTGATTGTTCGGGGATTGATCCGATCAAGAATAAAATCATGGAAAGATTGGTGTAAGATGTGAACCGGAATGTGGGAATCCTCAACTCCTGAGAGCAGAGGAGCAAGTTCAGCCAATGCATATTGAACGGAAGAATTGAGGAAAGGTGATAAAATTACGTCCCAGGCTGTGATAGATAGAGGCTGCTGAGCAACGAAGATTGCTCCCATCACGATTGGATAATCATGCGCAAATTCTTCATCCTCCCAAGCGCACTTCTTCAAACTGCTGGTATACAAGTCATCCATCATCTTCTCAGCAGGGACCTCTGGTCGTTTGGCACCAATGTCGAGCAGAGTTTCTAGTGTCCCCATAGGATCCTTGTTGGCCATCTTCATGTAGCGAAAGATGGTGCTGATCCAGATAAACAAGCCATTTGCTTGTTCAGAGATTTCCTGTACCATCTTATCCTCGTCCTGAAGATTACGCCGTAAATCCCGATGTACCTTCTTCAGCTTTTGCAGCTGGAAGTGTATGTATATAGCACAGTCCTGCACATTTGCCTCATCCGAGAGATCAATGCGGAGACGATCAATAGGGTAATCGGGGGAGAGGTAGCGATTCACGAGATCGAATTGTCTCGATGTGATGAAGAATTTGACAGAAGACGGTAGCCTGGGCACTTCGTCCCCAAGAATTTCGGCAAGGGATTCGAACACTTCTTTGTCACATTCATCCAAAGCGTCGATGATGACCACCATAGGACGATCGGAAGGCGGAGGTTTATGAAGCAGGGGCGAAGCCACTAATTTCTTGAACTGCATCGTGAATGGAGCTGTTGAGAGGGTGGGGTCTTTTCGAAGGGCAGAGATAATGAAGGCACGGTAATCTGCGTCACGCTTTGCTAGAGCTTGAGCAATGCCGCTGAATAAACAGTCCGGCCGTGGCTGTTCGCCAACTGTGAAGAAAAAGCACAGCAACAAGATAGCCTCCCTGTTACATCTATCTGCAATCGTGTGCACAATCGAAGTTTTGCCAGCGCCAGCAACTGAGGTCAGTAGCATCAGCCGGTTCTCGTTATCTCCGGTGTTACGACACCAGTTCATAATACGCTCCGTGAGATCGACCCTGGTACCTTCCAGGCATGCCTCTGTTGAATCATGGTGGGCGATCTGAGGATATCGGAGATTATCGAGGGTTGGGTCACTCTCCAGGCGGTCTAAGGTGTCCTCCATGGTCGATAATTTGACGCCAATCGCACCTTCCAGATGGTCCAGGCTGTCCTCTATGGTTGACACTTTAGCGTCAATCGCACCCTCCAGCCGGTCTAAGCTGTCCTTTATAGTCGATAATTCGACACCAATTGTTAAATTCGTCCTAAACTGCACCGTCCGAAGATCAGAATGATTAGGGAACAATGCCATGAGGAAAGCTACCTGAAACGATGCCAGCGCTTTGTCAAAATCCTTCTTCAGGCCCTCGAATTTTCCAGGGTCTCGATAGTGAGACAGTGCATTTCTTACACCTGACCGTTCCTCTAGTTCTCTGAGTCTTTGTTTGATGTTGGACTGGATGCCTTGTAGCGCGCTGGTACTGGACGTAAGTATGGTATCGGAAACTACCAAAACCAATACAACGTACCTCCCAAGCTCCGCGACACCCTCCACCCATGACCCTGCCTCCCCCGCTGACACATCATAAGACTTTATGGCTGAAACTACCTTGGCCATAGTGCTAGCTACGTATTCACCAAAATCAGCCCATTCCTTCTTGTTCTCCTTGAACTTCTACGTGGCACACTAGTGTGAGCTTTCATTCGTAATCAAGCTGGAATCACCAACTTTAACCTCGTCGAAGATGGAGAGTGCACCGCCAGTCGCCATCTTTAGAGGGGGACACCAATCAGCGGTAGCATTGACGACCCTGAGAATTGGAACCGCCATGTCAACTCCCACCACGAGGAGATTATCGATCGTTTTCCTGAGATCTTCAGCCTTTTCCCGCAGCGACATGGTTGATAGCGGACGAGTGGATGGAGGAGAGAGAGCTTGAGCGCGCAACGCACGTGCAAGCCCCTAAAGGCCCAAAAGCTAGGCGTCCGTCTGATTATGGAAGAATATGATATATGTATTGACTATTTGGTCGATCCAGTGCTATCAGTGGCGAATTCTAGCGGTGGCATGACCCGGACTAGCTAGGCAATTGGTGCGGATGATGACATTACTGTAAGTCTACTGCACGAGAGCCAGTATTATAGCGCTGACTGGAACTGGAAGCAGGATGAATGTGATTAGGACTGTGGGGCGTCATACCGAGGCACTGGTCACGGCGGTCGCTTCGTACAGAGAGCCGGCGGTAAGCGGTGCCAGGGCACGCGTTCGCGACGTATGTGCGTCAGTGGAGCATTCCATCTGGGTCCAAGAGCGCAGCCATGAGCTTTCACATAAGCCATGTTAGTAGGATGCCAGTAAGTGGCCGGGCGCTGGCATTGTGCACGTTGATTAAAAAAACGGGCCCTGGACAAGTATACAGGCCTTTTTGTTCAAGTCCGGCTAAAATCGTTCTCCGCAACCAATTTCCTTTCCCTTTTGGTTAGGGGCCAACGTTCTAGATAGCGCCTTATAAGGTCCACAGCATCACAGCAGTAGTGACGGTTCGTACATGTCCCACGGTCACTGGTTCCAGGCTCGTGGAGCTGTAAGCGTCAACTTGAACACCACCGCGGGCGCACGGCGTCCCACACCCGTGCACTAGTTAATTATAATTGGCACCTGGAAAGTAGCTCGGGACTCCAAAGCCTGATTCGCGGCGTTCCCTATCCAGCACAGTATGTGGCCGCACTGGACCTGAATTCACACTCAGCTCTCGACTTGATGCATGTAAAACCGACAAAGGACTGTTATCGATACACAATGATCGCCAAGCCAGTTGTAAAGAAAGATGGCACCCAACGGTTAGCGCCAGCACCATCATCTCCTAAACGCGGGACAGAACCAAGGAAAGATAATGAAACGTGTGAAGCTCACGACTGCAACGCTTGAAAAAATGAAAATGGAAAAATGAAGATTGTCTATTGGTGGACAACCCGGTAATGAGCAAGAGTTAATATGAGGTAGTGGTGTTGGACGACATGCATGCCACGACGCGCCGGTATATATACGCCCATTACGTTACAGTATACCATTTCTACCATGTCTTTATCTCCACGCAACGCTACAGTGTTTCACGTATAGCAGCGCGTACCATGTCTCGTTCACTATTCCCTTCTCTGGTATTTCGTTATTACCTTGGCTACTTATACTGCCGCGCGGTTACATGTTATCAATCAATCTTCCCCCTTCGTACGAGCATCATGAGTGCTACGTAACGAGAAGGTACGTAGTGCGTGAGCCCATAGTAGGAGATGAGAGTACTGAAAAGGAAGGGCCAAGAGTGGATGAAATGATGTCATAAGCACCGCTACATAACGTATATCCGAATCGAGTCGAACATCATTCAAGTGGCGGAATCCGGCTATTCGGCAAGAAAAGAGACTTTGTCAAATTTGGAGACTGGTTATTTACATAAGGGTAGACGGCAAAGTGGGGATCCATGTGAATATGGCCTGCAATGAGCAGCGCAATGCCTACTTCCAGGCACCACCCACAAGAAGACGCTCCTAACTCTCAGTAGGATTCGGACGTCGACAGCGTTAGAAGGTAATAATACAATGATGTCCGAAGGCGCGCAATGTGGCCCTGATTGATCCTACCATCAATTATGGTGAGTAGGTGATGTGGCCCAACAGTACGGTGATAGCATTGGAATCTGGACTTGATACCGACAGAGATCGGTACAGTGCTGAATAGGAACGTATCGAGAGAGGTTGTGGCTGAGAAGGACACTGAGCGCTGTTGAACAATCAGCCTAATTCGGCACATCGACTCGATGATCCCAACGTTTCAAGTTCGAGCCGGAGTAGGAAAACTCAACCTATATAGCCAGGACATCAAGGCTTCCAGAGTTCCATCGCGCATACAGTATGAGCCGCCGCGATTGGTCCGTTCGGGATGCAGTGTTGCGTTTAGTTTAGGCCTGATGGCCAGCGTACCTTTAATAAGAAATTACAATTGGTTAGAGTACCACACTCGGAGAACCACGTCATCACTTTGAGCGATCTCCTCTCCGTTGTACGCAATGATATCTAATGAATGGTCCATCCATCCAACCTGGAAAACGTTCGACATCAGTCATTCTGGGGATATTGTGTGAATTAACAGTGAAGTGGGATGGATCCTGACTCCACTGAGCTTTCAGCACCGTCAACCAACGTCCAGTTTGACAGTTATGAGCTTTTTGTATTGGTCCGGGAAACTTTAATTTCTCCCCCGATGAGAGCCAAGCATCTAGATTCCAAACTTATTCCGCGCAGGTCAGTGAGAAGTGGTGGCTTTGCCCGAGTACACAGCCCAGGTTTTGATGAAAGGAAATCTGTGACGGCTTCGTGATCTGCTTCCAGGACGGGAGGTGGTTTCACTTTAAGCGAGCTGGAGCCGTCATCATCACCCCCAACAAGTGCTCCAGTTTCAATTAACATAAGCTTTCAAACGTCCCATATTCTGCCGTAAGTTAAGTCCAAAGCACTAGCAGCATTGCTGACGCTTACTTCAGGGAAAGATCGTTGCTCGCGGTGCACAAAGGATGACTCCTTCTCCTTCCAGCAGCAGGATTGATGCTGACACAACCAATCTTCAATTTAGCATTCACTTGTCCCCGTAATCGGCTGCCTTCCCGGAGGTCCAAACAAGCTTAGTCCACCATCACTGTCGGAGATCCATATTTCATTCCCACATGGCGCGATATCAAAGGATGTGACCAGTGTCGAAGTCGAGGCAAGAGAAAAGAGCTCAGTAGATTGCCCAGATGTAAAGGAGGTCACACGCAGCGTGGAATCATAGGATGTCTAAAAACCTGTGTAACTGAATAAGCTGAGTGATTCCCATCCGCACGCGCCTTTACACCAAGAGCATCGGTCGGGCCGAATTTGATGCAAGACATTGAGATCTTTCGTTTGCTCCAGGTGGTAAGCCATGGAATAAACCCTCTCCCTCGTATCCTCGGCTCGCGATCGCACGACCATGCGGGTGAGTCTTTTCCTAAGATCATTGATATCAGGATCGCTGCCCCGTAGCTGAGAATATTTCGAGAGTTCTTTATTCGTGCTTCGACAGAATGTACGTCCTTGCAAGCAGCTTCGAGTGTATCCCTTAATGACGAGATTGATTCCTCTGTGTCGTCCTCGTCACTGACAAGATCGTCCAGAGAAAGATTTCCATGGCGCGGATGCTCACTACGCGGCCGAGCTCTAACACCGCAAGCCTCTCTTCCTCTTTGTTTGGGCTACAACAAAGAGAGAAGCAATGGCACGCCAGATACGCGCCTGACGCGGTCATTCGAGTAAGTGGCGAGCGGACGACGTATAAACCAGCCTGTGTGTGGGTGTGTCATCCGGGCTGGCGTGCAGATGGGCAAGTCTGGAGGACTGCCGTCGGGGAACGGACATGTTCTCCTTTTTCGCTTTCTCCGCCTTCCGAGGCCGGACTGGACGGGCCCGTTCGGTCTTCCCTGAAGTTTTGATTTTTGCAGACTTAACGGGAAACATCCCAAGGGAATAAGAAGCATCTTTCAGGTCCAGGGACGCCAAGAGTGCTTCATTCTCTGCGATATTTCTTCGGCGGATTTCCTCGCTTTGTCGTGTCGCTCAAGCATAGATCGCTGAACAAATAAGATGCGAGCTCACTAGTCGATGTCCTCCTCCAGGAAAGCGCCTTTGGGAGGTAACAGTATCCGCCTGCTTTGTGAGGAGGTCAGGTGGTTGGCCGAGCTTGAGGCTTTTGTTTCCAGAGTTCCCTTTTGTACGCACGGTGTATAGAAGTAGGGAAAGCCACCATCAATGAGGTCTCGGGATAACAAGACAGACGCACAGAGTTTACACAAGGGGGTGGGAAAGCACCGTGGGAAAATGCATGGTTCCACACCATCCATGGGTCACACTCGCGCGCTTAGCATTTTCTACGCTCACAACACTTGGACACCGTAAGGGTCCATGCTGCCTGTTCCAATTTCATTTTTTACTCCCCGCATTGCCACATGCGCTATGCAGTATTCGAATAAAACTCCATCAGGCTTGACCCCGGGCACGTCGACGGAATATTGTTACGAAGTCATAGAGGCTGGAGTCCTGCCTGGTCGACATAAATGTGTCGCCAAAAAGGGGGAACAAATACTCGTCGATCGCAGCAACTCGTCCCTTCTCCTTGTCGTAAACTCAAGCGCGTCTGCAGACAAAGGCCTCATGACAAGAGTTGAAGACAGGGTGGAAAGACAAATGGGAGGACCCCTATTCATGACCGGACGTCGCTCTTGTTCAGTCTTGGATGTTGGCACTTGTGCGGCGGACGAAGGGGAGTCGCGTGAGCAAGTGCAATATCCCGCCCCTTGAGCAGAAAATTGAAAGATAGAGATACGAATGTATCGAATCCTCGCCATCGTCTTCCGACCGCCTGTGCCAGCTTCCCAGTGCCGTAGCCTTGTGGATCACTGTTTTCTTGAGAAAAGTCACGATGCACCGGGCAAATGCACAAGCAATGCCTCTCCACCTGAAATGGTCAGACTTGCTCCTGCCTCACGCTGACGTTTTTGACCCTCGTATCGGAAATGCCATTCTGAGTCGCTCCTTGCGCTCTTCAGGACCTACATCAAGGAAATTAGTTGTCGAATCCGTGCATTTCCACACTTCGAGTTCCGCTGCAGCAATCTTGGCAAGGGTGGATGGCGCCTTATCCTTGACTGTCTTCTTCAGGCCACATAGCGATATTGGTATTGGCAGATACTCCAACTTTGAAGGGCGCTCCAATAGGCCTGTTTTCGTGATCGATGAGGAGGTACCAGACTTTCATGGCGGTGGTGGGCCACCTTGTAGCAACCTTGAATGCTTGCATGGAATATCCATCGAATCAAGCGATAACGCGGGTAGGACTGCTGATGCATCACTCTTTCACCCCCAGTGATTCTCCCGATCGCCGACTTCGTCTCTGCGTTCGTGTATCAACCATACTGGATTCTGCCTCCTGTATCTTGCGTCTCTGTGCTTGAATTATGTATGCCTTAACCCTGTATTGTGATGTCCAATGCTCTACGAGCACGATCCGCACTTCCAGTCGAATGTCAAACATCACCGTCGGGTTCATCAAACAGGTTGTAATAGTCATTGTCGGTCGCGTCCCACACTGTTTATCTAGTCGCCCATCGGGTAGAACGTTAGTGGCGTAATGCTTCAGCACTAATTAGCTCATGTATCCTCAAGTTCTATCTTTCTGCGGCTTTCGACACGTTTTGCCTAAGGTGACTATCTCCGAGTACGCTGAAGTGGAACCCGGGGCTATTTAGTCGCACTGTTGAATTGAAGAAAAGAAAATGATGGAAGTATGCTAATATCGCGATGTAACAAAACAGCCCCGAAAGTGTGAGAGCAGCGGGCGCTTGCCGCGCCAGCCGACCCCTCACTCTAGCTATTACTCATTTATAGGTCACTACTCAGGGCAATGCTTCCCAGCTAGCAGAACCTGGTGCTAGTCAAGTTGTCCTACATATGGCTGGGGCGGCACTCGGACGACGTGGTACTGCTAAGGAAGAACGCAAATGGCCTGGTATAAACGACTCTACATATGTGTTTCGAAGGTGACTTCCCAATAATTGTGTCCTATACTGCGGCTATCGAGAGGATATTCGATCGATTTGGCTCCGTGAATCAAATTACTTAAAGACTGGAGCGCTGAAGCCCAGCCCAAACAATGTAGTTAATTGTTCCTTGTGTGTGAAGGCCAGAGTGTAATTCTCCTTGATCGTCTGGGAAACGTTCATCCTGGAGTGGCTTCAGTAGTTCTGAAAGGGAGATCCTGCATTTTGCACGAAATTAGCGCTTCCATCTTATTGCCGTAAAGTCTTGAGAATATAATGCCACTCCACCCGGTACCCGGGTCAGCGTGCGCAATCTTCTGTGGAAGAGTGCAGTCCTGGTCGGTTGACAATCAGTGATTTGAAGACAGACATTCAGGATGTTGTGTAACAACTATCGCCGGTTGGGGCAAGTTCGTGAGTATTCCAAGAGTATGCTGTTTCCGCGAGTGCGACGAATATAATACAGGTTGAAATGTGCTCACCATAAGGACCTTCTCATTCCCCCGAGAGGCGCTTCCCCTGAATCCGGGTTAACTCTGGCGACGTAGAGCGAGCAACAACACTAGGTGTGACCCATAGGCATGGGTGTAAGGAGGTCAGCCATCTCGGCAAAACACTCTTCTTCAGGTAAGGAAGCACTTGAAGCCGTATGGAACAATGAGGTGAGCCACGAGGCAACAAACTATTGATGACGCAAGCACATTGGGTTCAAGTCCGTATCGAGTGGCGTCACTGGCTAGTGTCTCACTAGTATTCCTGGTAGTTTCACATGCTTCTTGTGTATCCAACGATCGGACGAGACGCCGATCGCAATCAATCCACCTCGCTGGCTTGCTGATATGCTATCAATTGGCGGTCACTGATGACATTTGCGAGGCGGACTGTTGCCGAATTTCCCCCGTCGTGCCGGCCGTACTTGGAAGAACGCTAGCGACTCTTAAATGAACCAAAGGAATCCACGAGTGCGCAGTGCGTGGCAGTTCCGGGTTTCATCGTTCGGGTAAGTTCTACACCTGGATGCTTAGCGGTGAACAAGGCGTTTCGCAACAGGAATCAAACGGGTGAGAACTAAATATTGGTTTCATGCGTGAGACTACAAGAAAATGAGATTTGATAAACAAATGTATGCCGCGAAAACGGCGCAGTGGGAAGTTTATGGGGGCATATTTCATGGATAATGCCCCTTCCACGGTATAAATACAGTATGCAGGAAGAGTACAGTGCGTTATATCCCCTTGACGGAATTGAACCTGTGCTGAGTGGCTCGTTAGTCCGCTGCTCTGCTCCGTGCCGATTGGGGCTCGAGGAGCCGGTTCAAGCCATCACTGGCTGCACACGCACTGGTGTCCTTGCCTGCTATTTTCGAGTTACTCAACGGTTCGGAAGTCTAGCGGTGAGATGATGAGACCATGTGGGAGTGCGGGGTTCGTGACACAAGGCTTACCGAACCGATTCTCCATCGGTGGAAATCCAATTACGAGGATTTCGTCATCCTGAGCATCCAAGTCAGTCGTTGCCCCTCCAGTGGTAGTCATCAAGTAGAAAACGTACGTTGGACGCATCAACAGTTGCCGGAACGGGAGAATCATCATTGAGGGCAACATCCCCACTTTGTGGTAATATTGGACTGAGGGCTATGCCCTCATCAACACTTCCCCACGATGTGATCCGGAGAGCCAATATCAAAAACGATAAATAATGTGCCTTCACAGAAAACATCAGATTTCCGCGCATATTAAGATCAAACGTAAAGGAAAACTAACTGGCCCCGATAAAACCGACGTCAAATCCATGACAAGTGGATTGGGCTAGCGGCAAAGGATGAAAATAAACTGGTCCGCGAGCTCTCATCAGAGGATGTCTCTCACCCAAAAGAGGAGAAGGAATCCTCTTGGAAGTTGTACTGGGAGAACGAGGAGGAAAGCAAGAATCTTGAGAGTTGTTGTTGTTTAATACAATGTGGCGTTGGACAAGTATGAGCCTTTACATACACAACGTTTCCTCCATTTGAATGATACCTGCCTAAGCATGTCATCACAAAATGATTCTCGCAGCCCTCTGCTGAGAATTCGACGTTGTTCTACATGCCATAGGCCGATAAGACTCGTTGTGAAACCCAGGACCAAGCAGATGGTGTTTGCAAACATGGCCGTCGCCAGTATGCGATTTCGAAAGAGACCGTGTGATCTGATGGGGGGAAACGGAAACTGCAGTATAAGATTGCCACGATAAGCAAAAGCAGCAAGAACTTACGGCCCCTGCTCCACTAAAATTTCTCCGTAAATTGATAGTGCTGTTGAGGATGTTAAGCGAAGGAAACGTGTGAGACACAATAGCGCTCACCGGACTCAGCTGCACAGAGAAAAATTGTGATCACCCAACAGAACAGCAAAATTGGGCGCATTATTCGCCGGCAGCTGAAGCATTCACAGGCCAACCGTAGGGCTCTGACCATCGATGGCATTAGACTCTAGAATGGTTGATGGAATGGCGAAAACCTTGCCTGAAGCTCAGGAATACTGAAGGTAATCAGAGTGGGAACACAGTCAATTGTCAGAATTGCACTACTCACAGTGAAACACGCTGATAATCGGAACAGAGACTAGATGGTGGCAACTTCGTAATATCTTTTCAGTCGCTTCATTGATCGGATTGCCTAGAACATAGGTCAAGATGGTGATTGAAAACCTCAATATTCTGGTACAACAGCATACTAACAAGAACTGATGTACTGGAACAGGAGGAGAATCCCAGTGACTATGGTGAGAATGAATGAATATTAACTGGCGTGATTCTGGTCTTTGCACTCACCGAGTTGCATGGAATGTAGCGGCACAAGTATAATAGATAATATGAACATGCCCCGCAGGGAGGGACGATGCTTTGAAGAGAACCACATCGCCCCCAGCAGGGCTGATGAGGCACTAAATATAGAAGTAACGAGCACAACCCCTGCGATGCAAAGTGTCATTCTAAAAACGTGCACATCAAATCAATTGATCATCGTATTTGAACGCGTATGACACACCGGAGCGCCGTAAATGTCATCAGGAAGGGTATATCTCACTCAGGAAAGTGGAGGGGGAGCAGCAAGAATGAACCGGCAGGACAAACACGGTGAGCAGAGTGTTGAGTCCTCGGATGCAAATACTTGTAAGTCAAGCCATCCTTCGGCGAGCTAACTACGAGTAGCTAGGTCGACATCCTTCCCAACTCATTGTACAATTTCTTCTTTTTCACCGCACCAGCCGGCGCTGCTCACATGATCCCGGATTGTGGCGTGGCACGCGGCGTGTGGCATGCTGCTCAGATGGGTTTAATTGCGCGGATCACAAACGCCAGGATGGTTATTTCTGCCACTGGATAATCCGGGAAAATCGGGACTGGGCGTTCCAAGTCTGTGAAGTAAAGGGATTACGCGAGAGCAAACGGGATTCGCCTTGCCGAAATGCCTTCGTTTGTTGAATTTCCTCCGCCGATGAAGCTGTGGTAGAGCGGGAGTTGAAATCAGGCTGTCTGTAGGTCTCCCATCAACGGTCACGGAAAAGCGGTATTCATGAGCCCAAAGATGTGATTTTGAATAGGAGAATCGATGAAAACATTCACAAGGTATGTATTTCCTCCATCGTTTAGTATTTGGATTGATACCTTCAAGATTTCGTGTGTGTTGACGCCCGGTGCGTTTCAGCGCGTATCGTCAGGCACCGGTGTGCTCGGAGAAATCAAGGTTCGCGTTAATGTACATCTCGAACAACGTCAGCTGAAGAGGTAAGTAGACGCAATGCCGACTTCGAGGCGCCACCCACAAGAAGATGCTGCTAACTCTTAGTTTGTTGGCAAGATTCAGACATCGACAGCGTTAGAGGGTGATCCAATCCTCGGCCGAAGGCGCGCAATCTGGCTCTGATTGATCCTACCATCAATTATGGTGAGTAGGTGATGTGGCCAAACAGTACGGTGATAACATTGGAGTCTGGACTTGATACTACAATGGGCGACAGAGATCGGTACAGACGTCTAACATGCGGGATGGAAACAGTATACGGGAATGACTCGAGAGAGGTTGTGGCTAAGAAGGACACTGAGCGCTGTTGAACAATCAGGCTAAGTAATTCGACACATCGGCTCGATGATCCCAACGTTTCGAGCCGGAGTAGGAAAACTCAGCCTATATAGCCAGGACATCGAGGTTTCCAGAGTTCCGTGGCGCATACAGTATGAGCTGCTGCGATTGGTCCGTTCGGGATGTGTTTAGTTTAGGCCGGATTGCCAGCGTACGTTTGGTCTCGGGGAGGGCCACCACTTTAAACAAACAGATAAGTCATTGGCGTGAAGCGAGCTTTCTCTCATCATTCTAACTGACGGAACCTTAGTGAAGTCCGCAGAGATAATCAGGCATGACAGAACAGTCACTACCCGCGCGCGGCATTCTGAATGCTAGCCCTCGGCGAACGCCGCTTTCAGATTTTGCAACCTCACAATAATTTGGAACAACCGCAAGTAATACCCACTAGAAGCAGTGGCTATCAGTAGCCTCACTCGGAGAGAAGCTTTTCCAAGACGCATCTGAGGACTCAACATCGTGTCCTCTTTCCTCTAAACTTGCGTCGACATTTCATCATGTGAACGCTTTGTCAGAAGGCTCTCGGCGCAGTTCCACACTGACGCATACCGCCTGTATGGAATATTTCGTTGGATCGAACGATACATGTGCAGCACTACTGATGCACCACTTAAACTCACTCACCTTGGTGATTCTCCCAGTCCCAGACTTAGCTTTTGGGCTCATACATTAACCACATTGGATTCTGCTTTCTGTGTCTTGTGCTTTGGTGCTCGAATTATGCGTCCTTTTTTCCCCCTCTTGTGACGTCCAATTGGATGTCATACCTCGATATCGCCATTGAACAGTTTACAATGGTCGTTTCCCTCCACCGGTTAGTCGCCCATTCGGCGTAACGTTATACACTGTTCAATAATGCTTTTTCGCCGGCTCATGCACCCGTGGGCTCTATCTTTTTCCGCTTTTTTATTCAAATGATGCCACTGCCCCCAAGTGCACCAAAATGAAACCCAAACGGTGTACTATTGAGGAAGTCCAAAAAAATACAGTGATACTGCAAGTCTGCAACTCATGAAAAGTAGCTCCAAAAGCGTGAGGGCATGGGTGCTTGCAGGCACCATGCGTTACTAACGCAAGGCTGTATGGAGCTGCTGTCGACGAGGTGCTAACGCCCTTCACGCATCCTATCCAGCCCCCAGCTCGTCCTTGGAACACGATACTCACATTACTCTCCACGCTTGTGACACCCCTCTTCGGCTTAAACGTATTTCGCTGCATCGCACGCATCCATGTAAGTGTGGCAGCAATGTGGGTGAAGTCCGACTGCCAGCCTTCACGTCCGGGTTTGATCAAAGAACTTAAAGAGTGAGAGTACTGGAGAAGAGAGCTGGAAGAGCGGTCACTTGAAGCTATCTATGTCTGCTGGCTTATGATCAAGAGTCGAAGTACGTGAAGTTTGGGTGCCGCGCTCCACATGCCCGTTCGTCACCCGACCATCTTTGCAGCCAGTGAGGGTTAGTGAGGGTTGCGTACAGGCTATTCTACTCAGATAGCTCTACGACTAAACTCCAAGAGTGGTCATCGGCCTTGCCGCTGTGGGGTACACCTTCCGACTCGTCACTATACTCCATATATATTCCATATCGACGAGAATTTGTGGTCCAACCCTGGCGAAATCGGCGAGCGAATTTGTACCGTATCCTTCTGTGTTTGTTATCGTTTCTGGGCAGTGGCCACGAAAACGCCGCTCAGGAAGGGAGGAATTCGCTCTCCCAACATCTAGGGTCCCGCGGCCCCTCACGGATAGGCTTCTCCTTCCTATGGTCATATTCCACAACCTGGTGCTTGACGGAATTGTCTTGACGTTGACGGCGTCATTGGAAGAATTATCGATGGAGACACCCTCACCCACGAAGTTAGTAGTGCGTATGTTCCTCTTCTGCATCACGAGACGCAATATGTTTCCTGGGACAAGTCGGGTCGGACTTCACACACTTGAGGGCGCTTCTGTCTGATGATCTTGTGAGCGCCGCCCACCAGAAAGGGAACCTGCAATTGGCTGTGACGTGGTTTTGTCGTGGTATCTGGACCCTGGCAAGGCTCGAACCCAAAGGTGATTGGGGTGTTGAATACCGAACCGAGAGTGGAGAAACGTCAAGTGTTCGACGTGACCCATCGCTCTGGGGTATTTCAGTAAGGCTGGTCATCTTTCTTGCTTCTCTAGCTGGATGGTTGTTTTTTTGGCACTAGTTGCCCCTCGGCCCTATAAACCCCCAACATAATTCGCCTACTCGCCTCGTCCCCATTTGCTCGCTCTCGAGCGAATGAACTAGGGGTCAACCACTACTCCCCGGACATGAAGCCCGATCTAGTGTCCTCGGCTCGGCGGCAGCGCTCTCTTGACTTGTAACATTCTTCCAGTGACTGGGTGCTTCTTGCGTGCCTTTATAACGGAGTCCATTGTTCTGTTAAGTGCCCCGTACTATCGCTGAGGCAGTCGTTCGGAAGGACGGACAGAAGGCACTATCCCTGCTGACCCATACCCTATGGCAGTCACGAACTGTCCCCAATTTTACTTTCAACCGGGTCGTTCACGGGCCGGATTTCATGCGTATGCTACTGTACGTGGGAAAGTTCTCACTGATTAGAAGTTGTTCACTTCTTAGTCACGACTGGAGCCATTTAAGTAATTGGACTGCATCCCCACATTGAAAGAGTTGCGGGTGAAGGGCGTTCCGACACCAGAGTCTGGGCATCCGCCGGGAAATCATCCTGGCGCCATCTGCCTGTTGTCCAAATCTCCTATTATGACTCGGAGATGACATAATTCTAATCTTTTGCTTTTCAGGATACTTAGCAATAGCGTCCCTGGTGTGTGGAAGTACGGCTCGGCTTGACGGTATGATTTCCGCCCCCCTAGAGATATGCTCCCCACGCCCGTGGCACCGTTCCTTAGCTTGGTCGTATTCGCTTCACTTACGAATAGCACTCAACTTCGTGGGTGTAGCAACGGTATGGATGCCACCGAACTGCCGGTCCTCGCTTCCAGATTTGTGGCGACTCACAGGGTGTTTGAAGGGAAGATAAAAGGAACGTGCATCGATTTTCTACTGACATATGATCAGGCGAGAAGTATGTGAAGTTTGAGGATTGTGCCTCATATACCCACTGATTGTTCTTGCAGACGTTGGGAGTTGTGCAAACGGTTATTTCACCAATCAAAAAGTTTCAAACATGTCGCGCGGCAGAACAACGATGTTGCCGTGATGGATCCAACTTCCGAACCTCAATGTTTATCCTTCCCATAATCAAATTCCGCAAACCTGAAGCCCGACGGTATTGCCCTGCACGTCGATGACATTATCGGAAGCACCATCAGCGGAACATATTTCTCTAGAACGAACTCTCCCACGTGGAGATGGACGTGCGTGTCTTTTTTCTTGTGGTGCAAGATGCTATGTGGATAAACATGTTCCGAGTAGATTAGGCCAGACTTCTTCACACCTTCCGGGGCGGATGCTCTGCACCTAATGACCTCGTGAACGGCAGTCCACCAAAAGCAGGACCTGTGTAGTTCTGTCCCATCGGCAAGAATTCGCGCTGTAACCCCGACCGTATTCAGTGAATGCTGCCAATTACCTGATGAAACTCAGTCGAACATCCAGCATGGATTAACACGAGCGGGTCCTACAAGACTCGTATTACTTATGAGTGTCTTATCGTGGCATTGAACCTCAAGTCGTATAGCCCTCATTCAATGCCAAATGAACTAACACTCGTACCAATCCCCAACTCACCCTCGTATGGTAGTTTTGAATGAAGCAAAAGTGCTAGAAGGATAGTTGTAAAAACCTGGTTAATTACTAGAGGATTTTCTATGTACGTGCACTGGTACTACTCCTAATCTGATCAAGCGCTAGAAAACACAGGCAAACGGCAACCCCGATTCGGGGAGACAAAGCGGGTCACGAAAGCAGCCAGGCAGATCGCAGGGATTTTCAGCAAGCAGAGGCAATGAGTGTGATCGAAAGTAAGCAATAACAAAGCCAAATTAGGGTATACAACGTCAGGCATGGGCACGCCAGAATGCGAATGGGGCAATCAGTCCTATGCACATCTGCAAACTTCGGCGTAAGAACCTGACGATTGTGAAGAGGGTGTTATTGACGCACTCCATTATGCTTGTCTCCAACACTCTAAACTTCGATATGTCTTTACTTTCGTCGCTGAAGCCAATGACTTCCTTCCACTCTTTTGCGTCTGCCTCCTTCTCGCTAGAGTCTGCAAATTTCACCATCTCTTCGTCGCTGACCCCCCGCCACATCAAGAAAATTCGAGTAAAAACAGCAGGTTCCGTTGATACGCTAAGATCGATAGCAGCGGACAGACGCGCCGGCTGCATGAAACGGTAGGCAATGTGCTTATGATTAGCGAAATTCGCCACAGCATTACTGCAGCAATTGAAATGAGATTGGTAGTGCAGATGAGAGGTCCAACTCGCCTAATAAACAGGGTTCTCGCTGAGATGGAAAGGCCAAGGTCATCCAATACTTTGCTAATGTGAGGGATAAACAACGAAAGCGGCATGGCGAATCCATTGGAGGGGGATATGTATGAGACTGGATCCATTTGCGATGTGTCTGGACTGCAGGATTCCCAAGGTGAGCGCAAGGTACTCCAGTATTAAAATAAACATACAGGGCCTCATAATATAATGACGTGACTACAGCATTAGATTCGAAGTGCTCTAAATACCCATCGGGATGGCCCCGTAAGAAATACTGGACAGAGAAGCCTCTTAAAACTAATATGTTCTACATAATAGTTGCTGCTTACTTTGATTTTACGATCCCCTGCAGGCTCCGCTGTAGGATACGTCGTGCCAAACCGCCACATTGGTGCCAGACTGATGTTAACGTCACAGTATTGTTGACTGGGCGCAAGAATCGTCAGGGCACACTTCGCGGTTGTTGGCCTTGCAGCAGCCATCATGAGTTTCGCCATGACTCTAGAGTCGAAGAAAAGCTCGTTAGGAATGACTGGAGCAGTGGCGGAGGCAATGCCCAGCCGAGTTCCTGAGAAGTCCATCGAATGATTGTCGTCTTGATGAATGATTTTCAAGACGCCCCAAAACGATCCTTCAACGAGCATTCCGTCCTCAGTGCGTGACATGTCCAGATCATCCGATTCACAGTTCGTCTCTAACGCAACTGTCCGCCCTGGTGTCAGCTCCAAATTGAAGGTCGCCGGCATCTCTAAGATAGGAGGTGGGCTAAGTTGGCTATCATCAGTACACAACAGTTGGTATCTGAATGTTGACTTACGGGGGAGGCGGAGGATTAACTTCCTCTTCAGGGGGAGGTGGTGCATCCGTCACGATTTCCATGCGCAAACCGTGTGAAGTTTGCGCAAGTTGATAAGTGTCATCAGTGTCGATGTAGAGGTATGGTCCTAACAAGAACAGATGATTTAGATTAATGGTGGAGGGAGGAAGTGCGTTTGATCCAACCTTGAAGGAGTCTAGATGCTTGAATGGATGCGTATTCAACCGGGACTCGTAATTGGAAAGGTACCCCAGGGGGCGGTCTGACCCATTCTTTGGCGACGGCAACAGCATCCTAAGGCTCGCATGTCAGACGGGTTTTGGATGGAAGTCTTACAAGACCCGTGTTGCCATAAGATGGAAAACAGGCTATTCTTCGCACGCATAATGGTGTGTGCGATGTCATCAAGACACGAGGCGCAGAGTCTAAACGAAGATCCGATGACGATACTCACTGCGAAGGTGGGTGGGAGAATCTTGATCGTCTCCATGTCTTCGTACGCCAGCGTCAAGTAGCGCTGCTTGGCCATTACCCCTATAGGAGGGTAATTTGGCTGCGGAGACTGGTAGCGGGAGAGGAACATAATGTCAGCACTAAGTTACTACCCCTCAGCTGGATTCGATGATGGGAAAATGGGAAAGGAAAGCACAACACAGTTTCTAGTGGTTGGGAGGGGGGAGGAGCGCGAGGGGAGAGCAAATGCTTTAATCGATTATGGTGATAGATAGATGCCGTCGGAAAAGCAAGGGAGCGGGCAGGCAGGCAGGCAGGCGAGGAGCAGGGTCTGTTATAACATTTGACTCACCCCCCATTCATTCTGTTGCTTTTTCTTGTCGTAATGCCGGTATATTTGCGTTGTAGATGTTACATTTGAGCGTAAGGTTGCGTTCGTAAGTGTTGGGGAAACTGGGGGAAGGTTCAAGTTCTGCAGACCAGGAAGATCTCTTCTCGGAGCGCCTTTGAACATGGTACGGGTTGCGATCGATCGACGTGGGCACTACGGAAATACGGAAGTTGCTTGACGAGTTGCAGAAGGAAATTGAGCTTTTGCTTCAGGTAAGATGGGCAAATTTGACGCAAAGCGCAGAAAACATGAGGCCCGCCAGGATCCGATCTCCCAATTTAGGAAGTTACCTTCTCAAGGAACCTCTTTGCTGACTTAGGCTTGAACACAATACCCAAAATACAGCTAGCCACACTATATGCGTTCGATGTCCTGGCGCACGTATTTTGCGCGCTCCAGTGATGTTCTCGACCCCGAGCTGGGATAATATTGACAATCCCACACACGTGAACAGATTGGGGGCAATTTAATTCTCACCGACGACATCATGCTCGTCCCACCGTTCGCGAGGAGAGCGGTCGTGGGTTTAACCAGCCATTATGAGATGACACCTTCCCGTGGACTCTTATCCACCCTTCTGCTCTCTACTGAGAAATGGACGGGAAGAAGTGCTAATGAGCTTCGTCGGGAAGCCAAAGCCACAAGGCTCTCTCAGTGCGTCAATTGACAACGAATCCTCATTGCGTGTTGATGTCTATTTTAGAGGCAGGAACACGCGAGTCCTGGTCCGGAGATTCGCTGAATCGCTTTGCGCCGAGGTGCACACGCAACTGAAGCCCGGTGCTCTCGCCCCCGCCGCACGAATGTTCGTAACGAGCGCACAATCGGACCAAGGCGACACTTCCAGTAAATTCACCCCTCGCCGACGCAAGGTGTTGGAAATTAAGTTACCCGAGGAGCCAGAGGTTCCCGACGAAGGCCCCATTATTGTGAGTTCAACTTGCTTGTGAAGAGGTCATACCATTTAGGCATTTGCTACAGCCTTACTTGCCCGACAATTTCTTGTCAAAAGAAAAATGCTCGACACAGGCCCACCCCGAGCGTAGCACTCCTCGCGTAATGACTGTGGCATCTGCCTCAACTCATCATGATGGAGGACCCTCTCACAACCTGCATGAAGCTGGTGACGCCCATCTTTTCGAAGTTGGCGAGCACGGACAGCATGAATATGGGGCTTCGGATACTCCTAGTCCTGGTCACGGCTCGAATAAAACGCTTTTTAGCTTGGATTCGTTGCCTGGAGAAATATTGGAAGTATCTGGAATCCCAAAAATATTACTTCCTTTTTTAAAAGTGAGTGAATCAGAGGCTCAACCTGGCACGAGGAGGTCTTCCGAACTTGATGGCGAGCATCGCAAAGGACTATTCGTCTTGGGTGGTATTCTTGGGGGTGGTTGGCTCTTGAGCAAATTAGTTTCTTAAGGGGACCGTGCATTGTTATCTTGTACTGAGAACATTACATATAATACGCAATATTCTTGACATGTCCGCAGAAGCGCCTGGCGTCAACTGGGGAGCAAGCGGCGTCAGCCGATTCAATTGTCACTCCCCAGTTCATGACATGTCGTTCTCAACGTCCAGTATAAGATTAGACTCAACTGTGAGTAGATGAGCTATATAAGAGACATTAAGGTGCTAAGTGTATCAGCCTGTTGTTGTCATCCCGCATCAAGATGAATCTTCGGGGGCAGGTGGGGATATTCCTCAGCCCACTCCTTCTTACGCTAAATAATCAGCTCAGATAATGGGGACTCGGAGAATATGAGAGAAGCGGCCGCGTGGAACGAAAGGATGCCAACATCGCCTGCAGATGACCTTAGCGGTGGCGCCGAGCTTCGATTCTGTGCATATTTGGATATTTGGCATCGGTGCTCGGCCAGGATACAAGTACGCGTTTCCAGAACTCCAAGTGGCCCTCCGAGACACCGACAATGATGTCTAATCTGACGACGCGTTGAATTACCAAAGACACTCATGAGACAAGCGCACACCAAAGTCGTTGAATCAGTGATGCGGAAGGTCGAAGAAACGTATAAACCGATCAAATTCTCTCTCCCTTATCCCCAAATCCCGATCATGCTATTAGTTGGTGAGAGGTCATTTGCTCGTGGACGAGGCATATCTGCATGGTCTCTCAGACGGTTTACCATGCCAGGCGACTCCAACTCAGCAGACTTAGTCTTCGATTCTGTTGTTCGTCAGTTTCAGGAGCCGGAGGTCCTAGAAGACGCAGTACGCGACTCAGCTACACCCTCTACAGCTGAGCAGCTTCCTATTGCCAGGCTATCGTCAAAAGATTTTGTTAACCTGCCTTCCGCGCTCCGAGCACTAATCAGTGGATTCGTTGCTGCCCAGGCAAGCATTAGATTTTGTTATTTGCTTCTCATCCCTCTACGATCTCAGCGTTCTCATTTATTTCTGTATTAGGCCGCGGCGACCAAAAAACGACCGAACGGGACAACGCTTGCAAACACAGATATCGAGGTACTTGGAGCCTGGTACAACAGCCTTGAGCTCGACTATCTACCCGAGGATAAGCGAAGATTGGTGGTGTACATCCCAAATGTGGAATCGTGCAATTCGAGTGTTTTGCAAGACTTCTTTCATATCTGTTCGTACGTGTCCAGCCTTCGCTCCACTTCTATAGGCTGTTAATCCTTCACTTTGCAGCTCTCGCATCCCTCGCCTCCCTTTGGTATTCATTCTGACCACATCCACCTCTTCTCAGATCATGCGGTCCCTCGTCACCCTTGAAGTTCTGAGCTCGATGGAGATCCACGATTTCCAGTTGGAAGGAGGTCGCAGGCTATTCGATGAATTGATCCTGGGGGTAAGCCGTGCACATTTTATCTCCAAAAATGCAGAATTTAAGCACTCTAATCTTCATGATCGCAGCTATTTTTGCTCCCAAAATTCGACCCTGGTTTCCAACTCACGTCCAGCCTCATTGAACATCTTTATGACAGCTTCGCATATCAGGAGCACTCCATTGATTCATTTTGCACTGCATTTCAGGTGTGCCCGCTGGTCATTGGTCTGTGTCTACATCACTGATGGGGTTGAAGATGATCCTTGCAAAACACTTCTCCTCTCCCACCTCCGTGTTTCTCGTCCCTGACCTTGCGCCCTTTGTTCTCGAACGAATGAAGCTACCCGAATCAGCTTTGTTTCGTGAAAAGATCCATGGGATGGTTCGACATGCAATTAATCAGTATCCACTCGCGGAAGCCACAGTCCAAATTCTCAAACGAATGAAGACTTCTAGAGACTCACATGGCCCTATGAATTCATTACAAGATGATTGGGTGCTGGAATACATTTCCTTGGCCAGGGATGCTTTCCAATGCCGAATGAACAGATGGAAATTTTCCATACGAGTCCTTCGGATACTGCTCCGTGCGGCTGGTGTCAGGTTAGCCAAAATCCCGGCGCCAGACGTCATACGAGCGGTAATGCAAGGGACCGTTTTCACGAACGAGGTCTCACATATTCAACATCGTATGAAGTAAGTCCATGCAGCGGATACATTAAGAATTGATGCATATCTCATTTACGTATATGAAGAAGAGCTACACTGGATTGGCTCGAAAAAATCAAGTCACGATTGACATCGGTGTGCAGAAAGGTCGACCACCCGGCGCACCTTGGCGAGCTACATACCATTGCCCAGAATTGGGACAGGTGGTTCAATGAGACCGTTGCCATTATGTCTGCAAACCAATCAGCCAAGCAGGTGCCAGATACGCCTTTTCAGTTTTCTAATCTGCTTGTAGTACCTCCTGAGGTCTCAACTCTTTCGCTTAAGATGGCAACATCGATTGAGCATTATTTCCGGCAAGTTGCTGTCTTAAGAAATCCCTCGGAGCGCTCATTATGGAATTTCTTATAGAAACCAATTTCATCCACTCACTGATGTACCCCTACACCAGCTGTGGCATGTAGAGTCGGATCTTTCACCTATGGAGGTGAGTGGCCCTCATTCCTGTCATATAGCTGCCTCTCAAGTCGTCTGCATTATGCAGTACCTCAACCCATCTATTCAACAGAGCCTCGTTAGGACATTGGCGCCAACCAATGCCAGCAATGATTTGTTCGAAGTCACGCCCGCCGTGATATCTCTTGCAAACTTAGCCTATCGGGACCAACCCGACACCTCAGTGATATTCAGACGTTATCTCGAGAGCGGCAAGATGGTCAATATATATGATTGGTTCGAGAGTTACGTTCAGGCGATGGAAGGGGAACCACGGCCAAAGGAAGGGAAAGACGATGTCCATACTAACGATGGGTTAGGCGATAGCGCGATGCATGAGGCGACACACCGAAGTGTGGCGGGGCTCGATGAATCCGCGTCAAGGAAGGAAGGAACAGACAATGTCACACCCACTGATGCCCTCTCCCAGGGAAGCCCACAGTGGAAACGAGAATTACAAGCTCGCTTCCTTCATTCGCTTCATGAATTGGACCTCCTAGGGCTGGTCAAGGCAACAGGAAGGAAACGGGACCACCTCGCAAGGACTCTTTTTGCCCCGCCTAGATAGAGCAGCACCTATTCCTGCTTCGGTCGTCACCATTTACGCTCGTGGGCTGAAATTCGGTCCTAAACAAGCCTTATGTTTCCAAATCAAACTTCCACGCCAGATGAGGAGCAGATCATTCCACCCGCCCATCTCGGCTCCAATTGTTACAATGCGCAGTTTGTAAGAACGTATCAAATATCATACCACACATATTAGTCTGTATATATACTTTTGGATGACGACGTACAGCATAGAACTTTCACCATAATACAATACATCAGCTCATCGATTGGGCACTTGTTTTAGCATCTAAGAATAGCTCGTTCATCTCCCCGATGTCTTCCAGTGTGATGTACTTCCGTCCTTGCAGCGAAGCAAGAATGGAGGCTGGGGTGAGTAATTGTATTGCGTAGCTGTGGGAATGAGCTGAGCGCAGTGTTGTGAAATAGAGTACTATCTGCTTACCGCAAGCTGCGTCGAGCGCCCTCCACCGATAGACGTTCCAATACACCCTCACCTAAGGTAAGACCCTCGACTGCCGCCCGAAGTTCGACGACTTTGGCCACCTGCTCTGGCGTGTATGTCTCGGTTTTAACGATCAGGCAACTGAAGGCAACATGGATCAAGATTCTTGATAAATGGCGCAACAACATACCGGTCTAAGAGATCGACAGGCACGCCGTGTGCGCTTATGATGTCTGTAGTACCACGCACCAAGGACGTGCCTCGGTTTGTTGCGAGAACAACAGTGGGTGACATGGGCGATTCGAGGAGGATATTTAGGTACGTGAAGCATTCGATGTCCAGCATATGGACCTGCAAAACGAATTAGAAGGGAACCTAGGGGGTTCCATTAGGCCCAGCCTACCTCGTCAATGAAAACCACCCCAGGAACTATCTCGGCCACCCCTTGATCGACATAACCTTTCACAACCCGGTCAACTTCGCGCCTCAACTTTTCAGTGACTTCTGTCCGTTGCGACTTGACAATATGAGACATCACAGACATGATATCTTGCCCACCCTAAAGGAATAAATCAGTCAAAAGAACAAACAACAATATTGATTGGAGTACACGCCTGAGGTCGCGCGTTCGCACTGTCTAGATCCCCGAGCGTGATATCCTGAACTAACTCCTTTCGTTTGTGGACATCTCCCTTGGGTAACGGGACATAAGTCTCAGACTCGAGATCAAACGAAGATGCATAGGCATCTGACCTCCCGACCCGCTGAACGCCAACTAATCAGCCAAATCAAATGACAAACCACCGACATCTACCTTGACGGCACCGGTATTAGCCTCTATGTAAATGACATCACCGACCACAATCTTTTCCTTCATTATAGCCTCATAGATACTTGGATCCAATCGTAATTGCTTTGTGCCTTTCACAGTCTTTAATGAAATGACCACATGCGAAATAGTCTTCCCGTATCCACTGAGAGGATTTTCCGACTCGGTAGGAGTAAGTTCCGTCAGTTCTCCTTCATAAACCTCCTTCGTCTCTTTGATTCTTATCCCAATGGCTCGTCGGAAAACTTCCGCAAGCACCTCCGTCTTCTTCACTTCGGCCGAGTAGACCTCAGAGCCAACCATTGGGCAGAAGGGCACTTTTGTACCTAGCTCCTGAGAAATAGCAAGAGCAAGAGCTGTCTTCCCAGTGCCAGGAGCGCCAGCGAGCAGAAGAGCACGGCCAGAGAATCTTCGCGACTTAATCAAATCCACAACAACGCCGCAGGCCTTCATTCATGCCAAATGTGTGTACAAGTCAGTAGTCATTTAACCGTTGGAAGCCTTAACTGACTTCTCTAGCCATATCTTGACCCACAAAACCACCAGCATTGACTGAAGCATAACCATGTAAATCTAATCCGAGACCCCGAATGTGAGAATGCGGTGCAATCCTAGAAGAACGCTGGTGAGATGGAAATGAAGCACCCGGTATCGCGGTGGATGCTGAAGCAGGGGCCGTAGTTGTCGCCTTCATTGAGAAGAAATAGTGTTGACGGAAGCAAACAGGAGAGAAACCAGCGTGGGAAGACGCGCGCGAGAGTCCGATTATCGCGCGTGCGCGCAGATACAGCCTTGCCCAATTCCAGTGTGCACACTCGTCTTTTTCCTATCCCTGTCGTGAATTAGTTTTGATTCAGTGTATCCCGGTAGTGACCACTTGAGGTTTGCTGGTCTCTTCGAATCATTTGCAGTATTTCAATTCTTGTTCTATGGATTTCTCTCTGGTTCTCACTTCCAAATGGATACAATCGATCTCGATATTTCGGTATCAAGGGCGGGGCCTCACCAGACTTGTTTCTACGTGCAGAGTCGCTCAGAAAATGAGATGGAAATAACCAGAAGCACCTTGGTGTATTTTCACGATGTGTGATCGAATGTTCACTACCGGACTTCAGAATAGGATAGGACGTGTCATTGGAAACGACCATGAATTGAATTCTCACTGCAGTCCTGACCAATTTTGAGCGGAACACTCTAAGACGCTAATGTCCAGAGTCGATCCAAAAACCTGGTCATGGGGCAGCTGGTGTAATCCCTACCCTAAAATCCTGGGGTTTACACGGTCAACGCCATTACTACCCTCCACCGGTAGGATTTTCACTATCTTGCCGTTGAGAATTACTTGGTGCTCCACCTCTTGCTCCTCCACGACCTTTACCACGACCGCGGCGATGGTGTCCACGTGGAGATTCAGGCTGTCGGCTTGCTGCCTGGGCCCTTGAGTCTGGCTGGGATTGCGGTGTAGTAACAGTATCTGTTGCTTCTAATGAAGCTCTGGGGGGGGTGCTGAGGAAGAGCCCGAGGGCTCGGGATTTGACGATGCGTCACGTCCTTTCTTCACCTTCGACGCGGGAGCCAACTTCTTCTCTTTAAAAACTGTCTCCTTGGATTGTTCAGCAGAAACATATGCCGCCTTGTTGTCCTCGCTTGCAGCCCCCGAGGGCTTCTGGTCGCGACGTTCCTTTGAACGCAAACTGGTTGCACCAACGCCAGCCAATGCAGCTTCAAACATCCGGGGGTTAAGCATCGGTCGTTTCCGCTCACGCTCCTTGGGAGGATCTTGGGAGGCTGGCTCAGCAGGGGGAGCCGCAACCCCCCTTGCATCCGACGCAGTCGTCAGGGCACTATTGCTAGGGGTGCCTTTGCGTGTTTGAGCTTTCGCTTTTGACGGGGACTGATTTGAAGCAGGCAGAGGAGTGGCAGGATCCCCTCGCTTGTCGCGTTTCTTAGCTTCGTTGCCCTGAGGTGCAGGGGTTTGTTTCGCATCCCCCCGTTTTCCCACTTTCTCTCCCGTCTTCTCGTCCGGCTTAGAATTGACGAGAATAGTCCGAGGAAGGGTGGATGATGTTGTAGAGCGAGAGAAAATGTTGGGATCTTCGTCTACTGCCTTGGCGGCTTCCTTAGCGGCTTTGGCTGCCTGACGTCGATCCGCCCCAGTGTAATGACCATGATACGACAAAATATTGGCTGCATCTCGAGCAGCTGCTTTTCCAGCTTTGAGCGCCTCCAGAAGCGGCGTCGAGTTAGAATCTTCTGCAGCTACTGATCACGAGTAAGTTCACAAGAGGGACGTGAATAACCTCGTACCATTTGATGTTAAAGTCTCCACAGCCTGAGGTTTGGCATCTGCATCAGAATTTAAGCTCTCCAGGAAAGAAAGATAGTCTTCGTCTATGGCCAAATGATCGTGAGACGTCAATCGAAGAAGCGGGCTACGGCAGCATGCCTTGATGTATGGTTCCCGAGCGCGCATCATGCTTCTTACGTTCCGGTTGGGTCTTTTGATATGGCGCAAACTCTACAACAGCAAAACTTTCGTTTCCTGAAAGAAACTGAAGTATGAGAAGCTGAAAGAACTTAAGGTCAAGGCCAACCTTGCATATCGCGAAACAGATGGCCATCATATTCGCGGCTGAACACTGCAACTTGTTCCGCGTTCCTGAATGCTACATATGCTCTGGATGGAACACCCTCTTTGTCTGGCCTATTGCAAGTGGTACCTTCAGTGGCTGTTAATCCAGTCATCCCCACTCTTACTTGCCTAGTTCTGGGTTTCCCGGGGTGGTATGATCGAAATGTTGAAGTCTCAGGGGTTACCCATAGTGAAACGCTTTTCCAAAACACCTCTTCGGGAAGGCTAGGTGGGAGGCGGCGAACCACAGTTTTGAGCCGATCGTTGACCATTGTATGCACCTGTTTATACCGAAGGACACACGTAAGGGTCAATTCACCATGAGCGCCAGCAACATAAATAAGAAAAAACGAAAGGCGCCTTCCAGACCACATCCAACGCCTCCGGAAGTCGTGGACCAGGAAATAGCAGTGCCAGCGAAGAGGCGCAAAGTTGCCCCAGAAGGGGATCCCGGGTCGGGCCCCAAAACTCCACTACTGCACGGTCGCGCGAAGACAGTAAGTCAGGCGACCACAGGGAACAGCAAACTTGGGGCCAAAAAGCAGAAGAACAAGGTGGAGAAAGTGGATAAGGGTCCAAAAACTCCAAACCGAAAGCCACCTGTCAGCGGAAAGCAAGAAGCAAATGCCCCTACTTCAGCAAAGGCCCGCCCCTTATCCAAGATAATTAAATTAACTCCGAATCGCCCGTTTCCCAAAGTTGCGCCCTCAGAAAGTGCCACAGGACCCCTCTCGAGCAGGGAAAAAGGCAAGAACCATATTTGTGTCACTCGACGTGTAGCGCTTGGTGCATACCTTCGACGGTGCGTGGAACTCATTAAGGTCGATGGGTAAGCCGCTTGGTATGCAGTACAGTGCGTTGCGCTCAGTATCCTCCAAAAGGTACCGTACAATTATAATACACGCTATGGCAGCAGCTATCCCGCATGCAACTTTATTGTCTACTTCGTTACCTTCCATGCTATCCTTCAAGCCTTCTGACATCCAAACCACCGTGAAAACGGACACGACGGAGTGCATAGACGAAATTCTGCCTTCAAGTGTCGATCCAGAAGTGGAGGACGAAGACGATGAGGGAGAAACAAGGACTCGCCGAAAGAGTTCATTGACGATCGTGCTGAAAATTGGGGATGGTGTCAAGGTTAACATCAAACCGAGTGGCGTAAAAAAATAAGCTTTTTACCTATAATTGCAAACTTAACCCACCAATTTCCGTCTAATTATAATAACTCCGCCATTCAGATTTTTTTGGAGATCAGGGACTCTTTGACGCTTTTCAGCAACTACATATGTCCACTTCTTCAGAATCTTCTCGATGTGTGATGGAGTCATCTGACTTACTGCTGGACTAACGCCTTTCCCAGTAAAATATGTATAAAAGAAATTCGCCGCCATCCAGGCGCTTTGAATTTCCCCCAATCCGTCGAAGATCAGTGTACGTTCCTTCAAACCCCCATGCACTTCAGGAACCGAATAGACGAGAAGAGACGAATTCTTCTCAAATGATGAAATTGGAAAGATCCCCTTCAACCTCTGCAGCGACTCTTCCAATGCCTGCGAGGACAAAGACGATCAGGGGTGTGCGTCGGGCTAGAGCAAGACTCACGTTCTCTTTAGGAATAAATTCCTCGTTTTCTTCAAGTCTACGATTCGCAAACGGAGAGCTCGTATGAAAGCATCTCGGAGATGCGTGTACGATGTCGAGCGCACGGGCACTGGCTTCTAATTTAGCTCTCTGGGGTGTGTTTGCATCTTCGCACATACTGACCGATCCGAATGGCGCAAGCCGAAGTCTGGATGATACGCTCGATTTTTTCTTCGAAAGGCGCGTCTTCAGTCGTCTTGAGTGAAGAGTGCATCATTAAATAAAGGTACCACGCACAAATCAACACGGGAGGCAAACGAACCTGAAGCAAAGCGGGTTCCGCATAGAAGCCAACAGCGTATACTTTTAACTTCAAAAATGATACTACTCGAACCCCTAGCCCAACAAGGGTCAAGGGTGGACAAGAGGGTGGTTGTATTGTGCTGGGAAACCGGACACAAGTTTCAGGCTCAACTAACGTGTTTCAGCCTTATTGTGGGAGGGGTCTCTTCTGTAGCCATCCCTCTTACCTCGTATTGATGATTCTGGAGCTTCTTCAAGACTAAGTGGCTCCTGCAACAGATACCAGGCACAGAGAACTGAGCCTGCTCCAGCCAAAGCCAAAGGTCGAGAACGAGTCCTTGAATCTGCAGGTTTAGTTATCGTCTGCGTCCCCCCAGAAGCCAGGTGCAGATGAGCTCTCCGACAAGAGGCGCCTCTTAGCCCTTTCGGTGTGAGACTGGCGAATTGAAAAAGCCGCAATGGGGGCATGGAGAATTATTGTGTACATCGAGGACGTGACGCGTCACGTAAACAGTACCTCATGGACACCGACATCATTGAGGCAGGGGAAAGTGGGAGAGCAGCCAGCTTTGCAATAAATGACTCAGCTACCCCAGAAATGGATAATGGCGATGTCGCTCCTGCTGAAGATGTGGATCTGAGGTTTGTGTACCGGTGAATCCAGCTAGCAAAGCTAACTACTTAAGATAGGGCTTTTGTAATTAGGGCGCTGGAAGATATTTCGCTGAGCCTGCTAAGACAGCTCGTCGACATTATTCGAAACTGCCATCCTGATCACCACCAATCGTCTGACGTTCCTACTGGCAAGATGCGGTTGCGCGTTCAAATGGCATCAAGAAATGGGAAAAGGTACTGTTTTAACATTCGGATTCTCATGTGCGCATTACGACGGATCGGGCAAAAGTCACACGAAGGAAATGTGGTGGCCAAAACGAAACCCCTGTGCGCGACAATTAGGTGGGTTCTTTCCAAACCCAACGCGTGTGTTATTCTATTCTAAAACCTCTACAGGAGCCCTTCTCCGCGTGGTGGATCTATGTCATGCGGCTCTCCACGAAAACACATTGCTCACGAAACGGTTCGTGATTACATGCTATACTGTCTTGGCGTTCCATGATGCTTGCCCCCCCCCCTTATTAGCGAAATTTTCTACCAAGATGTTGCCTTATTTGGGAAGCAATCTAGGGTCGACGAAGTGAGTGTAACATCCCCAAGTAACTCGTTAACTCTCACGAAAGGACCTACAGATCGTCGATGACCTTGCGGCCACTCTTGGCGTAAACCGATTCAATTTGAACGTGGTTCGTTGGGCCCCAGTGGCATGTCATTTTAAGGCGATACTGACCGCCTCCTTAAATAACAGATCGCATCTCCCAAAGGCATAGTTTGCAGTTCCATCCTCATGATCAAATTATTGTCTGGAACAGTGCTAAATCTCTCATCTCGCGAGGCAGGTGGCTGAAGGAGTAGGGAGCCTGAGATATCAACACTTACGCGATCAACCAGAGCACTTTGATACCGCCGACTGATGAGATTGTCCATCTACGTTGGAAAGAAGAGCCAGGGTACATCCTTGTTGTGGAGAAGGAGGTACGTTTTGATATCGTTTGGCTGCTGAGATGTTGATAACTCGACAATCGACGGTTCGACATCAAGGCTATCTTCCAAACACTATGCCACTCAGCCTTTGCGGACAACTCGCTTCTTGGAAAAAAAGGTGTCATTATCACCGTTAGTCTGAACCCTTCACCGTTTACTCTTTCTGGAATGACACCACACCACAGGGGAAGGGGCAACCCGATATTGCTACACGTGGTCTAGTCCATTTGCTCAGCCAGGAGCTGCCTTTGAGGTGCTTTTTTCTCAGTGCCCTCCTCTCGAGCCTCCATATTTCAACTGCTCAGAGAAATCTCCTAGGATCCCAATCTTACTCTTGGTGGACGCTGATGTCTATGGTCTTGAGATTGCATCGGTTTATAAATGCGGGAGCATCAAGATGAGACACGAATCGCATTCTCTCACAAGCGAAAGAGCTATGTGGCTTGGGCTTAAGCATTCCGATTTCCGAAGGTTTTCTTGGCAACCAAACTCCAGTGTGTTACGTCACCAATCTCTACGGCTTTCTCTAGATTCCATATCGATCCCGACTCTCTGCTTCATATTTCCAATATGGATTATCGAAAGGTTTTTATGATGAAGGCAAGCTCTCATCCAAAATACCGCTAAAATCGACTTCACTAGGCTCTGCACATGCTCTCGCGTCTGGGTGATCGTTTCCCAAGTGATTGGAAGTAAGCATTCTCACGCAGAGTTGCTCAGGTGGCCTTAATACCTTGTACCGTCTCGGTCTTCGTCTAAGGGATGAACTTACTCGATTGGTTTTAATGCGTCGAAAAGCAGAAATCGAAATACTTTCTCAAGCCTCTCGTTTCTTTTCCACTATGGCTCTGCCTGCGCCCTCCGCAACTTGGCTCGTCGGAGGGACTGCGGGGATCCTCCCGATAATCTTCCTGATTCGTTTGCAGCGACAACGGGTTGTTTGTGGGATACTGCTCGATCTGGCCCAGCTCTGATACCGTACTTGCTCGTTAAAATTTCGGAGGTGTTGACTGTTATGTAAGAGGGGACAGGAAGTGATTCTGGTATGCTGTCGCAGGGGTGAAATGCACTGTACGATGCGGGAATAATGCATGGAAATAAAGCATGAATCGAAATACTTTTAAGCCTTTTGCTTCTTCTCGACCGTGACTACGACTCTGCCTTCGCAACTTGGCTTGTCAAAATCACCTGCACTGGCCCCTCACATCTGTATTTCTGATCCTTTGGCAGTATGTAATAACAGGCGACTGTGCGCGATACCGTTCAGTACCCCTTTATACCGTACTTGTTCATAATCTCGGAAGTGCCGACTATCATGTAGAAGGGAACAACGAATTGATTCAGTCGGGCTGTCACAGTACCATATACAGTACCGGGTTGACAGGAAAAAAAAAAAAAACAACAACAACAACAACAAGTGATGTGGTGTCCAATGACCCGCACCGTGATCCAGAAAATGGGACTTCTGGACTCCGGTTCAAGATAAAAAAAAAATCCTCTAGTCGAAAAACTCTACGATGAACTTGGAAAACCTTTCAACACCCTTCTTCAATTCGTCATGCTGGGGGAATCATAGAGTACGCGTGAGCAAAAAAGAAGAAGCAATTATATATCCTAACCCCTCTCCTAAAATAACCCCCTTCGGGAGGGGAGAAAAAAAAAAAGAAAAAAAAAATCAATCCAAACTCACCGTAGCCATAGCATAACACATTCTCAAAAACGCAAACGTATCGTCAACTTGATCCCTTTCTTCCTCGCTCCGCCCTTGGAAGACGAATCCAGGTCGGAAAAGGACACCTGAATCGAGAAGACCTTTCCAGAGACGGTCACTTAGGAAGGTGCGTGCTTCGGAAGGGGAACGCGTTTCGACGAGATGATGGTAGTCTTTGTGATATTGTAACGGGAACTGAAGAAAAAGGGATGGAAGAATGGATGTGATGTTATTATGCGAATGGTTGTAAAAAAAAAGAAAAGAAAAAAAGAAAGGACTACAAACCTTTAACCAGAGGAACATACCCGAAGTAGCAGGAACGAATTCGAACAGCGGGTTCGTTCCACCACCGTGATCTTCCTTCTCATCATGATGATCCACAACATGAAGATGTTTCTCATCCACTACAAGTTTCTTGTACTTGTACGCAACGAAAATAGACGACTTGCAGATGCAGGCTCAGTGACCTGCTTGATGTTGAATCGTTCATGTAAAAAGTCGATCGTCCAATCCCTTCTCAATCTGTATCGTCCCCTTAACCCTCTTCATGTGTGTAAAATAAATAAATAAATAAATAACTTTGTGTGATCATAGAAAGAGGAAGGAAAAAACTCACCGAAGCCAACGCACATACCCATCAAACCCCCACTCCTTCAAAAGAGTACCCACAAGAGCCTGACTGAGTCCACTGGCTTGTAAAGTTCCATTATTCTGACATATCATAAGATGTTTACGGAAAAGAGGGGATGCGGTGAAGAAGCCTAGACGACATCCTGGACCGATGGTCTTTGAAAAGGTATCGAATCGAACGACTCGACCTTGATGATCGAACCTTAGGAAGCTGTCGTTGAAGTTATAAGGAAGGTCTATTAGCGACGGGGTCTTGTTTTGTTTTGTTTTTTTTTTTTGGGTAGCCTTCTTCACCTTGGAACGAGAGATTCAATCCATTCTCTATCATTGCTCTCTTTAGCGTACTTCAAAGCGCGAACTTCCGTACTTTCACGGACGTAAGCACCAAATTGTTGAAAATAATAACTGCAGCCCCACAAAAACAAAAAAAAAAACGAAATAAAGGAAGGTGAGTGGGTGAAAGAATATATGAATGTTGTTGTTCTTTGGCGCATGAGGGATTCACTTACGGATCATCCTCGATAATAATGAGATCGTATTGAACAGCGATGGCGTAGATAGCTCGTTTGCGTTCAGCTGAGAGCGTTATACCTGTAGGGTTTTGACCAACAGGAACCTGTCCATTCGAGAAAATGTCAGATATATATATATATATGAAAGCGTTGAAGCCTAACTTGAAGTAACAGCCTTGGTCTAACCAAAAATAAAAATAAAAATAGCAGCAAGTTGGCGGTGATATAAGAAAGACGTGAAAAAAGCAAAAAGCAAAAGCAAGAGAAAGGGAGGGGGGGGCACACCTAGAACAACCTCTCTTCGACTCGTCCCAATTCCGAAGAATCGTCTCCAGATCTCCAGGGTCCAACCCACCCGCATCAATCTTAACCGGGAACGGAGTGACTTTGAAAGATCGCATTCGTGCGAGAGAATGGTTATAACTCCATTCATCAACGAAACATCCATCCCCTGGACTTGCCAATACGTCCAATACCTTTTTTTTTTCGGATAACAGCATGCAGGACGCGCGCGGGCGTATCAGCACATACACTGTACAGTCATATGTGACACATACCTTTGCGAATGCATCACCGGCACCGATATCCACCAAAGTTGCCCAGTCAGAGTACCCTGGACGATACACCTTGGATACGAAATCCTTCACCCACGTTTCGAGGGGAGCTAAACCTGCTGGGGGGCCTTAAAAAACAATTAAAAAAAACATTAAAAACATTTCCAGATCAGCAAGAGGAGGAACATATATGTTATCCACTCACTGTAACCCATTAAAGTAGAAACCTCAAAATCGCCCTCCCTCTGTTTATACCTTGCAATCTTCAGAGTATCCAGTGTGGCACCATCCTCCTTATTCGAGAGCGATGAAGTAAAGAAGCTTGCAAGCCACCCAAGAAAACCATCATTCTCCTTAGTACTAGGCTGAGACACGGAACTAATATTTGGGTCAAGAGGGAACGTATCGGGTTTCAAGAACTCTGAAGAAAGAGTTTCGAAAGGGAAATATTCAGAGGCAGGAACACCGCTATCGAGGTTGACTAGGTTCTATATAAAGAAAAATGTGGAAATATTGTTTACAAGTTGGTTGGTTGGTTGGTTGTTCGATGACGCCAATGACATACATATGTAATAAATACAAATTTAACTCACAGGTGACGCATTTCCCCTCGAGTATGAAATTGTCTCATATACGGATTGACGTCGAAGCGCAGATTGGGATAAGTGATGCTTCAAGTCGATGCTCTTGTTCGCCATGACACCTTTTGCAGAGGTAGGGCTTACAGAAAGAGAAGAGGGGGCAAACCCCTAGCTCAGACCCTTCAAGCCACCCAACACCCCCCTATCTTCTTTTGCTCGAATAAGGGAACCCAATGTACTGTAAAGTATGTAAAACACCGAACATTACGTCGCACGCCAAGGGGCAAGTTAACCGGCGCCGGCCAACCCGACCCACACGGAATCTTCGTTTTGGTTCGTTAAACAACTAGCTTCCTTTACATTAATCTCTCTCTTGGTTCCATCACAAGAAACGAGATCTCCACGGAACAGTCAGCACCGTCTGACAGATTCTCGATGGTGTGTGCTGCCGCGTGCGAACCGACCAGAACGAATTTGAGTCGAGAATCGGATGCATAAATTACCCCTAGCTTGCCTTGTGATATGATGCATGTACCGCATGGTAGTTATATGTATGGTACGGCTATGTAGCTATCCCGCCCGTAGCGTTAACATGAATCATCTCTACATCGTAGCTACTTGTATATATATTGACGGTACCGTGTACAGTGCATGGTGTTCCGGTTTGTGAAATGTCAGAGGGAATTTGGGTCAAGAACTGACGTCCACTGACACCCGATATATGCACCGATGACATGCTGATATATATATTGCTATCGCGGAGCGACAAGTGCCCCCTCGCACGCGACGAGAACAAAATGAGACGTGCCCCAAGCCCAAGCGCCCGACCAACAATGATATCATGCTCAACTAATGGTTCGGACATAATTACCCGACAACTAATGTCAAAGGTGAGAGTAAGCAAAGGGACCTCGAAGCCGGTACTATAAATCGACGACCGTGAGAAACTCCCCATCCGTCGGTCATATATATTATCCCGGCACAATCGCGCTGTACTCTCTCTGGCAAAGTGCTACAGTGATTTTTTTTTTTTTTCATAAATCATGGTGGTAGTTTTGCAAAAAAAAAAAAAAAAAAACGCTTGTTGCTTTGTTACGAAACGATGATATCAGGGACTTGTACAAGTTGATTGGAAAAAAAAATTACACAAAAGAGGAAAAGACTAAAGATAGTAAAAAAGAGGCGATCGCGAGAGAAGAAAGAAAGAAGAAAAGAAAAGAGACGTCCACCGAAACCCTTGCAAGGGGAAGAAAGGTATGGGAAAAAGAAAAGGGAGAGGGAAGGTGAGAATATGAATCCGCGAAGAGGGATGTGAAAATGAATGTAACGGCGGAAACTCTCAGGAAAGAGATCATGGGGAAACACAACACACAAGCCCGACGTTCACTATAAGGGGAAGCTCATTGGATTGGCAAAGTGCGCTATTAACCGAGTAATAGGAGTTAGACAAAATCAGGAACTTCTGCTTCACAGCACAGCATGTCCTTACCTGGACTTAAACAAGTAAAGAGCTCTTGCTCCTGAGAGGGGGGGGGAGGGTTGTTCGAAGGGGCTACGGAATGGAGATAAAGGGCTTTCAAGATTGGTCGAACGACAATGATACGTTTGGCTTGAACTGCCCATGTATGGGTTCGAGAGAAGATGATCATGCGTCGCGGAACGGATGGCGTCGAAATTGAGGGAAACAAAAAAAAGAAAAAAAAAGTACATGTTATACTAAAGTATTAGGTCGTGTAAATTGTATGTTTGTAGTGTAAGTGCTGAGGGGGGCAGGTAACAAGTGGAAAGAAAAAAGGGGATAAGAATAGATATGCCTATTATCGTTTTCCCTTTGCGAAAGGGGAGGAGTTGGTGGTCGTTGTTGAAATATGTTGTGCTAACCATGAGCAACCTTGGATGAGAATGGGTGAAAGGAAGGGGGGGGGGGAGGGGGTGTAAATAATTAGGGTGGGAGAGTACACGGGAGGAGGGCTGTTACAATATCCCAGAGTCACGTAAGGCATTCTGGAGGATGGTCTCCTTGACCGCAGCGAAGACGACTCGAATCTGTGGAGGCTGATGTAAGAGTGAAGACTTTCTGGCGGCAGCAAAGGTGACGTACATTATCGGTATCCGTTGCTTGTGTTAAGCTGGTGACCGCACAAATGAGCCAAAATGGAGTGGATGATGATGAAGCTGACTTACTGGGGGTATAAGGCGAGTTTGGCTCTGTTCATCCCGACAAACTTCCATAAGATGAACTTTGTGGCTTTCTGGACGTCGGAACCGCCCTTGAACTCCGGGAAATACTTTTCTAGAGGTGAGCGAGCCAGTTTTGACTGAAACACATCAATCTTATTAAGGAAGAGAATGATCGATGTGCTCAAAAACCAGCGAGAGTTCACGACGGATTCGAATAACACGAGGGATTCCAGCATACGATTCTATGGAAAAGGAACCCAGAGATCAGAAGAAGGGGTTGGCACATTGGAGAAGGAGAACGATGGGGAGGATGGAGGACTACAAACCTGAGCCTTCTCTTCTAACAATACTTGATCATACTCACTGATGGCGACGCAGAAAATGATCGACGTGACAGCTTCAAAGCAATGAATCCATTTTCTTCGCTCAGATCTCTGGCCGCCCACGTCGAACATGCTGGAGGGAGAAGGAAAAAGGAAAAACTGCCGTCAACGACGAGAAATATGCCCTAAAAAAAAACCGCAGCCAAAGCCAAAACCAAGCCCTTTTTTTGCTTACTGTATAGACAACTGGCCCATTGTAAAGCGGGTTTCAGTGATACCAGTCGTTTTGGCTCGAGCACGTAAAACGTCGACTTCTGTAGGAACGTAATTCCTGTCGCATATTCTCCGGACGTTTGAGAAGAAGTAATCCGCGGAATCCATCAAGTAGAATTCGTTTGAGCGTTCCATGAGCCTCAAAATGACTGGGTCTTTCCAGAAGGACTCAATTGCTTCTGCCAGTGAAATGGGGAGTGTAAATGAAGGGTCCGGATCGTATTGAAAGTCCTTGATTTGCATCATGTAGTCCTAATCGATGGACATTGCTTCAGAAACGGTAGAGTTTGCACTAGAGCCACCTTTCCCACTCACTCGATTTACCCCCACTTCCGGCTGAAGCGAGAATTTGATCATAGCGTTCGCAACATCTTGAGCAGACTCAACGACGTTTTTATTGACCACAGGTCGGTAAAGCATAAGTTCATCCTTGGTGAATCCTTTCTGATGAATGATTTTCATCTGTTTAACTATAGTACTCTTTCCAGATTCTCCTGAGCCCAGGAGAAGTATCTTGCATTCTCCTCGTAGTCGGCGGGAATCTTCCTCTATCTGCTTATCGATGATGGCATTGCGGGCCCTGCCGTCACGGTCTCCGGCTGACACGCACGCGCCCATTGAGTTCCCCTCTTATACGGTGCCTTTCGCTTTCGAAAGCGTAGGAGGCCAAGGAATGTGGGGGTATAAGGGTACAGAGTGGAAGGAGTTAGTCGAAAGTAGAATAATTTTGCATCCGGCTTATCCGACCTTTCCGAATCTATTTGACTGTACCTGACTTTTCGGTTCCTTGCGCGACTACTTACAAGCTGTGCAATGACCAAAGAACAAACTCTCATCGTTTGTCAAGAGAGGTGATGCTTTCCCCAATGATCCCCTCTGGGCGTCAAATAGAAGCTCACCGCTAAACGCTGTTGCATGCCGTTCGACCCGAATATGATCGTTGTTCGTGATGAGAAAATTAGCCACGTTCTTTACATAAGCTTTGTCTATCTTTGGAGGCCTCGGCCAATGGGGCCCCTTGTTGGAACTAGACGATGTAGGGGTTACGCACTGAGCCCGAAAGTCTGACAGGGTCTTTTTCACCGGCGGCGCTGATCATGCATGATCCCGCAGAAGTGCAGCCCTGCGAAAACTAGTCTCTCACTCTGTCTCCCATATGAGGGTTACACCTGAATCTCACACCAAAAACCTTCGCTTGTCTCCAATATTGTCGCTGGTTGGGATAACCTGCATGCACGTCCGATGTATCGGCCCTGACTCCACTTTGTTACTTTTTTGAGCCAGAGTCAAATCATAACCACATTCTAGAACTCTCAGCCGCGCGCAACACACACTCCTTTCCATTCTCATGTTTCTGGGAAAGGGCTTCATACTCACCTTCATATTTACGTAACCACTTTCTGGCTGTGCAACACGCATTGCCCCAAATGCATGGAACTAAGCGAATCGGACACGCGGTCAAAGATAGGGTTCTCGATCCCTTCATTGGGCCTGAAATATGATTCAAGGTTTAGTGATCCACTACCTACTATTATAAGGTTTTCGATTTCTCAACCGCAAAGGCGGCATCCATGGCCGCACGTACCACGGTGTGCACGGTTTCGACCGGTGGTGTGGCGTCGATCTGATGGAAGAGAATCCTCTGCGTGAACAGCCAATCACGACGGACATACGGCTCACCTCAACAACCCTGCCCTCTGCCCGGTAATGGTCGACCACTGGCATACTCGTTTCAATGAATGTTTCTGTGCGATAAACAATTAATTTCGCTTCTTCTGAGTGGAAAAATGCAGCACGACGACGCACTGAATCGCTTCTTGATCGATTCTTCGTTATCATCGGTGCGTCCGCTTGTTTTGCCACGTTCCAATAATCGTTTGAGGAGTTCCTGCTCTGGGCAATTGAAGAAAAGCACAAAGGAAGCTGGGCAGACCTGATCACGCATTGATGGATGTTCAGATTGAGGATTGGGTATTGAGGAAAGGATTCACGCACATCCTCGTCAAACTTGAGAGCTTGATCCATCTTTCGCGGAAACCCATCAATAAGGAATCGGCCTTTCCCATTAGTCCAACCTGAATGATCGCTGTTCTTTCGTTCCTCGAACGCGGCTTTCATAGCGTTCTCTAACAGCTTGATCGTAACTTCCATGGGCACAACCTGGCCTTCGCGAATATACTCAGCAATCAGTGCGCCATATTGAGAACCTTCTCGTTTCTGTTCGGCTCGTAGAAGATCTCCAGCTATTGAAGGCATGAGCACCCACTATCCGATCATCTTCGGAAACCGTATTGACCTGAGAGATGAACAAAGTCGTATTCGCTGACGAGTGACGCGCATTGAGTCCCCTTGCCTTTGATGGGGGGTGAGACATAGGCAGGCTTTCCACTCGGATATAATCGATGTTTCATACCTGCCCCTGGCCCACCAAGAACATAAACCACCATAACTTTTGTATGGTCAAACGTCGCCGGATGAGGTAGTTTAGGGATGTCACCACTTTCCTTGGCCCGTGGGAATGAAGGGCGTCTGCGATCTTGTTTAAAATAGGCATTATGATCTACTGTTCTTTCTGGACTGGTGGAATAAGGGGGTTAGGATGCTGTCTTGGCCTCTTAGACGCGGGGTTGGTCGACTCCCTGTCACAGATTCGGTGAGAGCCAATTCAAGTGACTGATCAGTAGTTAAGAGATAAGGACCTGTACTTGACAACAGCAGCAAATGCAGCAAAGGAAAGGAAGGGGATCGAAAGCAATAAGAACGGATTTGGATATCTGCGGTTCGGATGCGCAGGTGGATTCATGCGAGTTAAAAGAGCGAAATTGTTTGCCTCCGCGGCCGTGCTAGGCGTGGGAGTTGATCACCACCAACACCTGTTCATCTTTCTCTTTTTGCCAGAGCCGGATTACCAAAATGAACATCCTGGTGAGTGCCTCTACGTGCCCCCATCTCTGAGATTACCAGTGAAAGAGATCACAAAGGAAACGTTATTTGGGCGCAGCATGACTCCGGCTGAGCGACTACGGCAGCATCAACGAGCGCTGGCCAAGGCACAACGAGAACTCGATCGAGAGCGCACAAAGCTCGAACAGCAAGAGAAGAAATTGGTTGGTGACATTAAACGCAGCGCCAAAGTTGGACAAATGGTATAAGCGATTTCCCTGTAACTTTGTGCGGTCAGTTTAGGCAAATTCATGTTGCCCATTTATCTTCATATTCAGAATGCCGCCAAAGTCCAAGCTAAGGACTTGGTGAGAACGAGGAAATACGTGCAAAAGTTCTACCAAATGCGCACTCAGCTACAGGCAGTCTCTTTGCGAATCCAGACACTGCGAAGCAATCAACAAATGGCAGATGCTATGAGAGGCGCTACAAGGGTAAGAACAACCCCCCCACCGATTGTTCTGGTGATTGACCACTTTCCATATAGGCGATGGCATCGATGAATCGTGGCTTGAATCTACCTCAGATTCAACGAATCATGACTGAATTCGAGAAGGAAAGCGCCACCATGGACATGAAGGAGGAAATGATGTCTGACGCTGTCGACGATGTGATGGACGATGAAGTTGAAGATGAAGAGGAAGAAGGGGAAAAGATCCTTAAAGAAGTGTTGGATGAGATTGGTATAAATCTACAGCAGCAGGTGAAGTTGACTCGTACTTTTTGTTGTTCCGTTGCTCACGTTTATTCTTAACATAGCTAAATGATACACCGACGGCGATCGCCACTAATGCCCCATTAACTTCTGGACGACAAATGGTTGCTTTAGGTGCATCAGACGAACCGTCTGCGCCATCCACTCGGAGTGGGGGAGATGATGACTTGGATGAGTTGCAGGCGAGATTAGATAACTTAAGAAAGTCATAATTTACCGCAGTACTAGTTGATTGTAATTCCACATAATATACATAGTCGTAGCGCTGAGAGATACAAGTGTATAGTAAGCTTGATCGGTTGTTATGCGGCCGCCTTAGGCTTAGTGGGGCGCTTGATGCCCAATGCACTAGCCAATTCAGATTTCTTCTTTTTAGCAGGGGGAGGTGCTCTTGTCATGACGGCTTTGACTGCCGTCTGAATGGTAGAGTCGAGTTGGGGTTCCAAGAAATCTGCCTTTCTCTTGATAGTGATGCTTGACGATGGTGCGCTATCCGGTGGGTTGCTGTCATTACCAGATGGTTCAACAGTCGAGGATGTTTGGGAAGGACCCGCGCTAGATGATGTGGAAGGATTGGGGATTTTTGAGAATACCCGACGAACGATTTCCTCGTCTTCTTCCTCCTCCGCCCTCTTCCGCAATTCTTCCTCGTCCAACTCTTCATCCTGAGCCTCAAGAGCATCGACAGCACCACCACCCGCCGCGACACGTTCTAGACGGGCATTACGTGCACGCAAATCTTGAAGTGCATCGAGTATTTCCATTTCTCGCTTGGAATCTTGGGTTCGAGTCTCGAGCACTTTCATGGCGTCGTTTTCCTCTTCTTCGAGCTTGGCTAGACGATCCTCTTCCTCTACAATTTCCACTTCGCGCCAGGGTTCGAAATTACGGGAGGCCCCAAGCTCCGCAGCGTAGTCGGTATTCTTTGGGTCCGTCTTGAATGTTATTTCTGCAGAACAGAGCGTGCTGGAAGGTTCGGTGAGTCGTACCCAGCCCACTGACAACGTCGGGGGTGAACACACCATTTGATGTAGAACCTAGGAAAGGGAAATATTAGTGAAAGATTACTTCGGAATAATGTGGTCAGCGTACCTGAATATTTTAATGCCATAGTAATCCTCGTCCTCTACTGTTTCTTTGCGGGCATTAAACTTTTTGCCCTTGTATATGTACTCGCCACAGGTGTTACAGCGCCTGAAGAGTATGTCGAGAGAAGTTCAGTATTGATGGTCCCATGGCCAACTGTGTATGCCCAATATGTGTACTCACATGCTGAACGGAGCCATGAGACGTACTACCTGCTGGGAATTTTTCGGTCCAGATCGCCTCGGGATTTTACTTGGATCGAAATCGGGTGGGTAATACTTGTTAAGGACTAAGGGAAGCATGGTCCTTAAGTGTTTCTATGTGGTCTGATCCAGATGCGTGAGCTCACCCTTCCGTTCAGACATGTTTGCGTGCTGACGAGAACGAAGTGGTAGCTGATTGAATACAAATCACCTGACTGCGACGTTCGGTAAACTGTTGGTTGGGATTAGATCCGGCATTCGATGCGCAAATTAATGTGGTTCTCGTCAGTGGGGGATGGTGGAAAGTTTAAATGAATGCTACTATGTGATATATTCAAGTGCAGAGTGGGAATGATGGAAATCTGGCATTTGCGCGAAAATCCAAATAATAATAAACACCATCCGCAATCATCCGGACTTAGCAGCCCTTCCACCACTCAGGCGTCGAGGGACGGCGCTGGTACTTTTCTCACAGTATGGCCTCCTCTGCTCCTATTAACAACTTCGATGCCAATCTTCGGCGGCTTGACCAGTCCCGAGCGAATTCAGTGTCAAGCAATGTCAAGAGCAAAGCTGACACCAAGCCCTCTACAGTAAAGTTGCTATCGACTCAGCGTCTTTTAACATGCATTAAGGAATACTTTAGGGTAAGTTTAAGCCTGCTTCCGCGCCGAGCACTGCGTTGCGCGGTATGGGCAATCCACTGGAAATCGCTGGTGAGTTGGGGAAATTCGCTGTGCATTCCACCCTGAGACTTACATCGCATCTCCCTGCTCGTTCAGGTTCTGTAGAAGCTCGAAACTCACCGGCAACAGTCTCTCCGTGGGGAAGTGATGGCTCTGGATCAGTCCCTAGTCCAGTCGTGCCGCCTTCTCGTCCGGCGTTATCAAAGCCAAAGCGGCTATCGTCCGATTCTGATGATTCGCCTGTGGGGACGACCAAACGTGTTAAGCGCTACACAGGAGTGACTGCTTTAAATTCTGGTTTGTTTCATGATTGTTTGTGGGATTTATTGTTAATCTACGCGTAACACAAAGACACCTCTATGTATGAGTCTCCAAGTGCGACACAGCCCGCGGTTGGTGTTTGTGTATTATACGCTCCTCTATGCCTTTCTGATAACTACTTATACCAGTCTCGCGCACCATTCGCGTCGGACATCTTTCGGGGTCCGCTTTCTGGCGCCCGAGCCGGGGGTTCGACTTCCGGGTCGTCGTCGGGGGTCAACGTCGACCCAGGGCCACGAACAGTATGCCCCTAATTCATTACTCCTGGAGCGTGCCCGTACAATGGACAAGTTCATCAAGCACCAGGCTAAAGTTATCCCATACGCATTTCGCGACGTTGGTAATAATCGTCAGGATGCTGAGGAGTTCGAAATTCTCCAGTTCGTTTTCTCTTATGTGCTATTTGATCCAAGCCTTACTCCATTATCAACTCAGGAATTATTACCAGAACCGTCTGGTGACTCTCGCAACTGAAATGGGGGAGCATGGCGTTGGCAAAGCCTCAGCGTCTATACTGTCAGCCGACCACGATCTCCATGAGCAAATAAAAATAATGGAGAAGCTTATTAAGCACCAGGCTAAAGTCATTCCCTTAGCTTTCGGCCGCGCTGGTGGTTCGGTCGACCAAGAAGAATGGGAGATCGTGCAGTGAGTCCTGTCTTTTATATTCAAATTTACGCTCTTATGCTGCTGCTTCCTTAGAGCGCATTACCAAAGTCGGCTGACCGCCATGACAATTCCTCATATCACTTCAACCCCCGTTAGGACTCCGCTGAAACCGCTCTCCCCTCAGAAGCTTCCCTCGTTTGCGAGCATAGCGAGCATAACCCTTGTCAAGCAGACTCCCTCTCCATCACCTCGGAAACCAGCCAAAATGCGCACGGAAATTGGGAGCCCTCGTGGGGGCCGAAGGAACGAGAACTGTTCGAATCCATTAGGTTCTCTACGCACCAGCTCGGTTCCTTCGTCGCCAACGAAAAGTCGAACTGCAGGTGTACTCGCTCATCCTGAAGATGACTTAGAGGCACTGTGGGGGGATGTGGCGAATATTTCGGACGATGATGATTTGATTGAGATTTCTCCGCCTCGCGCGAAACCAAGTACGGCGAAGACAGAAACTGCGATCAATCAACCACCCACACACAGCTCCGTTAAGGTCACCCCCCTGTCGCTACAGCAGCGTACTACACGAACTCCCCTTGCAACCCCATCTTCATCCGCATCCTCAAGTCCATACTATGATGAAGCATTTCGTATCCTGCGGCGAATATTCAAGCTTGACACTTTTCGACCAAATCAATTTGAAGCAATTGCTGCCACACTATCTAAGAAGGATGTCTTCGTACTTATGCCTACCGGCGGAGGAAAGTCGCTCTGTTATCAGCTACCAGCTTTATGTAAAGGTGGCGAAACTTCTGGAGTAACCGTCGTGATTTCGCCCCTCAAATCCTTGATGGCTGATCAGGTTCAACACCTGAAAAACCTCAACATTGACGTTGTGGCTTACAATGGGGATGACGACAAGGCGGCGTCGAGCGCGACGAACTCCCGTCTAAGGAGTTCTCACAAGCCTACCATCCTATATACAACTCCCGAGAAGCTGAAGTGTAGTGCCGCAGTACGAGATATTCTGGGCTCTCTTTACTCCTCCAAACAGATTGCCCGTTTCGTCATTGATGAAGCGCACTGTATCAGCTCCTGGGGTCGAGACTTCCGACAGGCAGTAAGTAGCGGTTTCTTGCCAATTGTTTTCGAGTCTGAACAGGATTGCAGTATCAAACACTGGGAGAATTGCGTGACCAATACCCTGATGTCCCCCTTATGGCTCTTACTGCGACCGCGAAGGAGGTCGTGGTGAAAGACATCATCTCGAAGCTTGGAATGAAAGATTGTGTCCAGCTTAAGACGTCTTTCAATCGTCCGAATCTCAATTACGTTGTTCTGAAGAAGTCTATGAAGGCAGTCGTTTCGGATTGGGGGAATGGATATCTTCGAACCACCCGAACGAATCAGGAGTTGTGTACTGCTACTCGAAGAAAGACTGCGAATCCGTAGCCAAACAACTACGTGAATCTCATCGTTTGAAAGCTGAGCATTATCACGCGGGGATGACTGCTGCTGACAGAGAGTGTGCTCAAACATCATGGCAGAGTGGAAAAGTAAACATAATTGTTGCCACAGTACGTCGCCGCTTTCCAATCTATCGCTTGCTGTTCTAACGACAATGCTACAGGTCGCCTTTGGTATGGGGATCGATAAGGCTGATGTGCGATTTGTCATTCATCACACCCTGCCGAAGAGCTTGGATGGCTACTATCAGGAAACTGGAAGAGCAGGGCGCGATGGATTGCCTGCAGACTGTCTGCTTTGTAAGGCCTAATATTATTGTCGGTTGCAGTATTGACAACCCATTCCCTCAATCTAGATTATGCTTATGGGGATGTTCTGAAATTGCACAGACTGATTGATCGGGATGATCAGGATAATCCAATGGTGCTGTCTCCTGAAGATCGAGAACGACTTAAAGGCGAAGTTCGAACGGTCGCCCAATATGCCGCCAACGTCACGGATTGCCGTCGCACCCAAGTTCTCCAGTATTTTGGGGAGCGGTTCGGTCGCGATCAATGCGATCAGTTATGTGACAATTGTCAGAACTTCGATGGCAACGCCACGAAGGAGGATAGATCCAGCATTGCCATCCATCTTATCACTATTGTGGACAAAGTTTGTCGCGAAGGCGTGAATCTCACTATGAAGGAGCTTTTCGATGCGTATCGCGGAGCAAACAACGAAGCGGTTCGGAAGAAGTCGTTGACAAAAGTCGAGCATTACGCTGCCGGGAAGGGTCTGGATACTGTCCTCATCGATAGAGTCATACAACACTGCCTTGTATGGTCTGTCCTCGATTTATACGAACGGCAGAACAGTGCAGGCTATAACAACGAATTCATCCAGGTGAGACTGAGTTCCTTTGCTTCCCATTGAACATCGACAGATATCCGCATGCAACAGCTCGGTACGAGAGCTCCTGACGTGCTCAACGGCCAGTTTCCGGTTTTAATGGCGTATCATAAAACTGCACCCTCAAAGCAGAGGAAGTCCACCAAGTCCATCGAGAAGCGTCCAGCTGCCCGGGTGGATAGTGGAGGTGCATGGAAAACGAAGGAAACCACCGCGCAGATGTTGGAAGGACGCCCGAGGACGACAGGCAGTCGTACTACCTTTTCTGCCGCTGAAAATGAGGACGCGGAAGACATAGAATATAATGCCGACGCTCCTTCAACAATTCAGAGGAGACGCACACAAGACGGTGCTGTAGAGGATGCTGGCACTGATTCACACCGCGAAGACACGGATGGACACGCACGAACTGACAATAATGGCGGGATGTCTACTATGCGCCGCTTGGCTGAGTTGAAGTCTCTTCGTGATGACGTGATTATTTCATCCTTGGTCGTACAACGTGCCAATACTGATACGTCCATCAGATTAGCAAGGAAGGTCATGATGTTGGGCTTCTTCATGATGATTTTCTATTGGAATTGGCTCTTAGTGTCGACGCTCGCGGTCTGTGCGGAACCTCTTTCATTTCACATTTACTAAATTTTCAGAACAATCAGATCCCTCTGGCTTTCGAAATATCCTCAATGATCACTTCAGCAAGGACCAAGCCACGCAAATTTGGAATACGCATGGGAAACGGCTGCTCTCAAAGTGTGTATGGATGGCTACTGGTGGCGGTCAGAAACGTACCAGATCATTTCCAACCAGCGAAACAACGTAGGTCAAGTCAGAATCTCATTCATGCGCATCCGATCATCCTTTTGTCACAGGGCCCCGAAGACGGTGATCGATCGTTCTAAATACGCCCTCCCTGCTTCAGCAGCCTCGACTGTCCCGGTGTCTGCTTCAAAATTCAAGCCAGCGAGTCGGCTAAAAAGATGACCAACTTCCATATTCTGCCCTATCTTATGATTACTTCTATGTACATTATTGGTTTTGTGAAGACGACTCGGGTACAGTATTAAACACGACACAATTTCGATATTACTCTGCAATAATGCACACAATGTAAAGGGGGTGAGCCTAACGAATTCATTTCCGTCTCTTGACTTTCCCCAGTAAGACCTCACAGTCGCGACAATACCATTTGTGTTTGGGAGCTTCCTTAAGGCCGGCACACCCATAGTGGAACTTTCACGGGTATCCGTTAAAAACGCGTGAGAACCAAGGAGATAGCAACACTCACCCATTCTCTTTCGCAGTCCTCATTGTCGCACGCTACCATCTGCACGTACATAAACAAATCAATCGCGAAGGTGAACCTCAACTAATACTGAGGGACGTACTTCGCCATACGAGACTTGGGTACAATAACAGTATCTTGGCTCGTTCGGGTCCACAGGCATGACAGGGGCCGCAGTTGTGAGTGTGATCGGCTGTGGCAAAGGTGTCGGGCTGGCATTCACAATGGGAGGTGCTTCGGGGAGTAGTTCCGGTTCGTGCCTTCTTTTGATACCTCGCTTTCGACTGCGTGCTGAGGCAGTTTCCTCACTAGTTTCCGCCTCAATGACTTCATGAATAGGTCCACTTGGCACCCCCGGAAGGACTGATGCGGCCGGAAGTGTTCCCGGCCGGGTGTTAAAGACAAGAGCGGTTTCATCCGTCTTGATTATTGAATCCAGCGATCGGACATGTCTGTCTACCTAGGTAAAGCTGAGTTTGTACGGGCATTCGGCCCGCTGTCTTTGAACTTACGGAGTCATACGCAGACGCGGCCAATGCAAGCTTCTCTTCAGAAGCCTTGGCACTTTCGGCCATCAAAAACGCTATGTACTCTAGCATTTGGCGCGTCTTTAGCCTCAAGGACAGAGGGTCCTGAGTATTGGTGCTAGCTGACGCTTGTACATTGTGACGTGACTGGATTCCGTTGGTTGAAGGCTCAGCAAGATGTTGTCCATCCTTTGGCTCGGAATCAGCATCATCGTCAAGCGGTTGTGGAGCGACGGATTCTTCATCAATGCCCTCTGCCGATTCCGAGATATCTTTACGTGTGGGAGTTCGAGACGCCTGGAGTAACAGCGATTCACGATATGCAGAATATTCTTTAATGCATTTCTGCAATTCTGCCGTGAAGGCTAATGTACGGGGAAATGCATCGTGAGGGTGATAATTAGAACAGATTCGGCAGACTCACACTCGTACTTCTTGTCAAGTTCATGAAGCAATGCGAACATTCGATGCAAGGAAAGTGGAAGCTGTTCAATTACTAAATGCAACGATGAGTGTCGACGAAACCCATAAAATCCCTTTCGTACCCTCATAATTCTCGTCGCGGAAACTTTCCCATTGCTCTTGGAAGGGATCACTGGCAGGTTCAGTCTCTGCATCTGCAGAGCCCGTCTGCTGTTCCGAGCCTCCGTCTTTCTCGTTGTGATCTAGTGAAGTACTCGCATCTTCTTGCGCATTTGCCTTTGTCCTACGTCTTCGTCTCTTATACCTCACCATGAGCTGATGGAAGAATCGAGGAAAGGCGCTTACAGAAAGCGCGGACTGATATTGACTAATATTGACACCGAGAACAACAGTCACAGTGGGCGCTTTACTCAGCGCCGAAAGAACTATGACTAAAGAAGGTACTTTATTCCGAGCTGTCTTGTCGGGCTAGAGGCATCTCACACTATGGGAGGCTCAAAGAGGCCCAAAGAGGATGACATGCAAGGTGCTTCTAAAAGAGTAGCCGAATCAGGGAAAGGTCTTTCGCGTGTCTCTGAAGTCTAGTACAACACTGCTCATCACGAAATTCGTTAGTATATTCTATCTTTACCCAAAGCATGGCCCCAAAGGGTCTCCTCTGGCTGGAGAATGTGGGTGGGACTTGTCTTCATGGACTGCACCAAAGCCCCGTTTTCTCGCCCAAAGTCGCCTTATTTGACTTGGATGGGACCCTCATTAGGCCTAGGGGAGGTAAGAAATTTCCGAAAGACGCAAATGATTGGGAGTGGTGGCACGCCACAGTGAAATCCAAGTTGGCTGAAACTGCTAGTGAAGGGTGATTAAATATCACAGAACAATCCGCGTCGCCTCGATCTGACGTTGCGTGAAGTTTTTCTTTAATATAGTATCGAATCAGGCAGGATTTTCCAGCAGGAAAGGAGAAGAACGGCGTGCTGAATGGAAGAAGAAAATCCCTAAGATTGCCGCCCAAGTATGTGCCTTCGATCTTCAATTTCCCAATTTCCCACCTGAAACGGAATCTTAGCTTCCAGGCGCACCATTTCGTATATTTGCTGCAGGAGCCTATGACGTGTACCGAAAGCCATTACCCGGAATTTGGCATGCAATCGAGCAAATCTTTGCGAAAGAGAATGTGGTTATTGGTAAGGGACAAGACAAGCTCGTGATGCGTCAAGTCATCTCACGAACCGAACGGCGCAGATAAAGGGTCTTCCTTTATGGTCGGGGATGCTGCTGGTCGGCCCTCAGATCACTCTTTTGCGGATCGACTATTTTCAATCAATGCTGGTCTAAGGTTCTTAACTCCGGAGGTATGTGTGGCCTTTCTCGATAGAGCCTATGCCAAGTAACCACACAATCCATAGGAGTTCTTCTGTAATCAGAAGCCAGTGCCCTACGAGCTGTCAGGCTTCGATCCATCCACGGTCCCTAATGACCGTAAGCATCTTGCGAACCGTTCTCGATGCATTGATACGAGCCTCAGATACAGTGCCTTTATTCACCCCCTCCAATACTCCTTTGATACCGGATCACGACACATCCGCGTCGGTCACCAAGCCAGCAGAGATTGTATTGTTCGTTGGCTACCCGGCTTCGGGGAAAACATCGTTCTACAAAGACTACTTTGAGCCGCACGAATACGTGCATGTCAACCAGGATACTTTGGGTAGTAAGAAAAAATGCTTAGCACTTGTTGAGTCTTCTGTGAAAGAGGGAAAGAGTGTTGTCGTTGGTGCGTTACTTCATGCCGGCTTCGTCAGATTCCAGATGACGTACGGCTATGAGGATAGACAACACGAATAGGGATGTGGACACACGAAAACCATACATTACTCTAGCGAGGAAGTTGAAGTGTTCTATTCGGTGAGCCCTGGCTTCTAACTAAGTGGGCCAGCCTTGTATCTTATGCTGGTTGGATAGCTGCTTATACTTCGCCACCCCTCGGGAAACTGCAATACATAATGATGTATATAGAGCTTTTCTGGCAACTCCACGTGAAGGCGAGGTACATATTCCGGTGCTAGTGACAAAATGATTCGCTGAAATGATTTTTTGAAGGTTCGAAGGACCCTTCTCCTACCTTGGCATTCAGTTCTTTTCAGAACAACTTCGAGGCACCTGATGTCAATGAGGGCTTTTCAGAAGTGAAAACCATAAATTGGGTATTTCGTGGTACAGAGGAGAATCGTCTCCTCTGGGCCATACGAACTCATGGGTTCTAGATGATTGATGATTGATCTCATGTCAGTATGACATTGTACAACACGACACATTATTTTGATATTTCTGTGACAAGAAATACATAAGGGGGAAGCCGCGAGACCCGTGAATCTTTCTCAATCCTCTGTTTTCCGCAATCCACTCAAACTCTGGGTCATTCTCACCACGTTTCCTCGTTAGTTTTGAAATCTGGGGTGAGATGAACGGCACTCAACTGAACTGGCACGCCAAATACATCGATCGAATTAATCCTAGTCTCATCCTCGCCACCTTGATTCGAGGAGACAAAAATCTGTGGGAGGTCTGGAACTCAGAGAAATGATTGGCGAAATAACGATTCCCTCACATGAAGACTGTTGACGCTCTGGAATCTAACATATCGCAAAGGTATTTTACTCCCTTTGTCGACTATTTCGTCGCTCAATTCTATTATTTGAGAAGCCTCAGGTTCCTCGGCGTCCTCAACGTCTTCGAATCCAAGGGCAGGCCTGTTGATGAAGAGCTTGATCTTCTTCGGTCCAGAGGAGGGAGGATCTGTTCTGATAGATATGGCCCGGACCCGAACTGTTTGGATGAACTTTCGTCGTTAATGGTCAGAAAAGGAGACGCATTGCAACATGGATGAGACAATGCTCACAGAAATACTAATGAGTAGCTGTTCGTCTGCATCGCTTTCTAGGTAAGAGCTGGAAGAATTTTTCCTTTTGGCTGAGAGAATTCCCTTGACTCCGTGCTCCTCGGATTCGTTAAGGCAATTCAGTTGTGACACGTCTAAAAGTTCAAGGAGTGAAACCTATTCGGAAATCGTCATCGAGGGATGGTTTCCGCGGAGAGATAGTTCTAACACTGTCGGAAGATGAACCTTCACCACTGCTTGCTGGTGGGGCTCCAGCGTACTTCTTCACCATGGCCTCCAAGCCGGGAGGGTTTGCCCCCTTCAACTATAAGTATGGATATAAATTGAGCTGTCATCGTACAGCCCCTTCTAGTCACCCACCGTATCGATCACTGCGTGGTTCTTGATGAAAACAAATGTCGGCATAGCTGTGACAGAATACTTTTGGGCGATCGGTTGCGAAGCGTCCACGTCCACTTTAACGAACGTAACGTGCTTGTGCTACGCTGTTTGAGAAAAATGATCTAGGACATGAACAAGCAGGGCTTACGGATTGGGAGAGGGCCTCGAATGTGGGGGCGATAGCATGACTTTGAGAATCAGTACGGATTTCTCAGGGGCGTGAGGCTTTCACCAAAGTCAATTTACGTACCAAGGAGCGCACCAGGTTGCCCAGAAGTCGATGACAACCAGGCTATTCCCTTTGGTTTCCAACAAAGCATCAAGTTCCTGGGTAGTTTTTACGTGCTTCAAGAGAGCCATGATGAAGTCAGGATCGAGATCTCGGGTGGCGGTGTGATCAATGGTCCAATTCATTCAGATATTCACAATTGCACACCGACTCATTACACAACCACACACCCAAATCCCTTTACCATGTAGATGGCAATACAATCATGGCTGATAAATAAATGCACGGTGCCACGTAGTCACGAAGCTGGGGTGACTGGGTCAAGAGTTTTCATTCCAAAAGTCATTATAACATCGTGAAAGGAGATCAGTAATCGACATTTTTCGAGCCTTAGGAAGGCGAGGAGGCATCGAAGATGATGCAATTGGACTTGGATCTTCATGATGACGTAGATTGGTTCAATATTCGAGTATCAGGGAAGTCGGAGTAGTACTTACATATCCTGAGATGAGACTGGCAGAACGCAAGTACCTCGACTACTTGACAGCAAGAACATTGAGGAGCTGGTGATTCATCACCACTGTTCTGTTGCAGCGGCCGTCGCAGCGGCCCATTCATCAGCTAGGCCGTTCTTTTCCAACTCTGGCAGTTGAGGTGCTTCTTCTGTCTTGGGTGTTATAGGCGTGTTTGGCTGCCGCACATCACTGCTAGATATTGGCGCACCTGCGAATGATATCGTTATTGTCGAAGAGTCTCCGGTTGAAACGGGTGGATAGATACCTCGACCTAAACCTTTAAGTGGACGTTCTTTTCGTTCCGGTGTGCTCTGCTTCTGTGAATCCCATTCTCGTTGTGCAAGTTTTGCGAGTTTCCGCTTGGCATTCTCCTCACTAACAGCCAACTTCAGCTACTGGTTCGGCACAAAGGGAAATAGACTAACCGCTCATTGTCAATGCTTGTCTGGATCTTCTTCTGAGCAGTAGCCTTCGCTTGTTGTTGCTCCCTTATCTTCTTTTGCCTTTCACGCTCTTCCTTCACCTTAGCATTGAAAGCATCCTCGTCAGCGGCGACCCGTTCTCTCTGCCAAAATGTCAGGGAAGCAGTACTATGTTAGACGTTGTGCAAATCACCTGCTCTCTGATCTGGTCATTTTTGAGCTTCATCCGTGCCATCATGGCTTCCAGTTCTTCAGCGGACATCTTTTCCTGAAAACTCGTCGAGGTGTTATGAGGATGCTTAGGGTGGATCGGACGACGCACCTTTTTCTGCAATTCGGGGCGAATGTACCCAGTGATCTTCGGTTTATTTGGCTTCTCTCGTGGTTTTCTATCTTTTCTCTATCATTGCCCCCTTCCTTGTTATTACCAGAATTCCTCTCCCTCGGTTTAGTTTCATTAGGACGGTTCGATGCATCGGCAGTGGCAGCTTCCCATCCGCTGGCGCCGGACGGCTCACCCCAACCGGCATCCGGAGATGGATCCTCCCATGTCACATCTGCAGCGGTATCTCCGAGGGACTTCTCATCAGGAGCCCCCCAACCTGAAGTATCGGCTGGTTCCTCCCATCCGCCTCGTACGCCTTCGTTTCGGCATCGGTTGCTGGGACAGATGCAGGAGTACCATTCTCAGCTTTGGGCGACTTTTGGGAAGAAGTAGATGGAGTCTCGGGCCTATCTGGAATCTGACCCGTATCCATAGTTTAATCCTGAGGCGCTTGCGAGATTCAGCGATAATGAATGGTGGGTTAGTTCCAAAACTAACGAGACGCGCGACATTTGCTTCCGGTGCTTGTAATCGATAGTGTGACCATTTTTGGGCATTCCCATCGCATCTCAGAGTCGGCTTCGAAGCGCTCGATCTCACTACTAAGCCTTCGGACTAGGTCCCCGGAACCCCACAAATAAGTTCGATTCACAGAGATGTCATTGTCCAAGAAGCTCACCATTACCGACTTGAAAGATGAGGATTTCCGGTGAGTTGTTCCTTCACACTGCCGACTCAGCTCATATGCCATCATCTTCAGCGATAAGCGCGTCCTCATTCGAGTGGACTTTAATGTGCCAATTCAAGAGGGGAAGATAACCAACCCAGCGGTATGATTGCGCTCGTCGTCGTCCGCCGCTCCAAGCTTTACATGCTCACTGCGTCATAGCGCATAGTAGGTGCGCTTCCCACCATTAAGCATGCACTCGAGAAAGGTTAGGAGTTTCATCAATATCCCAATGTCGTGGTCATAATTCCAAATATTATTACTTGAAGGTGCCGCTGCTGTCATTCTGCTTTCGCATCTGGGCCGGCCGAACGGAGCGGTTGTGAAAAAATATTCTCTCGAACCCGTCGCAAGAGAGCTGTCTAAGCAACTGGGAAACAAGGATGTCATTTTCTTGCATGACAGTGTTGGACCCCATATCGAAAAAGGTGTCAAAGATGCGCCCAAAGGCTCCGTTATCCTGCTCGAGAACGTCCGCTTCCACCTCGAGGAGGAAGGTTCCTCCAAGGACAAAGACGGAAAGAAGATCAAGGCTGATCCTGCGGCCATCGAGAAGTTCCGCGAACGTCTCACGGCTCTTGGAGACATTTACATTAATGACGCATTCGGGACTGCGCATCGCGCCCATTCCTCTGTCGTCGGAATCAAGCTTCCCATTAGGGCCGCGGGATTCTTGATGAAAAAGGAGCTAGAATACTTTGCCAAGGCTCTGGAAAATCCCGAACGTCCGTTCCTTGCTATTCTCGGTGGTGCCAAAGTTTCGGATAAGATTCAACTGATCGAGAATCTCATCGACAAGGTCAACTCGTTAATTATTTGTGGTGGTATGGCTTTCACGTTCAAGAAGACTCTCGAGAGTGTTGCGGTGAGTAAAATGCATTTTCCGACAGCATAAACCCGTAATTTTGCCCACCCTAAGATTGGGAAATCCCTCTTTGACGAAGCCGGCTCAGAGAAAGTCGCGTCACTGGTTGCGAAAGCGACGCAGCATAATGTCAAGATCGTCTTCCCTATTGACTATATCACAGCGGACAAATTTGACAAGGAAGCTAAGGTGTGGTTAGATCCATGTATGATGTTGCCACTGTACCATTAATGTCGATGCGATAGACCGGCACTGCCACGGACAAGGAAGGCATCCCAGAAGAATGGATGGGTCTCGATGCTGGTCTAGAGAGTCGTGAGTTATTCAAGACTACCGTGCTCGAAGCCAAGACTATTCTATGGAACGGGTTCGTATCTCGGGCCTGCAATGAGGCCAGCTGACACACACTTCGGTCCACAGACCCCCGGGTGTCTTCGAATTCCCTGCCTTCGCTGGAGGATCTAAGGCACTTCTTGACGCCAACATAGAGGCTGCATCGAAAGGTGCCACTGTGATCGTGGGGGGTGGCGATACTGCCACTGTCGTGGCTGATTATGGTTCTGAGGACAAGCTGAGCCATGTCAGCACGGGTGGAGGTGCAAGTCTCGAACTCCTCGAGGGCAAGGTATTTGCGCCTTACTCAGAGATATACTGTATAAATGATCCCTTCCGCAGAACCTGCCTGGCGTCGCCGACCTGAGTGAGAAGTGAATGAATTCTTCCCATTGGAGGATGGAAATACGACAATCGTCAAAACCTGCTATTACCACCGATTGCTGTTGTTTTGAATACAATGTAGCTTGTAAAGGAGTCCAAGATGAATATAACGACCACTGATGCCGCATCGCCAAATTATTCGGGTAACTAGCGTCGGAATGCAGAGGGGCATTTACATAGTAATTGAGTGGGCGATCGGTGGGGAGAACATTGAGCTAAATTATTATGCATCCTTCATCCTTTGCTTGCTGGCGAGTTGGTCTCGCATGCTTTCCACCACGGCCGCCATTGCGTTTGAGTTCAGTGAGCCGAGCCATTGCCCGGGAGTTGCCTTGTGCTAATTTGTACTGTATTAGCGGAAAGACAGGGCTAATGGCAAACTGAACGTACCAGCTGCACGCATGTACCATCGCTTTGCTATCTCCAAATCTGCTTTCACTCCTATTTCCTGTTCCGTATAATATCCGACAGCGTACTCAGCGTCGGCAAGCCCCTTGTTGGCTGCTCGTCTCGCCCAGAGATATGCTTCTGAATCACTCTGCTTGAGAATGCCATCGCTTCCAGTCAAGTACCAGCCGCTTAACGCCAATTCTGCGTGCGGGTCCTCCTTCCCTGCCGCTTTAATGTACCACGCGAGCGAGCGCTTCGGGTCGATAGGGCAGCCAAGCGTGCCGTATTCATAGCAATGACCAAGTTTGAATTGTGATTGAGTGTAGCCAAGATTCGCAGCTTGGGTGAAAAGTTCCTTTGCATAATTAGGGTCATGAATGATGAAACCTGAGGCACCCTGCTGCCTCTCGTATAATAAACCGAGTTCATGCAACGCGTGAGGGTTGTCCTCATCCGCCTGTTCAGCAGCCCGCCGTAACCATGGGATCGCATCGCGTGGATTCTTGTTCTGCCCAAGATCACCTGTGAGAAGGATCATTCCCAGTTTATACATCGCTGCTGTATCCCCAAGGGAAGCTGCCTTGCGGTAAAACGCAAATGCACGAGAGGTATCACGCCTCGTGCCAGCGCCAATGAGGTTGCACACGGCAACCCGATAGCACGCCTGTGCGTGATTTTGCTTCGAAGCCTGAAGATAAAGATGATATGCCTTTTCGTGATCAACTTCGAGATTGAGCAAGCCAGTCCCATAGCAATTTGCTAAGAAGAACTGTGCTTCAGGATATGTTTCTCCTGTAGTTGCCAGCCGACGCAGAACTTTGACAGATTCGGCTATCAACTGGTCACGATACCTCCGTACCGCTTTCTGGTCTTGAGCATTTGCTCCTACCTTCTTTGCGGCATCGATGAGGTACTTGGCGAATGCAAAGTGTGTTTCCGGATCGGGATCTCCTTTCAACCGATTACGATATTGATCTATGTATTCCTTCGTGTAAGGAGGCTGATTAACGTCGACTGCTTTCATGGCGGGTCTACCATTCCGTGGCATCACAGTATCTGAACGGTTTAATCCTGGGTTCGCGGGCGGCGGACCAGCTCCATATGGGTCACCGGATAAACGATGAGGGTCAGAAGAACCAGGCTGAAGGTATTGATTAGTGGGCTGGGGTGGTGGGGGCGGTTGCTGAGCATAAGTGCTGGGAGCTGGTGACGGAGAACGATTTGGGAGTGAGTGTTGGTAGACGGGAAGCGTGGCATGTGGTGATGGAGGTGGAGCCGCTCCTGGAGGGAGCCCAAGGACGTCAGAGGCAGCAGCATAGAGGGGATCAAAGGAGGGGGGTGGTGGGGCACGGTATGGTGCATTGTAGCCGCTTTGGGGTTGCTGGTGATGATCTCGGTAGAAACCTCCATTGACCGATCCATTTACGCTTGGTGGGCTTTGAGGTGAATGGCCAACAGAAGATGGTGAATAGTTGTCATGGTGGTCAGCCTGATACGATTGTAACGAGTAATTTCTTGTCCGAAGCAAAGTATTCGAAGAACCTGGCATTTGGCTTGGGTATTGCTGAGGTGGGAGCAACGTGTTCGCATGCTGCGGTAACCGATGACTAGGGGCGGCACTAGGTGCCGCTGATACACTTCGCGCAATAGGATCTCTCCGTGAATCAACAGGTCGCTGGTAAGATATGGAGGCAGCTGGTGTTGGGTCACTAATGCGAAGCGACGCGAAAGGAAGTTGAGAGGGATCTCCCGCAGGATCCCCTGGAGGCAATACACCAGAAAAACCTCGGTCCTCCCCTCTTGGCGCGTTTTGCTGAGGCAGGAATGGTCGTTGGCCCATGGCATAAGGGGGATTCACTGAAGTCATGTTTGAATGTGTGTGGGTAACATCCTGAACACCCTCTGAACTTACCATCCGGTGAGTCGTAATCCGCATCATAAGGAGAACTTTGCTCCGGTATCGGCGATGCATGAGAGTTGTGATCCAGTGAGCCAGCATGGCCGCCAACGAAGCTAGCTAATGTATCTTGACGATGGGCCCTAACGCTTTCATGTGAAGGTTCATTCAGCGTGTATGACATTAATCGCTAAACCCAGGGTAGGCCCCTAATCGCAGTACGTGGCGTGAATATGGCTAGCCTCGTGGTGGTGGTGATCACCGTGAATATTTCGGATACAAATTACCTAAATATAAATTGCAGCCATTCGTCGCGCAAGCTTGAGCATGCATGGGCCAAGACTGAAAATAGGAAGACCCTCTTAAATACATGGTTCATAGTACAACGAATAATGTATAAGACAGTGCAAGATTGAAATGTAAAACGTCCAGATTCTTGTTGTGCTCAGTCGCCTGACTCCTGGATCATTTCTGGAGATGCTGGTGGTTCTTCGGGCACGGAATTGGGATTACATGTTTGTAGAGGGACAGGTGGTGATGGTGGGAGATGCGGTGATGGAGCACCATCGTCCACGTCCATCAATACTTCCTCAGTGGCCTGGTCTGTGGAGGCAGGCTCAATAGGATAATCCTCCGGTGGAGGTGAATTAGCGTCCACCATGTTTTGTGGGGCTGCATCGCAGGGTGACACCGACTCGCTTTTTGAAATCTCTTTCTCGCCTAAATGTGCTCCTTCGTCGGCAGGATCTACACTTTCCTCCTCTTTGACCCTCGTCTCTGCAGCATCATCGTCCTCCGCAAACTCCCATCTCTCGTAAACGCGACGAATGGTCTCACGTTCTAAGATGGTGACAACATCGCCACGCAAAGTTTTCCGTACCTTCACCACCTCGTCAACAGCACTGGTATACTCCACTCTCGAGGATGAAGGAGTGGAGGATGATGATGGATCAATCACAGCATTCGAATCAGCCCAGGCAATGGAATCCTCCAGCCCAGGCTGCAGCATAGACACTTGAACTGTTTGGACGGGCTGTATCTTCCGCATCTCTGACACATCCCATGGCCGTGGTTCGTATCCTCTGAATATAGGACCACGCTCCGAAGATGAGAGTTGCGACACTCCTCTGCCGCGCTTCCGCTTGACCCCAGCGACGGCGCCAGGAGTAACGGACGATCGCTTCTCATGGCCGTTTATTCCGTTGGTTGAATACGAGCCCCGCAAAAGTGGTGTCTCAAGCTCGTCGCCTGATTCTGAACCCAAGGCAAGACGGACTCGCCATCTTAATTCACGCGCCAGGGAGCTAGGATCCCTTGTAGTAGTTGGTACTTGGTCCTTCGAGTCTTTTCTTGCAGCCTCTGTCGAGGCCTTGCGTTCGATTATATGGACCTCATTAACGAGAAATGTCGCTAACGCCTCAAGACCTGAAAGAATTCTTGGGTGGATTTCTTCTTTTGCTTTGATATCCCGGACCATCTTTTCCGCAACATACCAGCAAAGTCTGTAGAGAGACACGAATACACTTCATGCAGTTAACCAAGGCGCAGGACTGACTTACTTTCTAAACATAGGGAAACGGAATTTCTTGGGAACTTTGGTCGCAAGCTCCAGTTGTCGGACTCGTAGTTCTACGGAATCAGTTCAGAAATCCACGCTCGAACGTACCATAACAATAGACCTACGAGTGGCGATATTCCAGGAATGCAAGAAATTCCCACCAAAAACCAGTGAATCAGTGGGTGTATACTAAGCGCAGCGACAATTAGTCCAGACCCATCGATCGAAATTTACGAGGAACATACCACGCAATGTATCCATCCAGTCGGTATGATCCTATGATGATCGGTCAATCGTCTTTCTCAGACAAAAGTAAAGACTGCTCACATAGTGTTTCCCTGCTGGAGTTCAACCTTGACGACTTCATCCACCCAGTCACCTAACCACACGTTTGACTGGTGTACTTCGCTGCCCGACCATTTCTCGTACGCAGCTAAGTTAGCAGGGGTAGGGCGGATGAAGTAGAATACCTATTATTGGGCATATCGATTGATCAACATTCCAGCACTTGCGCATTTACCACATGCAAGAGAATGGTGCATACCTTTGAACCTCTTAGGATATGGTAATACACAGAAGATCCAGCAAAATCAAGGTGCCAGTCCTGAATCAACGCATGTTAAGCGGGGCATGGCTATGAATGGAATGAGAAATAGCATACCGTCCAGCATTGCGCAACTGACATGAGACAATACAACTGGACTTTCGGGTATTGTCCTTTCCGTTTATTTACAGGCCATGCTTGCTCAACCCAATCAATTTGTCGAACAAGCCGAGGAGGAAGAATTTTTTCGGCGAGCTTGGTCTCGGAGATTTCGAGGGATATTACATTACGAATCTTATCACGGTCTCTGGGAGGGGAATTGTAATAATCTGCCCATTTGCCTAACGTCCAACCCTTATCTTCTCGTTGCGTTCCAACGTCTGTGAAATGTCCAGTAGAATTTTCGTGATATGGGGCTTGGAATCAGGTTATGCAATTTTAATGCCGACTAAGCTTACCGAGTACTTCGACTTTCTCATCCTCTCCAACCATCCTCGCAACGTCGCTAACGGTGAACGATGGATCTGGCATCTTCATTCCAAGCCCCTCTGGTTCCTCGATAATGATAGGCTGTGTCATGGCATCCTCGTTCTCGGTGAGCCAAGCCGAGGTGACTTCCGAGCCCTTCATTGTTGGGAAGGCGTGTGGGACAATCCTCTTTGTTGCAAGATAATGCATCCAGCGTTTGGGATCAGCTGGATGGACACCTTCATTGAGGGTTGCGTAGTCGACCTTGGTTGTCGTTCGCCTTGATTTGCGTGTAGGACCTTTATCAGGTTTGAATGTGATGGAGCGACTCGGATCCTCAACGAGACATTCGGCACAGAACCTGGAGTTCACAAGTGATAGTTATATTAGTGATGAAGCAGAGGCTACAGGCAGAGGATTTGACTTCAAAGAATCGCAGAGAAACGTCTTGTCTCAAGGTTACCCACCATTTGTCTATGCTGTCCAGCGACTCAGGTTGATTGACGCATGACCAATGGAACCATCGTTCGCAACCTTCACAACCAACCCAATTTTCCTTCTTTGATGCCTTACGGGGATGTGACTCGCACAGAGGGCACGTCTCGGGAGAGCCCTCCTTCGTAGACTCATTCTCTACAGAGTCAGCTTCCTGCTTGGTATCCGCAACTGAAGACTTTGGTTCTGATGGTGCCACTTTACGTCGCACATTCCTACCCCTTGCCATAGCACAATACTCGATACTAGAGACCAAAAATGACGTGGGCAACCGTCAATGTGCTGTGGATGTACGAAATAAAATCGAGCCTTCCAGGTGACTGGGATCTTCCGAACTGCCTCTGATCACGTAAGCAGTCGGGGCACAATATTAATGACCACGTTCAACGTCTTGAACGTCGTGGCTGCATAGGGGATTTGTACCATTCGCTGATGAGAATACGGCACGGCCCCACACAAAAGAGAGACCCCTCCTGGGTTCAATGAATGGTAGAAAACTTCCAACAATCTTTCCATGCGCAAAACGCACATGCGTTGCTGCGGCTGGAACGGGGATCAAACATTGTTTGGGTGCATAGACGAGGTTGTGTGTTGGATGTGAAATTACATATGTTCCTACCTGTGGATAGGGTCTGGAGTTGGTTTCGGGCTCCTCCCGGATTCAACCTCATTAGGCGCCTGATTACGGAACACCAAGCCGCGAGGGATGAGCGAAAAGTGGCCCAACAATGGTTGAAAGGATACATGAGAACATTGTAAATACCACAAAAATCATTGAGAGAAGAAGAAGAAGCAATTATGAAAGACAAGAAAAACCGCGAGTCAACCAATTCATTGATCACACACAGGACTTCCGATGGTAGCCCACCTCCTCACGAAGTACAGTTGCCGTAAGAGCTCTAGCGCTTGCTCGGTGAATCAGGGAAGGATGTAGAGCCTTAGGTAAGTGGGCACAATTATCGGGGAAGATTCAAATGGAGCTGACAACACTGCAATCTTTGGAAGTTCGCAAGCTTCATAAGAGCCAAACGCATGGAAGTTCCAGCCGGGAATCTCCGGCTGATGTTGAATTTGCTAGCCGGGTCTAAAATTCGGACTTACAACACAGGCTTTGGTAGAGAGCGTCACAAATACTGGAGGGGGTCAGAACAAGTTTTCCTTTCCACCACTTTCATCCCCCCAAAACACCTCTTAGACTGTAAATTCGCTCTGTAGCGCCTAAATCTAACCAAATCTCATCGTTTTAGCTTCAATGGCCCGCACTAAGGTTAGTACTTCCTTCCACAACTTCACCACAACTTCTCAGCTGCTCCCGCCGTCGTCTTTCGTCGTCGTCGGGCTGCGTCAGCCTGTCTCACGACACGTTCTGACTTCTTCTGCTCCTTTTTTCTACACTTTCTACCAAACTTGCACCCACATACGCACATCATGGGCATCTGGTGGTCGTTTGTGCTCAACTTGTGATGTGTCGTCGTCGTCTCTGAACCCTTCACCGCCGTGTCATTATGCGTGGATACCAACTTCGGCAAACCCCTTCCGGTGGTGACTCAACTTTGCTTCCGCAACTGAATAGCAAACCGCCCGCAAGTCTACCGGTGGCAAAGCTCCCCGCAAGCAGCTCTCTACCAAGCAAGCCAAGAAGAGTGCCCCCGTAAGTTCAACCGTTTTGCTTTCCCCAACGCATGCCTGCTTGCTGCGTTGACGGACTGCTCCAGTCCCTCGTACTCACCCCAATTCGATAGTCCACCACTGGAGGTGTAAAGAAGCCTCACCGCTTCCGCCCCGGAACCGTCGCTCTTCGTGAAATTCGCAAGTACCAGAAGAGTACCGAGCTCCTTATCAGGAAGCTCCCTTTCCAACGTCTCGTTCGTGAAATCGCTCAGGACTTCAAGGTCACGACTCTTGCGCCACACACTTCAGAGCAGCAATCTTATTTCGTCTGACTATTATAGACCGATTTGCGCTTCCAGTCATCTGCCGTCTTGGCTCTTCAAGAAGCCAGCGAGGGTGAGTACATACATGTGTCTGAACCGAGGACTCCATCCACTGATTCTTTCCACCAGCTTACCTTGTGTCGCTCTTCGAAGATACTAACTTGGCTGCCATCCACGCCAAGCGCGTCACTATGTGAGTACGCTATCTCTCACTGTGTGCTAATCACTCATCTCTCATTAACAACTCAGTCAACCTAAAGACCTCGCTCTGGCTCGTCGTCTCCGCGGAGAGAGAACTGCGTAGATGATGAACATGTTTTGACAGTTGTTGCGGACACATTTTGTGCGCCTGTTTATTCTGCACCATAGCGCAACAACCCGAAACGCGCATTGCTTCGAGTTCTTGACCCATCCAGTCTCGAGGGGCTCTCAACTTTTTTCTTTCTTGATCATACCTATAGTCCTTTTGTATGCTACAAAGTGTGTCTTCCATGGACGCATCGCGTGCGCCGTCTCTGTTCCAGCGGTTCACATTATGCCCTGTATGGCTTATGTTATTATTTGAGGAAACCCTCTACAAGTATGCATGTTGGAAATGACAATTGCTTTTTAATTGCCATTATGTTTCCACTCGCCTAGTGTCTCGGCGGGTTTTCGCCCAGAGGTACTCAACAATGCTCAATCCAAAATAATTATGGTATCATCCCGCACCGATTGGGATAATGTCTGTGGCGAACTTGGGAGTCTCGACGGGTCCCTGGCTGCAGAGGTGGCATCGCCTCCTTCCTGAGCGAGGGATTCTGCTGCGTTTGAGGCCTGCTCTGAGGGAACCTGAGGACGATTTTGGTGTAGGGTCGCCTTGGCTTTGGCCACAAGGTCTGCAAACTGCGCAGCGTTCTGAGCCTTTCGGGAGACAACATGGACGTCAGTGATGCACATTTGTGACCAAACCAATGTATGCTTACCATGTATGCCGGTGGATGTTTGATTTTCTTCTCCCTCGCTTTTTTCTCGACCGAGTCCTGCTCTTTGGTTCGCTCCCATTGTTTTAGCTCTTTTCGCAGTGTGACGGTGGACTTGGGGCGTGAAGTGTCAATGCTAGAATTCCAAAGAGCAATCCATTTGTTATATCGATCTTGTAAGACCTTCTTATCCCCTTCTGTTGGGAGACCATGTTCCTGTTGGATACACATTATGTTAGCGGTTTTCAGCGATGTGGACTGGCTCACCGAGAGGAGCTCACGAATTGCCTTCTCTTTAACGAGAGCGAAGGTCACCTTTGGAAGCGGTTTCCGCTCACTTTCCTGCTCAGGGGTTTCTGCTCGCCGGGCGCCTTTCGATCTACACATTATTTTTACGCAGGTGTAATCGGAAGATCTGTATTAGTACGTACTTCAAACCCCCTTTACTTGACGCGAACAATGTCCCCCAAGCCTTCGAATCGTTTTTCTTTGGTTCAGGGTCACTACAACCACGCTCGATGTGGGGGTCGAGTCTGTTGAGCCGTATTCTAGTTTGGCATATTGGGCAAGACACAATGGGGTCTAACAACAAAAAATAGTTGGTTTTAATGCTGTTTCTGGCGACCAGGAAATCATGTTTACCCGGGGCATTGGCACCCTCTTCCACTTCAATGTCTGAATCGCTCAACAAAATACCACTCCTGGGAGTATCTTGTGGGGTGAGCGTAGGTTTGGGGCGTTTTGACCTTGGGGTTGAAGGTCCCTCTTGGTGGTCAAAGTCGTCGTTAGCCCTCCACGGTGATGACATCTTGCTGCCCAGATCGGGCCGTTTGCGCTTCCGTGGCGAGACTGACGTGTCTCTCGGTGTACATTTCCGCTTCAGAGCGATGAGTTCTTGACGATCGTTTTGTAAAGATAAGATGCCAGATCTACGCTCCACTTTAGCACCGGAAGAATTATGCTTCAGAACTAGTACGTACCGTCCATTCCGGTAAGCAAAGACCACGTCTTCTAACGTTGAATTTCTTACGAGTGAGCTTTCTTGTGTAGTATGTCTACACGTTGGGCACTCATTCTTGCTGGGCAAGTAACCCCGTATGCACTATTAGGGTGGAAATCAGCGCGCCATTACGCGTCTTGCAGGAAATAAAGCTGATGATCAACTGCATACTAGGCTGCAGAACGTATGACCACAATGACTAAGTAGCACTGGTGCCTCGAAAAGGTCCTTGCACATTGGGCATCGCAGAGTTCCATCGAAGGTTCTCAGTTCGACACCTTCGAAGTCAGTCGGATCGCTCACTCCTTCGGTAGACATCGTGTGCATGTATAAATAGTACCAAGATAAGATGAAGAGCGTGTAAGTCGTGGGCGGGTTCGTGGCTTGGGCGGGCGATGCCGTGTTGGTACCTACTTCGTAAATTCAGTTGACGTTCGCAACTGCTCAGCGTCTATTGGATGGAGTTGGTGGTTCAAATGGCAACTATATTAATATACACGTAGATATCAATCAAGCGCGCGGAGAGTGCCCTCTTCTACACGTAAAAGCCAAGGTAGGCGAGAGATTGGAAAGCAATGCACACCATAGTTCGCTCTCTGCGTCCTAAAATCCTCGGGACGAAGATTGTAGCGTAGGGTTCCTCGGGAGAAATCATAGGCACACTTTTCTGTCTAAGCTAACTGAACCATGCTTACAATTATACTCTGTGCCTTGGCGCATGAAACTCTGAGGATTCCACGAGGCTGAAACTCAATGGCCAACACGAGCAATCTAGACTCGAGGGCAGGATCATTTACCGGCTGTCCAATCACCATCTTCCAACATTATCTTTGGCCGTGGGAAAACCGCGGTGAATTCATCACGCGTGAGGTCATTGGGCCGCATGCCTTCAGAAGATGGGCAGAAGCCATCCTCCAATGGCGCCGTCAGGCTCGTCGGGGCTGTAGCTGGAATGGGGTCAGGCAGGTTCTCCAAAGCTAACAGCAACGCCGATACATCACTTATTCGCAATTTCAGGCTTGACGAAGGTGAGCCATGATGAAACGGATTGTGGAAAACGATGGAATGAATGAGTGAGTATTCTTAGGTGGCTGTAGGACATGGGTGAGCGTATGCTTCTCCTCCTCCCTCTCTCGATTGTCTTCATATATATAGCAGATTTGACACGATCAAGACTAGGCTTCAATGCGCTGCTCCAGGGACGTACGCCGGCGCAATAGATTGCCTCGTCAAAACTGTACGGAATGAAGTAAGTCAAACTCTGCATTGTACGCGATACAGATAATCTCATTACATCCATTTGCAGTCTGTCTTTGCTTTGTATAAAGGAGCTACGCCCCCTGCCGTGGGGTGGGCAGCGATTGATTCTTTGTTGTTGGGATCCTTGCACAATTATCGTCTTCTCCTTGTCAAAAATGGCTTCTCTGAACCAATTCCGAATTCTGACAAAACACGATTGTCGTATCTTGGGCACGGTATCTCTGGCCTTATGGCTGGTTGTACAAGGCAAGTCCCACGCTATTTGAACCGGGACGCGAATCTCACGATAATCACTCCCCAGTGCACTTGTGGCTACTCCGGTGGAGCTGATCAAAGGTGAACTGAATGGCGTATCCAAGTCCTGCCGACTCCCCGAACTCACTGGCACGTTGCAGTCAAACTCCAGCTTCAGCTTCAACGTTCAGTTGCCGACAGGCAATTCAAAGGGCCCATTGATGCCATTAGGCGGATTCTCAGAAGACAAGGGGTCACAGGCATGTGGCAAGGCCTTCCAGCCAGTGCATTGTTCCGAGCGAATTTCTTCTGGATGTTCTTGGGCATAGAGGTACGGAGCCGGACCGAGGTATTCGCTACAATGATAACCTGCATTTGTCAGGTGCTCATGCGCTCTTTCGTCCACTTTGATGGTACCCCTTATGAGGTGAGTCTGGCATGTGTTAAATAAAGGTCATTCCCGTGCAATCAATCACGAAGCTTGCCAGATGAGACATGGCTTTAAAACATTCTGTTCGGGTCAGTTTTAACCGTTGGGAATGTCGCATTCAACTCTTTTCTCAACTCAGCCCGACTCAGGCGGACTTGCCTCTTTTGCGTACTGGTTTTTTGCGATGCCCGCCGATAATATCAAAAAGTGTGTGGTCCCAAAATCGATAGCTCAATTCCAAATTGTATCAGGCGGTGCTAATTTCCGTATCAATAAATAGCCGCATCATGTCAAGGGATCTAAACCAACCCCGCATCGCCATTCGCGAAGTTGCGCTGCATGTTTACAGGACACACGGCTTGAGGGGTTTCTACTCAGGCTTCGCCCCCTGTGTCCTGCGTGCATTCCCTGCGAACGCTTCTGCTTATTTCGTATATGAGGGTCTAATGAGCGGCCTAGGTGCCGAGAAGGCAAGCACATGCCCCTGTTTGTGACGTACACATGTGCTGATTTTCTTCACCCAGATTCGGGCGTAAAAAACTCACATTTCAGCTGATGACTAGAATGTCACCCCATCCACCATCCCAAGATCGAAGGCCGTTCAAGGCTTTCATCTCCATACTCGTATAGAGCGTATCTAATGGCAGCACCCCGCTTGCTGGAAACAACTTGCCTAGTCAAGATTCCCAAGCCATTCCATTCCCATGCCCCATACTGCCACCCATTCTCATATTCGAAACCATCAGATTGAACGTCATTGAAATAAAGATAAATCATCAAGCAATGATAAAAATTTCATGTTAACGTGAGAAATTTCTACAAGTTGTGAGGGTTTGCTGTGATATGATATGAATGTAACGGGCGTGCGGTTGAGTTGAATCAATGTACATGAAGTGAAAAGGAAGAAAGCTTGAGGGACAGCCCGCAAAGGCCGCACACAAAAGGTATACGTGGATCTAAACAGCGGAAGCGGAGAAGCTAAATTTCTTACAATTCTTCATCTTCATCCATACCATCCAAAACGGAACGGCTTCGTCGTCCAATCAACCACCCAACCTTGGTAATCCAGGCATCTCGTAGCGTCCGAAGAGGCCGCTGAGGAATGACTTCCCCAGGTCCCAGGGAAGATGGATCAATTGTCACGGACAATCCATCCTTGACATCTCTATCCTCGCTTGCAACCATCTCATCGAGTCCTCTCTCCCATGTTCTAACGGTTTCCTCACCGTACATACCACCAGAACGGTTAACGTGTTCGGCGATGCGGTCAAGCCAAGCAACCCATTCTCTATGAAGTCGTATGAGAAGCCCACTGGACTCGGCGTATACTAAATTGCGGGCGACGGGCGGAAGCTTGTGGATAAGCATAACGATTGAGTGAAGATAGGCGAACGAGTCCGAGGGATGTGACAATTCAGCGGGAGCATTGCGACGGACGAGACGTTGGGTTGCTGCGTCGTGGAAGACTGGGTCTCGCTTGGCAAAGAGGTGAAATAAACCAGATATGAGCTAGCCGTGGAGGCGAACTCGGCCAAAGGCAGGCGAATTCGATTCTGAATATACGACTCGCGCATGCCGCTCGTTCTTCCTGAGGAAGAACCAATAGCAGGTGATGAATCACGACTAGATGGAACGCTTGATAGGCCAAATCCAAAGCTTGTATTGAGAGGGGCATGTTGTGAGTAAGGGTATGTATCCCGAATTTTCTTGATGGAAGCAATGAGGGCTTGAAGAGCAGCGTCAAGGGTAGGGCGGGGGATCAGGGGTATGATTAATTGCTTCAATGCAGGGTACTTGGTTATCAAGGAGGTGAGGATAGGAAGGAGTGAAGCAGGTGGTAACGAAGCTAATAAACGATGGGTATTGATTAGCAGTTGCAATGCGCACAAAGGCCTGAGACAACATGGGGGCGTACCCAAGAGCATTCCAACGTCTATAGTGTCTTGCTGTGCTTCTGGAGCCGGTTTAGGATTTGAAACAGTGGGTGCTTTCACACCCTCGACGCGTATGCGCTTGGTAAGGCCCTTCTTGGGTCTATCAGGACTCGGCGAACGAGCAAGCATATTCTCATCCTCTTGTTCATCAGGCTCATGGCGACGCTTGTTCGAGGCCTGCCTGGTAGGACTTGGGATGACGGATGGCTTCTGTGTGATGGACGCCGGGGGTGGGGCGAACGTTGGAGATGCAAAGCTTGAGGCTCCAAAACCGAAACCGATGGACGCCACAGGCCGGGTGTTGGGAATGGGACGTTCATGTTGATTCCCATCGGCTGACGAGTTTGTACGTCCATGGCCGGCCGTCAGTAGGGGGAATTGGAAGGCTGGAACCTGATTTAGGGCCCAGGGCGAATAGTTTAGCGGCCCGGAAGCAAATGTCGGAAACTGCCTTAAAAAGCGGCCGTTTGGCCAGTTTTTCTTGTCTTTTCACCCACTCCGGAGCATTTGAGATAGCCTCCCCAATAAGGTGTGCATTTTTCTTTTTGAGTGTTACGATGAAGATTGTCAAGAATCGCTACACCGAAGCTCAGCTCATGAGAGGACTCTTTCGATTCTGAGCCTCGAACACGTGTTAACATTTTGTTGTATTGCTCAGCTCACGGTTATTCTGCATCTAGGTTTTTCAACGTCTTTGTCCGCGCCCAGCTCGTAAGTTTTTGTTCACGTTGTCCCCTTGTTCTTCATAATCCAAGTGTGATGAATTATGTGCTCAGACCAAAAGCACGAGTCAAGCACGTAGGTGACTACAATGTCGCCAATGGCGAGATTTAAGTGTCTGAAATTTCCGTCCCGTGTTCATATCCCCTTTGCGTAATGGGATGTGTGCTCATTGCTCGTTTTGCATAGGTTCTCGATGTCATTCCCGCTGACAATATGACTCTGTGAGTATGGCTCTCCCTGTTGATCACCATTCCGTTCGCAATTCAAAGATATGATGAGATCATGATCGTGAGACAAGCGTGGAGGTGACGGCGTCATCGATGATAGGATTTTGTTCTTCCTGATCTCCCTACTCATCCCTTCAATGTCAACCGTTTAGCATTGAAGCTAATGATTACATCAGTTTTCTTTTTGCTCTTTCTCCATAGACTCGTTGGACCGGGTTTACTGGCATTTAGCACAAACTCGTGAGTTTTGCGTCTGGTGCTTCGCCTCATGAAGACAACCTTCGGGTGTGCATTCGGAGATGGTTTAAAGATCATCGATGACCATATATTGCTATGCTAATCCTGATCTCCATATCTGCTGGTGCAATTAAAGGCTGCTGTTGTTAACGTGCATTTCATGCTACACTTACAGGCTGCCCTTTCTACAATTCTCAGTCTGTGTCTGACCGTGAGCGTGATCTCTCAAGGCTCAATTCCTCCCACAGTTGGCGGTGAGTTCTGCCCTCGCTTGCTCACCCACTGCGGTTTTGTCTCAGGGAATGGTTCACTTCTCAGACGTGACACAGCGTGACACTCGATGAGATCGGGATCTTCCATGAGGACAGCGGTAGCTGTCTTGTTTGTTATCTCGGATGGGCAACCCGACAAGATATGCTTCCACTGGTATTTTCCTCAAGGAGTCCCGTGTCGCCCGACCCTTGACGTATCCTCTTTTGCGCACACCACCTACAAACTGAGATAACCCCTCCCAAACCCTCCACCACCCACTTTCGCTTCCGCACCTGCACCCCCTAGTAAGAATACTCGGGACAGCCCCGAAGCCCTCATAATCAGCTAGCGGCCCTTTATGGGTTCACAAGGGGATGCTATTTCATCTTTACCGTCTGTCCCGGTCCTCCCTCGATCCTACACACCAGGTGGATCACACTGCAACGTGGTATAGAGGGATGTAGCGCTGTATAAGCACTATTGGTAACTGGTTCAATCTGGCGAATTTCCAGGGGGTGAAATGAATTCGCGACGATCGCAGGTACCAGGCATATAACACACGCGGCATAAAATGGAGGTTTAGGACTGCAAGATAAGAAATGAAGCTCGTCACTTCTACACTATCCTAATTCACGTCCCCACTATATACATTACATTGTATAGATAGATACGATAGAATATAATCTGTAGCTGTCCTTGGCACCCTTGCACACGCATCAAAGGAATAAAAAGAGAGAAGAAAAAAGGATGGATCGAACTTGATTTAGCTGCGAAATGGCGAAAGAAAATTGTGGAAGGTCAATAAGTGAGAAAAAAAAACAACGAAATACGAATTGGAAAAATGCCGACAGGCCAGCAGCTTCCAACCTCCACACACCACACACTTCCTATCCCCTTACGCCAAGATCAAGCAGTCTCCATCAACCCAGTCCAAGGCCATTCAATAATAGGATTCTTCCTATACGGCCAACAAACGACCCTCTGAGGCTTCTTCACCTTCCCCCAATCGATCAGTTCCGAATTGGATGTACCAGGTTTCAAAGGAGGTGGAAGCATCGTCGAACGGGTTTCTAGTGAGTTGGCTGGAGGAGGGTTAGGTGGGGGTGGGAATGGGAGAGCTTCGGACCAACGTGATTGGGCCTTGTCGATGAGTCTGTTAAAAGAGGGGTGATGATACAAGTCTTCCTCGTAAGTGACTCGTACGGATGGAACGAGCTGCCGACGAGTAGAGAAAAAAAAAAAGATCAGATCAGCTGGAGAATTAACAAAAAAAAAAAGATGGCTCGTAGCACGTACCACCCATCTATCGAATCCTGCATTCCAGAAATCCTTCGCGATGAGCTTACACTCGGAGGCAGCTAAGGGAAAAGGAGTATGACCGTCATCAGGCACAAACTCCAACAAAACGTGAGAGAAGAACGACTCACGACATTCATGTTTCTGCCTATCCCCTCCACGGAACATAACCTTCTTCCTACTTTGTCCATCACCGTCACCGTCACCTTTCCTCCTCCTCCCAACACTCTCACCAGGTCCAATCCCCAGAAAAGGTCTCGCATCCAAAGCCATCATCCCATTCCAACACGAATAAACAGGCGTGGGTTTGGCTTCTCTAAACATCGCTTTCCACTGTACGTCCTCGCTTGCATAGAACAGTTCATCGATCCCATCTCGTATTTCTGCGAAAAGATCGAGACGGGAACGGAGGGTGTTGCCGGAGAGGGATCGAGATACCCAGTTGTCATAGAACTGATGATATAAAGATAAGAACACGTAAGAAACATTGAGAGAAACGGAAAGCTAACCTTTGGACCAACATCGAACCAAGAGAATTGAGGACGTCGCCATCTATAATCTAATCCGCACGCAGCACTCGCCTCCTGAACGACCCTTTGATGTACCAACTCCAAAATGTCCGTCCCACACGTAAACACGTCGTTCACAAACACCACCGTCTCCACTCCCTCCACCTCGTCGTCGCTTTCACCACCACCACCGCTATGAACCCTCCCTTTCACCAACGGTTCAATCACCAAATTCCTGTATACCGAAAGTTGCCCAATCCTATCAACCCCTTCACTCCAATTCGTCGGCTTCTGATCCGAGACGATGAAATGTTCAACTCGAGCTCTCGTCAACACAGCCGCTAAATGAGCCATTCCACGATCCGTTCCATCTTTCGAACCATTTTCGAATATGGATACGATAACGCGTTGTGGACCAAGATAGAGAGCTGCTTGGAGTAAAGAAAAGGAGAGTGTATGGAGAATGTGGGCAGAATTATAGAGGTCTATGGCTATGAAGACTTTTCCGTGTTTAGATCTACTTCTGGTGGCGCTTGTTGTGATGTTGGTATTGCTAGTGGCAGGAGAGGAAGAAGGGGAAGGAGAAGAAAGAACATGTGATAAATGAGCGTAACGACTCCGAAACGGTTCCTCCATCGGTGAACTACACCGCAATTTAGACCTCCCAACGTTCATACTCTTCTCAAACCTCGATACGAGTTCCGCATATAAGCTTCCCAAGGTATTCTCAACCGTCACGTTCGAAACGGGATCAACGGTGAACTCGACTGGCTCAGGATGGGGTATGGAGGGTTGAACGTCAAAGACGTCGTTGAAACCGGGATCGGAGTAGAAGTGGAAGGTATAAATGATAAGAGGTGTTAGAATTGATAGGAAGATAAAAGAGCAGATGAGAGTTCGACGACGGGGACGGGTCGTGAAGGGGAGTTGGGAGAGGGGCGTTGAGAGTCGTGGAGAGAAGGGATGGGATGTTCGGCTTGGGGTTGAGCGAAGGAATGGAGTGGATGAAGTAGGTGTAAGCAAGGACGCAGTGCTTGCCGTAGGGATAGGGCTGGTGGTATCGAGGCTAAAGTGGTGGCGAGTATGATGAGTTCCATCTTCGTTGTGGTTACCGCTAGGAAGCAATGGTTGTAGGTCGACGAATTCTTCCGCTCGTTTGCTTTCAACGTCTTCAGCATCAAAGAACGACCGTGGACGTTTAGACACGAAATATCTAAAAAGCATCATCTTCTAATCGTAGCCAGGGTAGCCAGAGGCTTGAGCCTTCACAGTCTTCGCCACCTGCTTTGTTGCTTTCAGTTTGGAAGCTCAGCGCTTAAAAGGATGATGTGAAAGAACAATCAGAGAAGGAGAGAAAGACTGGAAGAGACGGGCGCAAGGGAGTTGGAAGCGAAAGGGGAAAAATGATTTACAAATGGATTCCAAAAGAAGTCCAGGGGTAACAGGATGCATATATTAAGTATTTATTACTGTGAAACCGGTTATACGAGTTTTGCAAGCTATGCATGCAGTGTTCCAGTACGAGCCGGTGCACAGGGATACCTTGGCCAGCGTACGTTACGGGGGGGGACAACAAGGTAGCTAGCGCGCGGGACGGGTCAGCCGCAATTGAGACTCGATTATATAATTTTTTACCTATTGAGTGAAGGATGTTCCACACTCATCAATGTCGAGAAAGGTACCTGATGGCGCGCACTGGCACTACAGCAGAACCCTACATATCCGCACAGTTGCCCCAAATGAGCGCTCTCTGCATCGGCGCCGACGATAACGCTTGTGGGCGATAGTGACGAACGTGTTTCTTTTCAAACAGATTGGGTTATGTAATGCATTATGTAATACGAACAGCCGCATTCCCGCGATCAGCGAACTGAATGCTGACTGCGGAGGTGACTGCGGAATCGTTTTCGCGTTACCACATCAACGCCGATCTTTTTTTAGAATGCCCAGTGCTTATAGGTCTATATATAGGTATTCCCATGCTCATCAGTGGCTCACTACTGTTGCACTCACAATCGACCGTAGAAGAACAACCTTCCCCAACGCTTCGAACACGAAATCCGACGATTTGCCTATTACATATATTATTACTATTCGGGACGTACAAATCGGGAGCTATGATTACATCCTATCCAACAATTAATTAATCTTGGAGCTCAATTGGAGCTCAAAACAACTTGTGACCCCCGTCCAGTCCACAGATTCGAGCTCGCTCCCAAATCATCTGAACCGTTCAGTCAATCTGGGCTGAACTACTGAAGGAACTCCTCTTCAACATAAACTCGAAAAAAGCTCACTTCAAGAAGTCGCTGCCGGTATTAAAAAGAAAAAAAAAAAGGTATCCGAAGGGTCTCCTCTTACCATGAGAATTCACCAAACAGACCCAATGGTGCAACCTCCATTTTCTTGCACCTTTGGAGAAGTTGGGAGTCGAACCCAATACCTCTCGCATTAAGCTGATGCTAAGCGAGCGCTCTACCAGATGAGCTACATCCCCTTGGATACCAGGCCGGTGGATCTCCTTAGAACTTCTTCATTATCTCTCGGCGCGACCTATCAATTCAGCATCGAAGCACCATAGGTAATGTGGCCCTCCACACATCATTGCACACCCTACATCAATTACCACGAGAAACGTCGCCGCGTTCTTATCACTACAAGCTAGGAGTACACCTGTGCAGCACATTCATCCACTGTGGCATGGTCAACACGACTCGACAACTTTAAACCCGCTACCGGATCGTAGCGGGAATTTATTCCATTGTGTAATGGGTGCGGGTATTAATTGACCCAAAATCATTAACTATTGTCTGGACTGCGAGTGAACCTTGCAACGCCGCGTTTCATTGACGTATGCAACTGCAATATCATGATTGGGTAGTTAAATTCGAATGTTTTCAAAGTTGTAGGAGTATTACGCTCAAGAGATCGCATCCCAAGCACCAGAGACGTATGGGGAAAGCAAACACTAGGATAAGTCCGGGCGTGCTAATGCTCAGCGGCAACACGGGTTGGCAGATGGCCGTCATCCTTGGGTTCCCCAGTATATTCGTCCTGTCTCAAGACAATCATAGGATAGCTACTGGACTGGTGCGAGACGTCCCAATATACGCGTTGGTCTGTTCACTGAGTCCTTGGGTAGTTTTGGCGAGCAGCACGCATCGTAAAATTAGGTCAGCGAATCTCCATCAAAGAGGTCCTATCGCAGATTCGCGATTTAATTTGCTGTTGCAACCGATGAAGCGGATGGTCGACGGCCCATGATAACTTGCGCGGAAAACGAGGCACTTCCAAGCTGGGACGCCGATGACTGCTTTGTCATGATGCTAGGAAAATCAAAAGACACCAACTCGCCGGAAAGCCGGTTGGACCAACACCTATGTTCTGGGTTCTGGGCATCGTTCGGCCGTAATCCTCTCGGCATGCTTATGGCGAATTAGGAAACGGCAGTCGTACCTGCCACTTCCCGAAGAGTGTCATATAAGGTCTTAACTCTGTAACTGGGTGATGAAGGCATGCATGCTCGCGATTTTGTCCGGAGTAAAGCTCCCTATGGTGTGGCAGCAGAGTGAAAGAGGGATTGTGACAGTGGGATGGTCATCCGATGCATCAGCAGTGGGTTATTTGCTCGTTCGTGTAGTTTATTCTGGCCAACACATGTGTATCTCCAGGAAATTGGAAATACTGCATCCTGGAGTCCAGATGATTTCCGCTGTTGGTTTGGATGCCGGGGATATGGAATTGGTCTATGGGGTGAGCAATACAGATCTGGCGGAAAGTGGGGAGACAGGATCGCCTCACGACTGCAATATTCCTACTGATCATTAAAAGAAGGAAACGTGGGGCGAAACTCCGTAGGGAAGGCAGAGGACGCGTGGCTCATCATCATCATCATAGGCCCCGAGACCGTCAGAAGAGAGAGCACGAGCCCCCGAGGGAATGTTGGAGGGAAAGAGACCTTCATTACAGCTACTAGATATCCAATATATGAGTAGGTATCACACGGTTGCGGTGGATCAAGATGAAACTCTCCGACCATTAGGTGAGGAAAGATTTGCGTGAATCTCCAGGTTACTCCGTCGACGGGTTAGGAATCCAATGCATTGCATTCTGACCGGACTTTGCCTTTGGCAAAGAAAAGTTGGCGAGCAACTTCAACACATCCCCGTTTTCCTTTTGAAGAGCGGACAAAGAGGGGGGCAATCTGGTGAAACAAGTCGAGGCAATGGATCGAACGGGCTCACTACGGGCAGGCAAGAAGCTGGCTGCAGCGAAGCAGACCAAGTTTCGTGAGGACTCCAGCTGAGCCCCTACATAAGACCATACATAGAGTACACTTGTATTCATGCAGTGGCGCAGATGGAGTTGTAGCGAGGAGACAGCCTCGACAAGGGCCGAGACTTGTGGATCGAGTGTGTTGGAATACAAGTCATGACGCCGGCCCTGCAACCTGCACACATTCCGACACCACCTCTTTGACGCGTTTGCGCGTCCCCCAATCTGTAGCATAGCCCCAGTGTACTACAAAACACAGTAGTCAGTCATAATAACTTAACTTTTTCGTTCGTCTCTCGTTATTGCTCGAGCGTAGACTAGCCGCTGGGGCGCTGTGTCCAGTCATAACAACAGAGTACACGACCCAGGCCGGATCAGAAAGCACATCCACGGAGAAAGCAGAGTCCAGACAGGCGTAGGAGCGCTTTCTGAACATGACAAACATGCAAGTGGTAATCGGGTAATAAAGGATGACGTCAATAGAATGAGATAGAACAACGGGAACTAACGGGCTCCTGAAGGTCACAGTTCCGTTCACTTCCTGCAAGACCAAAACATTGTTGCCTGTGTGCGCTCAACAGGCCGTTCTCACTCATCCACTCGATCAGATCACAACATTTAGACGCGTTTGTAATTCAAGCCGACGGGCGGAAGCAAACATTCCCGGGAAGCTAGCGAAGTCGAGATCTTCGAGGGTCAAGGCATTCAAACGGAATTCTAGGGCTCCCAACAATTCGGTTTCGGTTAGAAACTGAGCTGTCACTGACAAAATTACCGGTTCCATTTTGAAGCATTTTATGTATTGTGCCTTCATGCTGTGGTATTCAAACTGTTGCAAACCACGGTTTACAGTACAACTTTGAGTTGGAGCACAAGGCAATCATTGGGCTCGGTTTCGGTTAGAAACCGAATTGTTAGGAGCCCTACGGAATTCCCCCTTATCTAAGCGCGGCAACGATGTCACAGACTTCCCACTTGGCGATCACAAATAGGGAAGAGCCGTGCACCGGGAGGCCCAAAAGAAACGTTATTGGCTAAGAACATCTCCGCTTCAGGAATTGCAATGCGTCCGCAATTTGCAAAAAAACCTGCGCTATTCAATTTGATTGGATATATCGGAAGCATCACAACGGGTTGGGAGAATATTGAACGCTTGTTGTAATACATGTAAGGGTACAGGCGCTCCCATCTTGGGTCATCGAGCGCTATCGGCAGACCCTGGGTCCAAATTGGATACGCCGCTTTTTTTCAACATGTGCTATTCTTATTGATAAAAATGGTAAGTCCAATGCTGTACGGCACGTTGTCCCCACGTTACCACTTACCAGTCCAAGCGCACTGACCAACCATTCATCTTCAAAGCCTCCATGCCAAACTGAGGCTTCAGCCTCATCCCGTAATTTCCGTGTCGCCAGATGCGCCTCCAACGTATTCAAGAAGCGGACGAGGATGCCGACTCGGTTCATCAACTGGCGAACGATGATGCACTCTCACCGGGTGGGTCATTTCCGCCGGGCACGATTTTTCTTCATGGGGACGAACTGATTGAAGATGAATCCCCAGTGAGCACTGTTTGGTGCCTGGACATTCCACTTGATAACTCATTTCTCCAAGGAGAGTTTTTTTGAAGCGGGATTGGGCGTGAATGTTCTACATGACATTGAGCCAATCGAGGACGACGATGGTGCCAACCCCCTCACAGGCGCACAACAACCTTCACACACGCGGATTCCTGGTTTAACAAATCTCTCCAACTTGTCACTCACCTCCGTCTTTTCGACCTTTTCTAGGGGATCAGTTCTATCGTTGCGGAGCGCTGGGGTCACATATTCCCTGAAGGATCTTTGTGATCAAGTCATCGAGAAGCACATCTGGCTTCAAACGGCGAGGATAATCAGTACATCCTGCTATCAGGATCGAAATGTCATTCGACACCGCTACCTGATCTTACAGTTACAACGTCGGGGAAAAAAAGATATATGGATGCGGATTGATCGAAAGGCTGGATTGGGTATTCTCTCACTCGTGCGAAAAGGTGGTAAAACGCGTGCCTCTGATAGGGTGAGTTGTAGCTGTTGTCGTCTATCTGTTGCCGAATTCGCCGCTAAATCCTGACAGGCTCAGCTCTCGGCGTCCAAGGAGGAGCTCATTGGCAGGGGACGCCGGGAGAATGTCCAAATATTCGAAAAGCCGCCCTTTCTTGGTGATTTTGGAGTCTTTCTTCGCGTTATCTCTGAAGAGCTACTAGAGTACAAGATCTGGCCGGTACGATCCCATGGTGATATGTACAATACAATATGCTCATGAGCATGATCACTCTAGGAGAACTGCTGGATGTTCTGTTCACTCCTGCAGGAGCATCTTGGCATCTCAGGACACGGACGTTACCAAGTCGGCGGTCCTGTCGCTCGAAACATAGCAAGTGAAGTTCGAACGAGAGTATCTGAGCAAGTGGCAGCCCATGTAACGCCTATCACGGTAAGCCATGTATAGCACAATAAATCATTCGATTATTAATCTGGTAGAAGATTATGACATCATTACACAGCTCGCTTTGGGTATATAGATCTGTTTACCGTGTCGCTCTTTGAAACTCACCGTTTGATTCCCATTCCTGACACAGACTTTTAGCCCTCGGTGGCAACCCTTAGGCCTTGCGAAGCCGATCGGGTGGCTTACTCATTCGATTGGATCATTTCTTTCCAAATTCGCCTACCCAGCGCAAGACGAAGAAACTCGTCGCCGTTCGCATGGCATCCTGGAATGGATCACAAACTCCCCACTTGTCGCTCACTTAGAACAGAGCGATCTTCATTCTTATATTGCTACACACTGCATCGAGACCCTTTGTCATTTGCCAGAGGAAAATGTTCTCCAACTCCCCAACCCTTTAATCCTCAACTCCGACATCCCAGACCTCCCCCGTCAGATTCAATCAAAAATTTCCCCCAATGTTCAATATTCTGTGCTCTATGGCCTCTTACATGTAGTGGAAGTTGAAAACCCTTCTACGGAACTATTTAGCAAATTAGAACTGTTCTTTGCTGGATCAGTGATCAAATGGTTGGAAATCTTGAGCCTGCTAGGGGCGACAAAGAATGCTCTCGTCGAATTGGATAAAATTGTCGTTTGGTATAAGGTATGTGGTCTGCCTTTGATCGCCTAATCTTATGAGATTCATAACGCCAGTGTGTAGCGTCAGAGCCGTCGATTACAAGACCAGAATCTGAAGGAGTCTTTACTCGGATTGCTATTTCAATGCCGTCGCTTTACCCACCAATACTATGGGGTCATTTCGGCTTCCGCTGGACATACCATACACTCAGCCTTGTCTCACTCACCCGAACCAGAATGGCGAAGGCGATACTACAAAGCTTCCCCTGAATGCCTCCCAACAGTGCGATGGACGGGTTCTGTATGGGATGGTTTCCTTACGATCCGAGAACACACCGGATGGGTCTGGTCGGTCTCATTCTCGCCCGATGGATCTACGGTAGCCTCGGCATCCAGCGACGAGACGATACGGATCTGGGATACATTGACAGGAGACGAACTCAAAGTGCTCCGAGGGCACACCGGGCCGGTCTGGTTGGTCTCATTTTCGTCCGATGGATCCAAACTAGCCTCGGCATCCAGGGACGAGACGGTACGGATCTGGGACGCGGAGACAGGGGACGAGCTCAATACCCTCCTAGGGCACGTAGGGTGGGTCTGGTCGGTCTCATTCTCGCCCGATGGCACCAGGCTAGCCTCAGCGTCCAATGACAGGACGGTACGGGTCTGGGATGTAGAGAAAGGGGATGAACTGAATGTCCTCCGAGGGCACACCCAGTCGGTCTTGTCGGTCTCATTCTCGTCCGATGGATCCAGGCTAGCCTCGGCATCTGTAGACGAGACTGTTCGGATCTGGGATGCGACAACAGGGGACGAACTCAAGGTCCTCGAAGGCCACGCCGGGTGGGTCTCGTCAGTCTCATTCTCGTCCGATGGATCCAGGCTAGCGTCGGTATCCAGGGATGAGACGGTACGGATCTGGGATACAGAGAAAGGGGACGAACTCAAGGCCCTCCGAGGGCACACCGGGTGGGTTTTTTCGGTCTCATTTTCGTCCGATAAATCGAGGGTAGCTTCTGCGTCCGGTGACGGCACGGTACGGGTTTGGGATGCAGTGACAGGGGATGAACTCAAGGTCCTCCGAGGACACACTGGGGCAGTCTGGGCGGTCTCATTCTCGTCCGATGGATTCAGTCTAGCTTCGGCATCCAGGGACAAGACGGTACGGATCTGGGATGCAGTGACAGGTGACGAACTCAAGGTCGTCCGAGGGCACACGGGTTGGATCTCGTCGGCCGCATTTTCACCCGATGGATCCAGGGTAGCCTCGGCATCCGACGACGAGACGGTACGGATTTGGGATGCAGTGACAGGGGAGGAACTCAAGGTCCTTCGAGGCCACGCTGGATCTGTCTTGTCAGTCTCATTCTCGCCCGATGGATCCAAGCTAGCCTCGGCATCCGGGGACGGGACGGTACGAATCTGGAACGCAGCGACAGGGAACGAGCTCAAAGTTCTCCGAGGGCACACCGGGTGGGTCTTGTCAGTCTCGTTCTCGCCCGATGGATCCAAGCTAGCCTCGGTATCCAAAGATGAGACGGTACGGATCTGGGATGTAGTGACGGGGAATAAACTCAAGGTCCTCCGGGGTCACACCGGGTGGGTCTTGTCAGTCTCATTCTCATCCGATGGATCCAGGCTAGCCTTGGTATCTGGTGATGAGATGGTACAAACGTGGGACGTAAAGACTGGGAAAGCGATTCGTATCGATGACAATTTCATCCCCTACCTAGATTTATTCTCCGATCCAAGCACATGCGACTGCTCATTTGCAGAAGTTAAACATGGACCTAACCACACTCACCTGTTCATCGGAGCATGTGGGACACCTCATTTTATTGCCCCTTCCCATATAAGTGGCATTATAACCACTTGGAAGATGTCACACGATCGGCAAGCCCTTGCTATTAGTTTGGATGATGGAGGACTCTTCCTTGTTCAAGCCCCCAAAATATACCGATGTGTTGGACATGGACCGTAATGATTTGATTGGTCGGTCTATCAAGAGCTAAGATAACCTTGCCACATCCAATATCCCATTTTGATGACCGATGAATATGAGGTCACTCCTTGTGCACGCACCCGCGTTCCCATTGGTTTTGTTGTAACGACAGTGACAGTCTGTGTCCATTCAGCGCCATGTCCTATAACGAGAGGCACGATATTTATTTATATCAATATTCGCTCATTCTTTTTTTTCTTTCAGTTCTACTGCGTTTGAGACTGAAGTTTGTCTTTCCTTTATCATTATTTCATTTTATATCTTGCTCAATACATATCTGTAATAACTGTGCAACGCGATACTTATATTAGTAAAGTATCGGCTGCCAGAGCAAGTCCCATCCTTATATACATAAACGCTGGCTCTACGCCACTGAAGTGAAACCGAGAGTGTCAAAGCGTGAAAACAATGGTGAGTAACAACACAAAGGGAAACCTCTAGGACGAGAACCCACCTTGCCGTGGTCTAGAGGCTCCCCCGGCGCCCAATGTGGTTAGCTGGTTTTGGGTCTAAGAGGTTCTCCTTTGCCGCGATGGATAACGGCGTGGACAGCACTTACACGTTGTGTTATCCTGCGTTGGCCTTTTTCACCTTTCTGTGCCACCTTTTTTCCACCATCTTCCACTTTCCTACCATCGTGCTCGCAGCGACTAGAATCCTCGGGCAGCCTTTTCTTTCCCTCTTCACCAATTGCGAACTCGGGTGGTTTCTAAACCAGGCGGCTCCCATGTGGGCGCATAACGGTTTTAGCTCCCCTTGTTCCCGAAGCGCGGTTCTCCAACAGACCAAGAGGCACGAAGGCGTTCGTCCGGCCAACATTCTCAGGAGCCGTTTCAACTATCCCGTTCGCCGCGATACTCCAAAGCATCAAGAGGCACGCTTCGGCGTCTGGCCAACAATTCGAGGAGCCGGCATCCGTAACACGCATAGAAAGTACACTCCCCTCCGGAAACGGTGCAGGAATCCCTAGATTCCGAACCCACGCAACCATATGTTTTACTTCTCTCTTTGTACATAATTTCAGATCTTTTGATCCGTGCCCTTGGCGCCTTATTCGGGCAGCCTACACGTGCACGTTACATAAATATCCAGAACTCACACACACACACCCACACGAAGGGAAAGAGAAAGGTTGGATGGCGATCACGCCTCAAAGCGCTCCCGCCTCCCAAAGCAAGTGTGTGCGGCCTGGGTACCTTGCCTTGGCAACCTTTGTACCAGGCAACCTTCGGCCCTGATCGCAAGTGGCGTTGGGCTGCAGTTTCCAACAATATCTACCGAGTTTTTCTCCATAGATCTTCATCACGTTAGGGATTTAAGTCTTAAATCCACAGATTTTGACGATCTCGCAAGCTCATGCACGTAGGATGATGACAATATCAGTTTGGTCTTTTAAACTCGTGGGTACACGTACGTAACGATCGAAAAAGGATGCTAGATGGAGAAGTTGGGAGTCGAACCCAATACCTCTCGCAATGAGACATGCTAAGCGAGCGCTCTACCAGATGAGCTACATCCCCTGGCACACTGGCGGCCCCAGCCTCCCCATGAGATCACTAAGTTGTGACCGGCGTACGATTGCATGCATCTCATGTGCGCGTGTATGGCAAGGCAACAGCTCGATACGCTCCTCTGGCAATATTATAGAGGCGGGTCACCTGCCTACCTCTGGCAATAGCAACTAAAGAATCAGCACAGCGCAATTAGACCCCAGCCCAAAAACCTAGTAAGTACGTTACAGGTGGTAATGGTGCCATACATTCTGCACCCAATGAAAGACCGTTGAAAAGGCCAAGAGTTGGTGTTTGAGAAGTTGGAAAGAATGAACATTACTCGAAGAATTCAGTGACGAGTCCGAGGACGTGAAAATACCGAAGAATTATGTAGTCCGCAGTGACTTGCCGCTTCCGGCCTGCGTGTGAAATCGATCAAAGATCACCGTTATGACTTCCCAGTCCAGCGCAGCCCATCTTGGGCCTCTTCGCTGTCGCTAGATGTCCCTCCTACGCATTGAAGAAACGGACGAGGATGTCAACTCGGTTCATCATCCGGTAAGCCGCGATGCGTTCACCTCTAGTGAGGCGTTTCCACAAAGCACTCATGGGGTCGAACAGGTCGAAGACGAGTCCCTAGTGAGTGCTATTTAACGCTTGGACATTTCTCACTTGATAGGTAACTGAATCGTTACCCCAGGAGAGTTTCTTTGAGACGGAATTCGGCTTGAATGTTCTACAGGCTATTGACCCAATCGAGGACAACGATAGTACTAACTTGGCCACAAGCACCCAACACCCTCCTCTCGGGCGGACTTTGACTACTTTCTCTAAATTTTCCCTCGTCTCTGCTTTTTCAACCTTTTCCAATGGATCGGTTCTGTCGTTTCGGAGCACTGGGGCCATATATCCCCTGGAGGATCTTTGCGATCGAGTCATCGACAAACACATGTGGCTTCAAATGGCAAGGATCGTCAGCACGTCATGCTATTCTCAGTATCGAAACTTCGTTCTGCACCGCTTCCTGATCTTTCGGCTATACCGCCCGGAGAAAAAGGACATATGGTTGCGAATTGATCGAAAGGCTGGATCAACTATCCTCTCACTCGTGCGAAAAGGTGGTAAAACGCGTGCTAACGATACGGTAAGTAGTTCGTCGTCAATTTGTTGCCGAATTTGGTGCTGAACCTCTTACAGGCTCAGCTCTCAGCGTCGGAGAAAGACCTCATCGGGAAGGCACGCCGGGAGAATCAACAAATATTTGATAAACCGCCATTTCTTGGTGATTTCAGTGACTATCTTCGCGTTATCTGCGACGAACTACGGGAGTATAAAGTTTGGCCCGTATGTTTCCGCGGTGATAAGATCAGTGAAGCGCGCTCACGATTGTGAACACTGTAGGATAACTGCTGGATGTTTTGTTCTCTCCTACAAGAGCACCTTGGGATCTCAGGGGACGGGCACTATGCCTTCGGGGGCCCGGTTGTCCCTAACACAGCACCCCTTGTTCGAACCAGAATATCTGAGCGGGCAGTAGTCCATGTGACACCCTGCACGGTAAGCCATCTGTAATATAATCGGTCCGGAGGCTGTTAATTCGGCAGAAGATTATGACAGCACTACAAAGTGCGGCTTGGGTATGTAGACGTTATTGCGCTGCTTTATTGAAGCTCACAATTTGATCCCCACAACAGACCTTGATCCCTCGATGGCAACCTTTAGGCCTCGCGAAGCCAATCGGGTGGCTCTCTCACTCGATTGCGATGTTTCTTGCCAAAATTGCCCATCCAGCACAAGGCCTGGGTACAAGTCACCATTCTTAAGGTGTGATGGAGTGGATTACAAACTCCCTGGTTGTTACTCGCTTAGAAAAGAATGATCTTCACTCTCGGATCGCTGCACACTGCATCGAGACCTTTTGCCGTTTGCCAGAGGACAATGTTCTCCAACTTCCCAACCCTTTAATCCTCAACTCCGGCATCCCAGATCTCCCTTCTCAGATTCATTCGAAAATTTCCTCTGATGTTCAATATGCCGCACTCTATGGCTTTCTACATGTGGTGGAAATCGAGAATCCTTCAACGGAGCTATTCAGCAAATTAGAAACGTTCTTCGCTGGATCAGCGATCAAATGGTTGGAAGTCTTGAGCCTGCTTGGGGCGACAAAGAATGCCCTCGTTGAATTAGATAAAGTTACTGTGTGGTATAAGGCATGTGTCCTATCTTTGGGTGCCTAATCGTTAGATGATATATCACACCAATTTAGAGTCAGAGCCGCCAACTACAAGATCACAATCTAAAAGAATCTTTACTCCGACTACTGATGCAATGCCGTCGCTTTACTTACCAATTCCACGGAGTCATTTCAGTTTCCGCTGGACATATCACACATTCAGCTCTGTCTCATTCACCCGACGCAGATTGGCGAATGCGATACTGCGGACGGTCGACCGAGCACCTCCCAACAGTGCGAGGGAGGGCTTCCGCATGGGATAGTCTTCTTACTATCCGGGGCCACACAGGATGGGTCTGCTGGGTCTCATTCTTGCCCGATGGGTCTAGGGTAGTCTCGGGATCCTGGGACGGGACGGCACGAATTTGGGATGCGGTGACCGGTGATGAACTCATGATCTTCCGAGGGCATACTCAACGTGTGTGCACAGTATCGTTCCCGTCCGATGGGTCCAGGCTAGCCTCGGCATCTGAAGACCAGACAGTACGGATCTGGGATGCACTGACGGGGGACGAACTCAAGGTCCTCCGAGGGCACACCGAGCAAGTCTGGTCGGTCTCATTCTCGCCTGATGGATCCAAGGTGGCGTCATCGTCCCAGGACTCAACAGTACGAATCTGGGATGCGGTGGCCGGGAATGAACTCAAGGTCCTCCGAGGGCACACCATGTCAATCGGGTCAGTCTCATTTTCGTCCGATGGATCCAGGCTGGCCTCAGGATCCGATGATAGAACAGTACGGATCTGGAATGCAGTGACCGGCAATGAACTCATGACCCTCCAAGGGCACACCGGGATCATCAGGTCAGTCTCGTTCTCACCCGATGGATCCAGGCTAGCCTCCGGATGCGATGACATGACGGTGCGGATCTGGGATGCAGTGACCGGTGATAACCTCAAGGTCCTCCGAGGGCACACCAGGCTGGTCTTCTCGGTCTCATTTTCGTCTGATGGATCCAGGGTAGCCACTGGATCGTTTGACATGACGGTGCGGATCTGGGATGCGGTGACCGGAGACAAACTCAAGGTCTTCCGAGGGCACACCCACTTCGTCCGGATGGCCTCATTCTCATCCGATGGATTCAGGCTAGCCTCGTCATCCGATGACATGACCGTACGAATTTGGGATGCAATGACCAGGGATGAACTGAGGGTCCTCCAAGGACATGCCGGGTCGGTCTGGTCGGTTTCATTCTCTTCCGATGGATCTTGGCTAGCTTCGGGATCCAATGACAAGACGGTACGAATCTGGGATGCAATCACCGGAAATGAACTCAAGGTCCTCCGAGGGCACACTGAGTCAGTCAGCTCCGTGTCATTTTCACCTGATGGATCCAGGCTGGCCTCGGCATCTGATGATGAGATCGTCCGAATTTGGGATGCAGCAACCGGGGATGCACTCAAGGTCCTCCAAGGCCACACCGGGTCCGTCAGCTTGGTCTCATTCTCGTCCGATGGATCCAATCTAGCCTTGGAATCCAGTGATAAGGTGGTCCAAATTTGGGATGTAGTGACTGGCGAAGAAACTTATATAAATGGCAAGTCTATCTCCTATCCAGATTCATTTTCCAATCCAAGTACTATTCCCTGTGACTGCTCATTTGCCGAAGTCAACCATGATGAGCTTAATCACATCCACCTCTTTATTGGAGCATGTGGAACGCCTCACTTTATTGCCCCTTCCTGTATAAGTGACATTGTAACCACTTGGAAGATCTCTCACAATCGGCAGGCCATTGCCGTTGGTTTGGGTGATGGGGGACTCTTTGTTATCCAAGCTCCACAGATGTACCGGTGTGTGGAACATGCAACATCATGATTGGGCAGTGTTGTCTCTTCCATTGAATCTCGTAATTTTCAAATGTGACAGACTACTTGTACTTTGTCCAAACTTGAGGTCTCATATCAAGAAAGATAATGGAGAATGAGTGCATCAGTGAACAAGGCAAGGGTGTCATGAATGCGTGAGCGCTGGGTGTAAGGGTTGGTCTTACTACTGAATGACAAAGGTGCTAGAGAGGTTCAATTGCTTGTCACGCGCTCACGCACCCTCTGTAAGGTTTTGTACTCACGGGTAGTTTCTACCCGGAGCGTGTAGCTCAATCGTGTGTAGGGCCTAGTTCCCAGACCGTTAAAATATGCGCTGTATGGTGTTATTCACTGCGTTTTGGCCCAAAATTTCCACAGCCCTTTCCGGTGTCGGAAATATCAGTCCCATGTGATCCCAGCCTTTTCCGCAATGGAAATTTGACTCTTCTTATCCGATGTCGGAAATGATGGGGAAACCATGTGTCAAGAATTTCTTCATGCAATCCACTTGCTTTCCACTAACATCTGTCAGAGACCAGGTTCGGGACAACCCCCTAGTCTCTTCTCTACATCGTAAGGCTTCTGTCTGAAATTGGGACAACAACGTAAGAACGAAGTGCAGCACTCCACCGGAGTTGCTGAAGCTGAAGTCCTGCCCCTCCAACCTTACAAGCCCAGACGACTTTGTGTGCCCTTGCAGATCATCTGGATACGTGTCTGACATGTTCCTGACAGTATATATGAACTCAAATTGCTCTTACATTCTTTCCTTGCTCTGTCATTGTTTCACTGAAATATGTCTAGAGCTTATCAGACCTGTTCACAGACTGTCAGGGATGCGTCCGACTTCACCCTTGTCCACTGCCCAGGGAAAGTCATGGGGAAACCGGACGCACTCTCACGATGTGCTGACCACCTGAAGGGGAGAGATGACAATGAGGGACTGACACTCCTCCAGCCAGGCTGGTTTGAGGCCTGTGCGACAGAGGCAGTCTCAGTGGAGGGCGAGGAAGCAGATATTCTGGAGTGGATACGAGAAGTGAAGGATCATGATGAATGGGTGGTGAAGGCCATGAGGGAATTGTCAGGGCACACCTGCCTGACCCGGTTCCACCCGGACCCACCCGGGCCCACCTCACCCGCTCCCTGCTACCCATCCTTCCTCCCTCTTCCCCTTCTTCCCTTTTGTCAGGGACGTGTCCGGGGTAGAGGAGGCCCAGGTGAGACGCCCGACACTAGAAGCCTCGCGGGGTGTGGAGCGGGCGTGCGTACTGGCGGGCCCGGCTCAGGAGGCAGTCCCTGGCCACTTAGACTGAAGTGGAAAAGGGTGTTATTATTATTAGAAGGGAATACTATGTTACTTACCTGAAGTGGAAAAGGGTGAGAAGAAGGCTACTTCTTCGGTTCCCACTTCAGGTATGTTTATATACATGCGGCTTAGGTCACATGACGGGTGCCACGTCATCCTCGCATACAGCCATAGTCACCCGGGTGTCCCCGTGGGGGATCCCGAGGGCGTCCGCTGTGAACGTGCGAGCTGGACATGGCGGGGGTTGCCCGAGGCGCTCGGGCTGGTCATGTCGTGAGCGCGCTGCAGGTGGGTCAATGGTACATTGATACAAGGAAAGGTCGTCCATGTAGAATAAAGAGAAAATAAAGAGAAGGTGAGATAAGTAAAGAGAGAGTGGAATGGAGGAGGAAAGAAAGAGGAAGGGGGAAGGAGGTAGGGGAAGACTGGGTGGCGGGGTACCGGGTGAAGTGGGGCCGGGTGGGGCCGGGTCAGGTGGGTGTGCCCTGACACCTTTCCTCTTTCTCCTTTATTTCATTCTCCCTTTCTGTTTATTCTTTCTATTTACACGGACCACCTTCCCTTGTATCATTGTACTGTTGACCCATCCAGCTCGGACACCCCGGATGACTTCCCACTATGCATAGCACATGCATGTCATATCCATACAATCCCGACCTCCACTCCAGGCTCCTGGAACTCTGAACCTGACTTCCGGAGTCCTACTTCCCTTCCGTCACCTCCTCCTTGCCGACTCCCAAGAGGTTATCTGTCAGGGGACGGACCCCGGGTCCCCATGACCCCTCTCTACAGCCCACAGTCTAGCCTGTAAACACAGCCCATCTCAGGGCATAACTACTGTGGGTAAGAAAGTGTATAGATAAATGAAGAGTAGGCTACACTTGCCTACTGTGGGTAAGAAAGTGAGAAGAAGGTTAACTTCTCACTTTCCCACAGTGGCCCCAATATGGCGAAAACTTCCGGGGATACCCGGAAGTCACATGAGGTGGGATCCGGGGTCGGATCATGCGGCGCGCGGAGCGTGCGGTGCAGGAAGTGTGCAGGAAGTGGAGCGGGTCCGGACGCGGGTCCGGGTCCGGGCTAAGTCAGGGTATGTGCCCTGACATTATCCCACCTCCGGCTCTGACACCACCTTCGGTCCGACTCCGGAACATTCCGGGTCTGATCCCAACCTCGACACCTTCCAGATGAGTATGCAAAACCTATGCTCCCGACTCCAGACCTCCGCTCCGGAATCTTGTTCGCATCTCCGTCTCCGGAACCTCCGGTCTTAGCTCCGACCTCAGACTTTGACCCCACCTCCGCTTATACCCATTGTATTGGTTAGCTCATTCCATTTAATTATGTTTGCCAATATTCCGGAGTTTAACTTCTGAGTTCGGACTTTCCGGACTTACATCGGACCTTGCAACTATTGCATTGCTCCATTCAATTCAGTCAGCTGGCCATTCCCCACTCCCATCCTCCTTCCTTCCTCCTTGGGCCTTGGCCCTTCATTCCTCCTTTGAGAAACACCATTGAGTCAAACCCTTGACCCTCGGTGTTGTTCCTCTTTCCATCTCCCTTTGTCTCCTTTCATCCTACCCTTGTTCCTTTTGATTCTGGACCCCTCCTTATATACAATGTACATAGTAACTTGTAACCTCAGTCTGAAATCGATCTGAATTCCCCCCAAGAGACTTTCCCTCTGCTAGATCCGAAATTAGGGACCCCCAGGACAACCAGCAATGGCACAGCACTCTGCCTGAGTGTCAGGGACCGACCTGGGGTCGAGAGCGCCCGGGTGTATCGCCCGAGGCTGAGGGTCCGGTAGGTATGACGCGGGCGCGCGTAGCAGCGGGCCCAAAGCAGACAAGGGTCCCTGGCCACTAAGACTAAAGTGGGAAATGTGTTATTGTCATTATCAAGGGAAGTGTAAGCTACTTGCCTAAAGTGGGAAATGTGAGAAGAAGGTTGCTTCTCAGTTCCCACTTAGGCTGTGTTTATATACATGTGGTTGAAGGCCACGTGGGAAGCGCCACGTCATCCGAGCGCACAGCCACCTCCATCTGGGTACCTCCGTAAGAGGTCCTAGGAGCGTCCGGTGTGCGGGGGGTTGTCCGGTGTGTCCGGGTTCGGGCGCGTTACACTGCAGCTGGGTCAATGGTACATTGATACAAAGGAAGTCGTCCGTGTGATAAGAAAGGAATAAAGAGGAGAGAGAATAGAAAAGAAGGAGAGGAAGGAAGGGAAGGGAGAAAAGGGGAAGAGGGGGAGGTCGGGAGGAGTGGATGGTGGGGCACCGGGTTAGGTGGGGCCGGGTCAGGCGGGCGTGCCCTGACACTGAGTCACTGAGGCTGAGGTCCTTCCATGCTAAGTCTCCGATTCCACTCCGGAGTCATCTGAATCTGCCTGGTTCTAACAATGTGCCTGCAGCGGATGCCCTTGGGATCCCCCACAGGGATACCCGGATGGCTGCGGCTCTCCCTGTAGATGACGTGGCACTCGTCATGTGACCCAAGCCGCATGTACATAAATGTACCTGAAGTGGGAACTGAAGAAGTAACCTTCTTCTCACGTTTTCCACTTCAGGTAAGTAGTGTAGTCCTTCCTTTTAATAACAATTCATGTTTTCCACTTCAGTCTAAGTGGCCAGGGACTACAGTCCCAGATCGGGCCCATCAGTATGTGTGCCCGCTTCGCTCCCCGAGAGGGTCCCTCTGCTGGGCGCTACATCCGGGCCCCCTCCACCCTGGATGCATCCCTGACAGGAATTGGGAGAAGGGACGCTGAGGTCAGACGAGTGGGAAAAACAGGGAGAGTTGGTCCTCTACCAGGGTAGGGTGTATGTTCCGAAAGACCCACAACTCCGTGTCAGGGCACACCCGCCTGACCCGCCTCCACCCAGGCCCACCTCACCCGGTTCCCCTTCTCCCA